TGCGTGTGAGTGTCAAGAGGAAATTATGTGTGTAGCTATTCAAATGAAACCTCCGTAGCAGTCTCAAATTGTATTGTTTTGTGAGTGCTTGGTTCCAACTTTTGAGCCTGTGTATAAAATCCTGATGGTTCGACCATTCATCAGTACTTGTTATTCTTCAGAAGGAGTACCTTTGCAACGCACAGTTTGTTGTTCAATCGTTTACGAATAAAATTTTGCAGTTTTCCTTGATTTTTTGAAATGTATCATTGGGAGTGAACGAGCCTATGCTACGATGCGGCACTGATGGCTTACTTTCCACGACGATCAGCAAAAAAGTGAAATGATCTTTAGTTCCCGAGCGTTAGCTTTGACACGAAAGGTCGTTCGTTAGGGCACAATTCATTAATGTTTGTGTTTTTCCCTTATTTTGTCAAAATTATGGAGGCCAAAAAAGTAAAGAACAGACCTTTAATAAGGATTTTGTCATCATGAAAGACACTTGATACCGCCACCATGAATATCCAAGGTCAGAAAACGCCGTTTCCTGGCGTCAAAATTCATTTACAAAAATGATAGCTTTTGCAAACAACTCACAGTGCCTAGCTTGAAAGTGTTTGTTCGTTTCTTTGTTAAGAGCCTTTAAGAGGTTACAATTGTCTTTTTAGAGATTCACGGGTCTCGAACAATCAACAAAAGCCTCGTAAGTCAACGATAACCGTGGTTTAATGAGCTCTGAGCAAATGTGAGATTTTGGTTTAAAGATTGGTATCCAAGATCTTATTTTAGAATATAGTTCTTCAGGATTTACATTTTAATTATTTAGGAAATTCATGTTTTGAGAACCACTTTTACAAAAGAATAACCAAAGCATTAAAATAGTACACAAGAGCGTTGTAATGTCCATTTTATTGTTCTTACTTAACGACCTCGTCCACAGCAAGTTGACAGAGTATGAACCAACTGAATAGCCACGATGTAGTACAAAATAGCAGTATACCCGGGGGGTACTTCCTTATATAAGCCATGTAGGTGTGCCGCCCCAAGGGGTAGGGTTTTTTCGCCGTTTTTGTCTGAAGTCGGGTATGCACTTTGTCCGTTTTGGTCTGGAATCGGGTATGGTTTTCGAGCGATGAACGGGAGTGTAAGAATTCCATATGAGTAAGAAAGAAAGAAAAACATACGAATCAAAATGAATTTTAAAAAAATCTTTATTGTTGCTGTTCTAAGTAATGATGACAAAATTTCTTCGAGGCCGTGTCTGAAAACGGGTCCGGGTCTGAAAAAGGGTGTGAAAAATGACATTTTTGGTCTGAAATGGGGTCAGGATTTGGAGAACCGGGCGGCACACCCCAGCCAAGAATTCCCAGGAGTACCCCCTCCTCGGGGGCAATATAATAGTACCGGAGGAAATAGCTACTCAATAGCATTCATTTGAACACAGCAAGGAATCATCCACAAGCTCAAAAATTCAGTAAAAACACTTTGCAAAGCACAATGTTTAGAAGCAGCTTCCGCTTCCATTTTCACAGCTCAGTGCGCCTTTCACTAAGGCTTGTACAAAAAGTAAGAACCACCTTGTACAGTGTACAGTCAATCTCGTAAGCGACCACCCTCGTTGCAAGTCAATGTGGTCGCTTACGGGAGGTGGTCGTGAACGAGAAAATTCAACAAAATAAGCTCAAACTGAATTGATTAATGTTATTACAGAGAGATTTGCGTGTGCCGGCTAAACAGCACCAAATGAAAACGTTGCCTAACTTGTCACATCTCAGATAGGTTTCATTCATGAACTTAAAACTTAGAAACGCCTTGTACAGTATAATTGAATGATAAAACAGGAAAGAAATAATTTAAAGCTTCCCTTGGCTGATCACTCTAAGACCAGAAAGAAAGGTTTAAGTTTCTCTAGGTTGAACTTTCTGACAGTGATTAGCCCATTTGAAAGGCTAATGAGCAAACTAACAGTGTTTACTTCTTGTCTAGGCCGGGCGGTATAATTGGACAAAGGATGTCAAAGAAATATTTTGCTGTAATAGCGCGTTGCTAATAGCAATAGCCTTTATCCAGGTTTCTCCAGTTGATTTAACAAAATCAACAGCGATTATGGCTTTCGTTTTGGCCTTTTGTTCCCAGCCTCACTATTTCTTTATTACTCTTGAAAAGCGCTTATCGAGTTAAGGTGGTTTATGACAGTCGGGTAGAGTAGTTTGTTTAAGAGTCTGTTGAAGGCTACAACCGTCAAAGCCAAAATTTTCACATCTAGTTCAGCTTCAAGGGCTAGCGCACTTAACATGCTTTTCAGTGTCGATTGTGCTCTGCTAAAAGCTGCCTTAATTATCTTCTTTTGACTTTTTCTGATCCTTTCTTGGTTTAGTTTTCACTTGGATGGGCACCTGATACCAAAATCAAAACAAAACTAAAGTTACGTAATTCTAAGTCTTTTGGTGGATTTCCACTGCGCATATTTTAAACGTGTGTACGTTCGCAAAAAAGAATAGAGGCACGTAAGGAAGCTCGCGCGTAAACGTAAAAGTTAAACTTCGCTTATGAACGTTTACACGCGGGTTTTCATATATCGCTTCGATATTATTTACGCACGTTCACTTTTACGTGCCCTCAGCGAGAGTGGAAATCCAGATTGTTCAGTTGGAAGACCATGCGTTTCCTCCCACGGATTCAACTTATATTTCTTATATTTTTGTTCCTGGTCAAAATCCTATGGGATTGTTATTCAAATTAAACCTGTTCAGCAGTAATGTCGTATGGTAGTTATCATGTTCTTTTTTGGTTTTCTTCATTTTTTATTATTGCCAAAAGAAATAAGTTATGCGATCGTTCTTGACGTGCGATTTTTCAGTAGACTTTATTGGAAGTAATGAGGTCTAGGCAAACACTCAGAGAAATCAAACCCTTCTTACCTAAATAACACGAGTGCAATTTAGAAACTTCCGCTAAAAGAAGAAAAATCAACATCGTAAAAACTGTTCAACTAGAAAGTGCCAGAACATTGTTCACCTGTTACGAGTTTGCAAATTTTCCGGCAAAGTGCTTCATATGTATTATGGGGCTGTCGTAATTCTTGTCAAATATTTGCTTTCATATACAATGTGTTGTATCCTGTTCTTTCTTCAAGACGACATTAAATTCTCTAGCGTGAGTATATAGAAATTCAGAGAGTAGTTTTCCAACAAGTTGAAAATTGCACCCGCGAGAAAAACCGATCAACCGTGTAAACTCGTAAATTGTTGCACAGAACTTAGGTTGGACAAAAACAATTAAAGCAGCCTTAGAAGTCCACGCGTTCCAGCCTTTGGAATGAATGTATTATTGCAGTCTAATGTCTTTGGCTAAGATGTTACCGTACTGCCAGTTTGGCGGTTGAAAATTGTACTTAGATTAATAGGTTTTGTCCTCAAAGCTTTTAAGTAAAAGAGGAAGGGGTAATGATGTCCCTCGAGAGCTTTTGATTAGAAAACACTTAAAATTATCCGACAGAAGCAAACAAACCGCCTCATGCAAAGAAATGTTTAATATTCGAAAATTTATCTCGCTTTTTCGCAATTAGAGAAAGAAAGGCCTGTTTATTCGAGTTGTAATTGCTCGTCACGAAAACGCAAGGCTTTTAGCAGAAGCGGAAACGAACTATAAACTTCTTTTTTAGATTTCAAAAGTCGACTCTCCAAATAAAACAACAATAATTGAAATGTGAAAGGTTTGCTCGCTATTTAAGAACGAAATTGCACTTAACGCCTAAATTTGGGCATTAGTGGTTTTTGTTCTTAAAATATGATGGATCTCTTAATAGCCGCACAAAGGGAGAAACGAACCGGATGTTCTGAAGGGTCAAGCCTTGCTAGGGGCAGTTTTCAACTAATTTTTCTCTCACGGATAATAAGAGAAATGATAGGCCAATTTTCAGGCGCCATAAGTTCGCCAACATCATGATTTAGAGTAGAGATTAACAAAAGACGTGGCTCATCGTTTATTCATTCAAATTAAAAAGTCTTGTGTTCTTCGTGTCTCTAGAAATGTCCACTTTCGTCCATTTGTAAAGAACAAGCTATATATAAGACCGAAAATCGTGATCGCTGCCCAGGGGTGAACAAAATATGCACATAAATTTTTTCTCTCATGTTTTGCAAAATTACTATATCAATTAGGACCGAATTATTGAATTTCCTGTTGATCCTCCTGGACCAAGCCCACAGCTTTTAACTGATTTGAACTTTTTAGAAGCAATTTTTTCAGAAATCGATCACGAGGTAGCGAAAACAGGGTCGAAAAAGTCCGCGTTGTTTTTCGCGCGTGACTGCTTTGGGGCGGTATTTTGTCGCGCTAAAAACAAAAGCGGGCTAAAATATGGCTGCGGTGTGGACAAGAAGCAATCAGTCACCCGCTGGCATAGCCAACTCAAGGGTCTTGGTTTAAAAAGCCTCGCTTGTGGCTCGTACATAAAACATGAGCCAGTTTGGCCTTTTAAAAGAACGAAACCGGACCCTATTTTGCAAAACATTGGGAGGTCGTTTGCTATGTTCCATGTGTTTTGCGCTTTCTGTCGGCCGCCTGCCAGGCTTTTTCTAAAGCAGTTCCGTCTTCTGTGGTTGTTTTGACTTTCTTGTTTTTGTAATCAATCGAACGACAGAATGCTCGATTCTCTGTGCATATGAGGCGACTTTTGGTTCCTAGGGGGATTCTTAATTTGCTTTTTTAACAGAAACTATAGCAATTCATTTCTTAATCAGTGAACAAGAATCCCTTGACAAAAGGAATTTGATGTCTACCAAGTTCTTTTCATCAATAAGCGAAAATGGGCTCCTTTGGGTTTGGGTGAAAATTGAAAAGATTTACAAGCAGGTGTGAAACGCTATTGAAAGCTTCTCGCAAATGGGAGCGAAGCAACTGCAAAAACGTTCTTGAAATAGGTTGCTTTTCGAGGTCAAAAAACAATGCTTTTCAGTAAGCTTCAAAACAGTTATCCATCAAAGTTTAGGAGTAAACATACCAAGTGCACCTGTCAAAAGACTTTATAATATTTTATTCCACTTGAAGTAAAATCATAACTCTTGAGCTCAGGGTTGGTAAATATGATTTCTTTTCACTACAACAGTCACAAAAGTGACTACATTTCTATAGTAATATCTTTACCAACCAAAGGCGATTGTCAAGATTTTTTGAGTTGGGCGTTTTCAGCGCCGAGAAAACTTCTCACGTCACACAAGAACGCTATAAAAGAGTCCTTTTAAACATTTACAAATTCATATACAGATGTTCGCCGAGCGAACTAATATATAAATTACATATTCCTCTTAAAACGCTTTATATTAGAAGATGTCTTGTCTGTAAAAGTTGTCATAAAGTCTCATTTAATACTTCGATCTTTTCTTTACACAAGTTCCGCAAAAACGTGCCACTTAATGCATGCCCTTAGGCAGTAGCCAGCTTTATTTACTAGATCTTTTTAATGGCCATGCGAGGATGCGAGCGGCACTTCATTGATCAAAAGATAACTACGTTTTCTTTTCTTCATTCTAAGCTCTGCCAGATTTGGTGTGCCGCTAAACGAGATAATCGAGTATTCTTTGTGTGGGTTTTGTTCTTATCATTTTAGGGGCGGCGGGCTTACAATCATTCAACAGTCTTTTATCCTTTTTTTCTTGGCGCAAATCATATGCTCGCGGACTTTGTTTCTGTCCATTAAATAATTCTCCATTTTTCTATAATCTGTTTAGATAATAGTTACAGCGTTACAAATTTCAAAAATGATGCCTATTCTTCACCAGACCTCAGCAGAAGGAGGTATCGTGTTGTGGGATCTTCCTGCTACCGTTTCGTAAATACCACCGTTCGAGTTTTGCCCAACGATGCAATTGGTTATCTGTATTCCGGCGCTTCCATCGTTCATTGCATTGGGCGGCATTAATCCCTGGCTATTAAATCCCGTATTTTGAATCATTTGAGAATTATCCATTGATGTCGGTACTTCGCTCGGTAAACCAGCATCATGCTTCATGTAAAAGGCATCGAAAGTGGCGTGTGGAAACTGAACATTTTGCGAGGCTATTTGGGGAAAAATGTTAATAAACAACACAGTGAGATGTAAGAAACAAACATCTTGATGGATATATGTGGGTATATCCAAGCTCTAACCATCCTGTTTTCAGTGGTTTATATCTAAACGAAAACGAGATCGCGGGACTACGTTTGAGGGTTTCTTAAATTTTATTTATAAACAGTTCTATTGTGGCTTGGACAGACAGCACTTTACTAAAGCAAGCCAAAGAGTGATGATTTGACCTTAGAGTAAAGACAGAATTTTCACCGACCTAAAGCAATATCGAATATGTCTGTGCGAAAAACAAGGTTGTCGAGAAAGATCAATCAGTTTTTTTTTCCCAGAAATGATGCGCAATATCAAGTCGACTTAATGTATTTCGAGCTTTCAAAACTTATTTATTTTTTTTAGGTTTGTGACCTTGTTGTATTGGATACACGTTTTCGTTTAAGTACTCTTTCTGTCAGCCAGAAATATTGAAAGTTCAAGGTGATCCCATAACATTAAAACTAGGCACCGCGAAACTGTCATTTTCCTTGAATGTACCGTGACTTTAAAACGCTGTCAGATGTATATACTTTTATTTGAAAACCTTCAAATCAGTTTAGCTTTCCTTCCCCTTTGCATCTCTAGGCGACAACTGAGGATATCTGAAGCATGTTAATGTTCTGTACTAAAATTTAGCAGTTGAACAAATCTTAGGTTGTTATATTTGAACTGTATTCGTTTTAAATCGAGATTAAAGCTTTTCTTGTCTAATGGTTTTGTTTTTTAGTCGAATTATGAAATGGTCTATCAGTGGTGACAAATCTCCAAGCAAAGAATTTTACATTAAAATAAATAAAAGCCCCTTTGCACGGAAAATCTGATTAAAATGATTTCTTAGTGGTCCCTTTTGCCTTGAAACCCCGGGGAAACTTGTTTGCTTTGCAGGACTTGACTTACAAAGGCTAAACGACAAACTGTGTGAATTATTAAAGGTTGAAGATCTATTTTGAATCAGTGGGTAGTTCGCTTTCAGCTGAAGAAACACACTATATCACTTGGAAGAAATCACGACACCCAAAGAGACCATTTCCGCCTGCAATACAATAGCAAATTCTACGAGAGCTTTCAGCCATAAGTCACTTGAGACGTTAAATATCTCAAGGAAGTAACCTCCAACGAATTTTTTGCCGCTGAATCCCTTATCGTTAAACCAAACTCGCGATAAACAGCATTTCCATTTTGCCATTTCCTGCCAACCCATATTAAATGTCTTAAGAGATTGCATGTTCTCTTGTAACGTCTATTTTTAGCTTATAAACTTTTTTGTAAAGTTTGAAACCGTACGCACGAAAACTGTTTCTCCAGCTGTTGGTTCCCATAAATTTACTAAAAATTTTAAGACAACCAAAATGGCTGAATAATATCTTTATAAAACAATAGGAGGCTGAAACGCCACTTTCGCATTATTCAAATTCGAAATTTAAAGTATCTTCTGGTAACTTGCCAGGGTTTTTTTTAAAGTCGTTTGTGACATGCACTTGAACATTGTGTGTTTTGCGGTTAGGAGGCTTTCAGTGTGCCTCAAGTGTGCGCGCGGAGAAGGCAAACACTGAGAACACTGAAACGTTCTTTGTAAGTTTGTCCATCTCTATGGGCAACTGAGCAAGCTTTGGTAGCTTGGGGCAAGAGGGGAAAATATCAGGACCACCATAAGGGCTATCAAAGTGAAGAGTTCTCGAGTGCTTCTCAAACAGGAACTCGAGTACCTTCCATTTAAATTTGACTGATATATTCCCCTTGACACACGCATAACGAACACGATTCCCATGGCCGCGCGAAATGAAAGGGTTGGGACAGAGAAAAGGGAGCTGGAGAAATGCTAAACGAGGAACGAGAGTAAATACACGTTTACTCGCAGCAGTATTTACAGCCTACCTGCGTAATTTATATGTGAGGTGTTGATTGACTGATCAGCGTTGGTGGATGAGTCGTTTCCTAGGTTTTCGCCTCTCGCTCTTCGCGACCTTCTCCCTGATCTGATCGCACGGGTCGCGGCGTTGGGATGTGCAACTCCTTGTTGCTTGAGTCGTCTCTCTTTCGATCTTCGATTCTGGAACCAAACTTGAATGACTCGCATGTTCAGACCTGTCTCCTGAGCTAATTTTTCGCGAATATTCCTTGACGGTTTTGGTGTTGCTGCAAAGGTTGCTTTGAGGGCCTCGAGTTGTTTAGCTTTTATAGTTGTGCGTGGTCCGCGACGTTTCGTCCCCAGCGCGATGTCTAAATCCTCGTCCAACCCATAGCTAAGATCTTTTTCCTCAGAGTCTGAGTCTGTGAAACAATGTAACAAACGCACATACACACAAAAATTAGACCCATTAACATTAAATAACCGTTTGTGTATTAATAAACAAACCAATGCCATTTCTACTCACTTACCGGACTGCTTAGATTGTGGTAAGCGCGAGTTATAGTAGTCCTCCTTGCACACGAATTTACTCTCTCCCACGTAATAAAGTTCATCGCCGGTCAAGATTTGCCTGTTACAGGTGGCGCAATTGAAACATTTAACGTGAAACACTAGGTGTTTGGCTCTCCGAACCATATCGTTTGGCGAGATCCCCAGACAGCAACCAGCGCATTTGGTCCCGTACCGCCTGAAATTTTCAACACGAAAACGCACGTTTAGAACAAGTGCAATTCCTAGTTATCAAATTAAATTGGCCCGGGCAGAGTTTGACAGGGCTGAAGATAAGTAGGCGGTTTAACGATTTGCTGCCGATTGCGAGCCGCTTACCTGTAAAAGTCGTTCTTACAAAACAGCTTTCCTTCTCGCGAGAAACACTTGTTTGTCAGTGCGCTTTTGCAGTCATGACACTGGACGCATTTGACGTGCCAGACGCGATCCAAAACCTTGAGTAGGAATTTATCCGAGATGGGTTGCTCGCACCCAGCACACTGTTGAACCATGTTGCAGATCTGCGCCTTCATTCAGCTAATTCTTCGCTCAGTTCCAACTCAGCGCTGTCTCTGCTATGTACGTTTATGTAAAGCACAGGGCTCCGCGCGTGAAATTTATGCGAGTAACTCTTCTACGTGCCCGGTAGGTGGTACCTCTGGCTTTACCAGCTGCCGAACGGGACGTTAAAATGGGATTCTAGAGGACGGAACTGTGGATTTTCTAAACATTGACGCTCTATTTTATTCCGCGGTCAAAATTTGCATATGGTTCGAGGCACGGAATGCAAAATGACGGGATAAAAGTGCGCGACTCAAAAAGCACTCAGTGCACCTTGCTACATGTCAATTAGCTTGTTGAAAGACAACACATTTACGCGCTCTTCTTTTGATATCATTTGACTCCGCCTGTCAAAATGAATTGACAGCTCGAATTTGACAGCACGGTGACAAAGGCCAATGACATTGAGAGCTTTTGTGAGCGCGAGCCAAACTTTCAACACTGTATTGTTCGGTCGGGATTATGTAAACTCGAAAAAATCGCGCAATTTGAACATCCTTTGTGGCGCCATTGTTCGCTTCGACCGCTTTCATAAGGCAGAAAGCGTCTGCCTGTCTCGCGAGGCAAAAACACGCTTGCGTTGGCGGCGAGCTCGGTCCCTGATATTCCAAAGGAAACACTGGCATGTTATCTCGCCACTGTGTGAATATTGGATTACAGACATTTCCGACCTTTTGAGAACATCTCTATGCTGGTGCTATAAAGACGATCCATATCAGTAATAGGCGGCTGCGAAACTCGGCTGTTCAAAGCGGAAAAACTTTTGTGCCGAGATTTACTTTATCTCGCGATAAACCTTATGTTGTTGTCACTAAAAGATGTCAAAACACTCCCATTTGCGAGTGTTTATTTACATTTGACTTTTCCAAACAATGGCCCCACAGTCTGCGTATTGTAATAAGCTTGGGAGGTGATCTCGCTTCGCTGCCTTCTCGCGACTGCGGAGCGATATTTTCGTCGTGATCCCTACAAAAAGTCGCGAACCAAATTTGGTCAAAACGCGACATCTGCTTTCGCTAAGGAGAAAATTGCAAACCACAGATTCGCATCAGTTCTCGTTGGCTCCTGAAAGTCGCGGAAAAAACCCGCATGTAGCTATTTTTTTTAGTGTCGGAGTCAGTTTTTTCCGAAAGTGCCTGTCTCCCGAGACAATTTAATTTCGATTTCACAAAGGGAATAATTTAACAACGCCGACAGCTCTTTCGATTCGAGTTTGACATGTGCTAGCGGTTTGGTAATGAAAATTATTTTTCGAACAGATCTCGAGAAGGAAGCGTTTTTATTGATGTTTTACCGTTTTAAAACAATTGATCGAGGCACAATTAGCGACATAGGGTTAGCAAAATAGTAGACGAAGACGGATTTCTACATGATTGTTGCTGAATCTAGTCCAAAAATCGTATAAAAGAACGATTCCTTTTAAAAAAAAGCTTTAATGAAATACCGATTTTTTTTCCAAGTGGTGTGTAAATTGTCCGTGAATTAAACTACTTGATTTTTGCTGCGGATTAAATCCGCCAAAGTTTTGGTTTTAAAATGCTAATTCGCCCAAACACCTGTTTGAAACAACACCTGCTCTTTACTGTAAAACCGCTGTACACAGCAGAGCACAGGCCACGTTCGTCGCACTCATATCTTTACGAATTTCTACTGATACAGTCGAACTTCCAGACGTGTATTTCAGTTTCACAATCAGCTCAGAAAATTTATTGTAATATTGATTGTCGTGTTAAGTTCATTTTCGTGATTCCAAGATCTCGTAATTTTTCACTTCATCCGGTTTGCAAGATTTAAGATACTTCATGGACAGCGTTCGTTCGGCCCGCTGGGCTAAAATATATCGAGAACTCACTTGCGCAATATTTTTTATGATATTTTAACGCCAGTAAATGTACAGCTAAATCGGATCAAAGGATTTTGAATAGAAAAACAAAACAAGAGTTCTCGAGATAAAGTACAGGATAACACGGATGGAAGCGGATTTACAGTTAATCAAATTTGACTGTCAACATAACAGGAGTCACGGAAACTTTGTCATTTGTCCGTCACGTATTTTCCTTATTACATTTTTTATATATATTTCCTTTCCTTCCGTCAACTTTTTTCTATTTTAAGAACGTTAACCCAACCTAACGCAATACATATAAAAGGTAAATCAAACTGTCTTGTCTTTTTTTAAACTTACGATAAACAAAAAGTACTCTGATCTACTGATTAAAAAATAAAATTGGAATCCAAGCTTTCGCTGAACAACTGCATCAATGATCGGCGAAAGCTTGGATTCCAATTTTATTTTCTAACCAGCAGTTTAAGGCCTCATTTGAACAACTTTTTCGTTTTTTAATCATGCTGCTGGAAGACAACATAGTCAGATTATTGAGAAAAGTACCCTTTTGAGTACTGAGTGATTGGTTGAACCATAGAAATTCGTCCAGAGCTTTAAAAAGTTACAACTACATACATATTGATGCACATCTTACAAATTGACAGTGTTGCTCCATATGCCATGATTACGAGTTAAGACTACGCTCTCTAAGCTTAAACTAATTCTGTATTGGTAGCTAACTAACTACCGTTGATGTAATATTTAGGGACCGTGAGTAATATTCAACAATAGACCAATAACGGAGTAGGCTGCGAAAACAGCCGTTTCTCCTCGCTCCTCGCCGCTTGCGAAACGTCCCAAGCGGCGAGAAGCGAGGAGAAACGGCGGTTTTCGCAGCCTAATAACGGAGCTGAGTATTGCGCAGTTCTTTTCGTGATATATATCGTTCTTAATCCATGTTTGATACTCAAACTTCGCGCGCTGGGAGCGCATTGGCCAGCTCATTCCTGTCCGGTTGCATACGTTTTTGAGCAACGTACTTCAATCGGAAGTCAAGCCTTTTCCCGTTTAATGTGCCTTGACGAAACCAAATTTGTATTGCTAAGTGCATTGCTCTTATAGAGACGGGTTTCCAAAACATTTGCGCAAAACCACTACCCAAGAATGCAAAAAGTCCACTTCCGGTTGAGGTGTGCTGTTTAAAAAAACTTCTGTTCAGGCGGTGCTCTTTCCTTCTCCAGAGCCGGAAAAGAAGCTTCCGCGACCCTTAAATTAACTTTACACGGAGTTGGTATTAGGCCCTTCGCACCTGAACCCGCCTTTATCTGTTCTTATTTATTTTCCGTCTCTATTTTGTTACCATTCTGTTACCATTCAAAGCGCTCAAAGGGAAAAGGCCCGGTTTGGACGCCTTACTTCACACGGCCTAATCAAATTCGAATGTAGGCCCGCGATGCAAATTAATTTAGGCCGGCTGAATTGATTTTAGACCGGGTCCTTAAAAGACGCCGGTCTTAAGTCTTTCTTATCAAAGCCGAAATATTCTAAAAGAAAAAACGCGCGTTTCGGTAAACTACACTTATAGAGATTTATGCATTTAGTTCGGCTCATGTGAAGTTCGGCGTTATTCCTAGCCGAACCGATCCAAATTCAGCCACCGTACTTTACGTGGGCTTAATTAATTGAATTCGATTCGGCGCATGGAAGTACGGCGTCTGAACCGGGCCTAAGAGACTTTGAGTTTGCCCAGTTCACGGACTTTTAAATGCAAACACTGGCTGTAGAATGAACTCGGAAGTCCTGCGTATGAACAGAAAGCCCTCTTTCCGAATGAACGTAAATTTCCTTATACTGCTCTCGGCTACGCTTCGTGCGGTATTTGAATTTCTCGTCCATTCTACAGCCAGCCCGTGTTTTGCCAGTAAAACACGAGCTAGAAGCCTCTTACCATTAGGTAAGAGATACCTCTTGACGCGGTTTTTTTACGAATATCACCTGGCGGGAAAAAAATGCGGATACTAAATTTACGCCCGAAGTTGTCTCATTCTTAGTTTAACCTCGTTTAATGGCTGTGTATATTCACGGGAAAAAGCATGAAAGATATGAATATAAATTTATAGCCCTACAAGAGACACTTAAAAGCGTTTTGATGTTGTTTAGGATATTCGACTCGCCTCAAGCTCTTCCAGAAACATAAATATATTATAAGTTTTTTCACCTCTTAACCCAGACATCAACTATTTGATTTCTGGAGAAACTACAATTGTCCGTGATACTGTACAGTAGGTATCACCATAACTTATTTTCAAATTAATTTCGCTGTAACCAGGCGAAAGTATAAAACGTCTGTTCAGTAGGACAGGTGGTGTAATTTTAAAAGCTGCGGCATCGATGACTTCGGCCGGTATCGAAAGAGAGTAGCTCCAGTTGTGAGAGCAAACAGCCGGTATTTGCCGCGTCTGTCGCGGAAGAAATACCGCCTGCTTACCGAGGCCATAAATCACTTTTCAGACCAGCCTTTTTACAATTATCAGTCGTTAAGTATCTCTTGTACTTCCTTTCACGCGAGTGAGATTTACACCTGCTCTGCGCTGAGACTTTTCCCAACCGTTTTATTAAAGTTTATCTTTACTCGCTTTGTTTATAAAGCGCACGCGGGTAGTAGGAAAATACATTTTATACTTTCCTGCCTAGTTATAAAAAAACTGATCAACGCACAGCATCGTAGGAGTGCAGTGGTCCGTATCTCTCTCTTTTTTTTAGTTAAATGTCAACTCAGAGGTTAGAACCTTTTTGGCAGAATAATATACAGTACTGTAGGATACTTCTGTTCATTAGATTTCGCTTCAATTGACACTCAAAGATTTCAACCTGCAGAGAATCAAAGTAAGAACCAACGCGGCTTGTATAGTGTAGTACTTAGATAGTGCGATTTAGCAAAATTCTGTTGTTCCGGAACTCTGTAGGAGTTTTTTTTTCCAGAAGATATATTTAAATCACACGACGATATTGTCACTGCCGGTTATATAGAAAAAATTCGGCTCAGTACTGCTTTCAGTGATTTCAGTGATCGTTCTTTACCAGGATTCAATCGGTAATCCCAAAAGTTAAAACCACTTTTACATGTTTATGTTAAATAGTGCTGAAGGGAAGTCTGCTCAGTGAGGCAGTCTTTGAATAGTCACACTAAAGGGTTAGAATCGCTTTACACGTTTATTTACAAAACCACAGGAAGCTACAATTAGCTTTGACTTTAACTGTTAAGATGTGGCGTTCATTCAATAACTTACAAGACAGGAATACCCGTATTCAGTACCCAAGGCCAAGGAAAATATTGTGTAATGTGGCTCGCTTGTCAGGAATTAGCGCGATTTAGAAATTCGTTCTCTGACTTCGAGGTAAAACAACCTTTCACAGCTTAATGAACACGGAGTCCTTCACAAAAATTTTGATCAAAAGATTTATTCAAAATCCCCTTTCTTGACACAAAAAACCTCTCTCTATTTTCCTCATTTCCTCATACACATGAGACACGGATTTACGCCCATTTCCCTCCATCCACCGTCGAGGCCTTTTTGTGTCGTTGAGAGGTTGGGGAGAGATCGGAGAAAAAGATAGCGCGCGTCCACCGCGAGCTTACGACAATTTTGTATTATCCGTTACCTGAAAATTCGTGTCGTACAGCCCTGTTGACGCATTTCTCTTGGTAACTGTATCGCACATGGTGGTCTGCGAGTATGCACCGTGCTCGATAGGTGCAGAATAGCGGAGGCCGGGAAAAAGGTTTTGTATATTCCATCCGCGCTTGCAGTTTAGGAGGGTCTCAATGGGGTTAACAGATAGGTGTAAAAGAGACAAAATTTTAGCCGACAACCGTAAAAGCCACCACCCTATGGAGACTCTTGTTTAGCGCGGAAACATTGAATATGGCACCAGTCTCAGTGGACCTTGTCTACTCATTTGCGTCTACTAATAAATTTCTCGTCGAAGGTTTACTTTTACTTTCTCTATTTCGCTTTAAACAGTAGTCAGTGCGGAAATCTATACTAATAATATGTATCGCCAAAAACGCATTTGCCTTTCCTCGATCTCACTCTGATAAAAAGTGTATAGTCAAATTACTTATTCTCATTTATGTATGTAAGTTTCAGTTGTAAAGTTTTCTTTACCTCGAAAGTCGTTATTAGTATAGGTAATATGTATGTGGCAAAAGAAATTTTCTAACTTGTCTTGAAAATTGTGAAGTGCACATTTACTGTGACCAAAAGCCATGGCTGCCATGGATCAGTGATGTGACTGAGAACGGGTGTAGGCGTTTTTAAGGTCTCGTATTACTCTAGGAAGTGCTAACCCCGAAAAAGAGAGAATAGTGATATCTCAGTATTGAATGATATGGGAGTTTGAACTACCAAGGTTGGTTAATATTATTAACCATACAGAAAAAGTCGCGCGCAGATATGGTGTCATAACGTTTGACTGATCTGTAAGTATGAACTCCAGAGATCTCTCTCTCTCTCTCTTTGCGTTTGCCGAGTATTTGTCTCAACTTCATTAAGACCTACGATGCCATTTGATGGGCTCCTGACGATGCGTATGGGTGTGGCGCGAAAAATTTAAGTGCATCGCCAATCTAGCAACCCTTACATGTTGAGGTTGTAAGGGTGGCTATTGCGAAGTAAACATTTGTGATCCTTCATCTAGAGTTATCGACGCGCGGCACGCAACGTACTTTTAAAATTTCAATAAAACCAACATAGGTGGCACGCGAAAGTGCATGTCTGCACGATTAACATTCCATTAAGGCGCGTTGATTGATTAGCGGTGTGTGCTCAATATTTTTGTTGACCTTTAAGGTAATGGCACTCCTAGCGATGACAAGGTACATAATAAAAATGAGATCACCCCGTTGTTAGATGAACTGAAGTGCAAAAACACATGAAAACAGGAAATAACATTTTATCTCCTAACATTACAGCTACATTGTAACATCGGATGCAATTCAACTTGGCCGCTGAGTGCCTTGAGTTAGTGCGACAAATAGAATAGATTATGGCTTTTTGTTCTTCTGGTTTCATTTCGCCCGAGGACTTCCGTAAAAGAGATGAAACATGCGAGCTCACGCGAAGACTCGACACCACGCGAGGGCAGTTATTAAATTGGTTTCACATGTGCACGCAGACCGATCCAGTCTAGCCACGTAGTCTCCAAAAAGTGAAAGTCACTAACTCGAGATTACATCCAACAGGCGTCACAGATTCCCCAGAAGGAAGGAGAAAGGTTCCCAAATGTCAAATCAGCCTTGCTTCTTTCTGTTTTTTTTTTTTACCTCGTTTTGTGCGTTCCCTGCTCGGCGGTTTAGAAAGGTGCGACATACAGGCTAATTTATTCTACAGATCGCCCTGTACTGTAACACCTTTAACCCTTTACAATTTCTCCAGACTGATCTCATATTCCCTTAAAAATAGTTGAGAAAATCTGTGAAAAGATCGGAAGCATTTTCCCCTATGCATTTGTTCTCGTAACCTTTTCTTCTTTTTTTTTAAAAAATTAAAATATGTATTGAAATTGTTAGGAGGAAATAATATTAATCCTGGTCGCTCTTGAGACTTAAATAGCTTTCAAAATGAACTAAGGTTGCCTCCGAAAGCACTTGACATCAAGAGCTTCAAAATTGTTGAATATGATCAAGAGAGCCTTCGATAACTCGTCGATAAGGTTAAACTTAAAACCAGCTTCGAAAATTTACTCTCTTACACAGGGGTACAGTGATTTTATTTTTGGTTGGTTATAGATTTGCATGGGATAACCATCTCATAAGGGGCCTTGGTAAAAACTAGGGAGGGGTAGTGCGGGGTCTTGGTAAAAACGGGTCAATAGGGTGGGGTACGTAATGCCGTTAAAGATTTCAAACCCTAATCCTTTTTAAGACAAAATCTTTTCATTCTCATACCCTGTTCACACCCTGTTCAGTACTAGAAATATTTGTCCTTTGGATTAACTAAGGAGCCATTAACTTCCAAAAAATATTTCTACTTTTAATTTTCCTGCGTCAATGAGCGTTCTTTGTCTAAAATACACTAAAAAGAAACACCTTGGTCTAGCTGAATTTGGAAAATAAACTCCGCACAGACACCCAGCTAGTTGTGAAATTGAGCGTATACCTTATTGAAGGCGAAAGACCTTGAAAACCATACCGAGTTTTGCGGCACGAAGCCAGTGAATCCTCTCACAAAACCACATGAAGGCTGCGCTCTAAGAAAAATTGTTTGCAGCCAAATGCTCTGAGCCTGTGTCGAGTCCAGGGTGCCCAGTGTATGATTTTTATGCAAAAGCTATGATCTTCCTGTACTGGGCGCAGTTACAGCACAGCCCTGTGTATTGTTTTTTGAAATCGCTCTCTCAGTGGAGTGTTTTGTTTATCCGACGGATTTGCGAATTCGTGTAGATAATTGAAATCGGATATTTTTAGTATATCGTTTCAACCTGCCCGGGTTTGTTGGGACGGAGCCTTAGACTTTAATCACTCGCACTCGTGTAATAGCAGTGTGAGCAGGACTCCACTCATTCCTAACACCATTCTTTATTTTTTTGTGGGATGTTTTACACAGACACAGACGGAAAGACGTTATCTTCCCTTCTCTGAAACAACTACGCGTCATCTATCCTGTCGTAAGGAACACTCAGTTTTATGTTATAGTTGTAACCCGTTGTATCGTCATAACTTGAGGAACAAATCTCCGGGATTCCTTCAGTCGAATTTTTCGCGGAAAAATCATACAGACGAATTATTCCTCGGTGTCTCCGGTGAAGGATCAAATCGTCCGCATACCAAAGATTTTCACGAGCTGTTTTGTCCAATGGGATATTAGCAGTGAACATCCGGGGGCCTTCAAACTTACAGAGTCTAACCGGATGCCGTGCACGGGTCATCCACAAAGGTGACGTCATCCGCTGGTCCCAGACCATCAGTGTTCCGTCCTCAGCACCGCTGACCACTTTCCAGTCATCCATTTGAACTGCAGTGACAGATCGTTTATGTCCCAAATGAAACGAGTGCGTGACCTTCTCACTGCGCAAGTCAAACACCCGCACTCGGCAATCATAACTCCCAGTCACCAGGCGATGTTGCGGGCAACTAGCCAGATCTAGACACGTGATCTCGCGGTAATGACCTCCCAATATAGACAGCATTTTAGAAGTTTCCAGATTGTAGAGATACACCTGTCGATCAAACGAAAAATCAGGAATTTAAAATGATCTGAGGTGCAAGACAAGCCATTTTTAGGGAGTGATGAGGGGAATGAAGTTGTTCGAATTTCAGCTTTTCTCATAGTACTCGTTTTTACGAGCAGCCATGGTCATGTGAAAAGTCTTTTTATATAGGGCAGTTATTTAGCCTTCTTTAGCAGTTGCTCATAGGTCGATTTGCAAGGGACTGCGCGCAGTTATTTCTGAAATTCGATGTGAGCTCCAGTTTTCTTTTCAGATTTCAATAGCTCGGTAAAATTACTTCTCTCCGCACATAGTCATAATCTGGGGAAAAAATATTTCCCATTATGGGGCACCGCGGTCCTTAGTCTGCGTGGCTCTACTAGAAGTTATGTTCATAACGCTTTACGGACAACTTATATCAGTTTTGTATGTGTATTTAACGCAGATTTTTCCCTCTTATTACAATATCCGTCGTCACTGCATTTAGATTGATTCTTCTGCGACAAACTGAAAAAGTCGTCGCTGACGTATCAGTCTGAACACAATGCTACTCACAAGCTATTCGTAAAATTCTGAAAACAAATACAGTCAAACTCTCTTTACGGACACCCGTTTAATAATGACACCTCATTACTGTATTACGGACGGTTTGCTTTGTCCCTGAGGAAAGAAACCCCTTTTATTTTCTCTAAATTCAACCCTCTTAATACAGACACCCCTTTAATACTCGGACACTTTCTGTGCCCCCCATCAGTGTCTAGATTACAGAACATGGTTAAATGCAGCGCCACGCGAATTTGCTGCTAAAGAGACTTGAGTCCGGATCTTGCGGAATGTACACGGCGTTTTTCAGGCAATAATTACGACATTTTTTCAGGGAAAAAACTGCGAGAGATCAAGCAAAGCGCTGACCTTTCTTCTGTTTTGTCATTTTTTCCCGCAGCGCGCACAGAAATTGGAGCGCGCACGATCACAAATTTATGGCGCTGTCTTCGTCAAAAGAAAGCTAACTTAAAAGTCTATAAATATGTAGTTATCTCACAGAGGATTAATGCAGAATCGCGGGAAAATTAAACTGAATGGGGAAAGTTGAAAAGCTTTTCACAAGCCGCTGATATTTTCCTGACCGACTCCTATGTTATGGCACAGCGATTCAACGAGAATTGGCAAACTTACCCGTGGGTATTCCAAAAACGTTTTATGAGGGGAGGCTCCGCCGCGAGGTCCGACCCCTTACCCTTTTATATAACTTTTTGACAGAACAGGTACCCCTTTCGTATACCTTCTATTGACACCCTTGTTTAGAGCTTTGCAACCCTTTTAACTGCTGAAAATGTACTGTCTGTAAAATATGAATAAATCACAAAACCAGAACGTTTTCTCGACTTTTTCTCAGCCATAAAAGGCATTTGTTAGCCCTTTTGAACCTCTTTACCGACCGAAATGACAGGTTTCCCTACCCTTTCATATGCTTCAACAATTGAAATCCTGACCCTTTCATATACCTGAAGCCTGAACAAGGTACCCCTTTCGAGCGGAGCCTCCCCGTATAGAGCATTACAGACAGTAACCCCTCCCCACTACCGGGAGCTCGGTACTGCTTTGCTGGATTTCAACTGAAGGAAATGACGTTGGATTCTTATAAGCTGCAACTTTATGAATACAGATGCTAAATACAGTTGCCTTTGTTTAAAGCCGGGTAAGAAAGGCCCGTTTTTTTAGCAGCCTCCCCTTTGCTCAGCTTGAATTAATCCAACTCTTGCCAAACGTAACGGTACCAAGTGGGTCGCAATGTTTTAAAGGTAACAATCGTGTGAAAGCAGGTGCGCACGATCAAGCGAATAATTTCCTTTTTTCAACATCTTCAGCTCGTAATTTATCTTTCTACGGCTTGTCTGTGATGTGAATTTTTTTGGCACACGCACAAGCGCGTAACCTGGTAGATGGCTTGCAACGCTGGCGAGAGATGAGACAAGCCAGCGCGCGATACCCCTGTCTTAAATTTTGAACAAAACTATAGGACGCAGAACACTATAACATCAACATTTTGGCTTTAAAGTAAGATACTTCCCATGAAATTTTGATAAGCCTCCAAAAACCTTAGCTGACGTTTTTGGCCAACCTTTTTATTTTTCTCCTCCTCTCGTCTCGCGCTTCGCAATCGTTTCGCGCTTCGCGCAAAATGCTGCGTTCGCCGCGCTTGGCTCACAGAGCGCTTGTTATGCAGGCTAGCCTTAGCCGTAAAAATAGTTTACTGAAGTGCCCTTGGCTTGTAACATGAGAACTTAGAAATGGGTGAAGGGGGAGGGATGACCGCTATGATCCTTTTTTAAAGGTGGGTTATCCAGTAACACCTCCCTTTCACTTCTAACTGGACGTTTAAATTTATTTTCTATGGTCTTAATTTGATGACAGTCAGATAGTATTTTTTTAATGTTCAATAAACTATTGAAAAACCACCGTAAAATATACATCAAAATGACAGAGCCAAGTTTCTACCTTACAGATGTGTCCGCAATAGAGAGGCAGGAATTATAGCCTGCGTAGTGGGTGTTTTTTTTATGGTGTGTTTTTCAAAAAGTGTACAGGTTTTCTCGTTTGACCTTGGTTCAGCCTTCGTGTGGCTGTATCCCTTATGTATACTTTACGAAACACAAACAAGACACATCAAAAAACCTGCCTGCTATGAGGGCTAGAGTTTGTATGAAGTCACATCTTTGGGACCAACTGGGAAATGCCCAACCTTTATAATGTGCACACCAATGTAAAGTAGGCACTTTGCTCTGTTCCTTTGGTGTCTTTATTACAAAGTTTGAGTCAGATACCTTGTTTCCAAGTGTCCCATATCCAAATGAGCCCACTCCAAGTGCAAGGTGGTCAGCAGTGCAGTCCATACAGCTCAGTTTTCCACCAATCACTTGATCTAACGTCAAAAGAACACCTTTGCCTGGTGTAAGCACTGACACAGTATCCTGAGTTGCTATGGCAACATGTTCAGTTGATGAATATGAGCTGCTGGCAGGAATAAACATGGCATGGCCAATCTGTAAATCAATCAAATTCCTGGTCTAAAATTCAGTTCAAATTTATGTCTGCTGTTTTAACCTCCAATGTAAAGGTTTGTTTCGAAGCTTTAATCATTATTAAAACCAGCAGAGATAGATCCCACATTGAAGGGACAAACAGAGTTATAAAAAATTCTCAATCTTTTTCTGTTTTGAATATTTTCTGTAAAATGCAAATCTTACTGTATTACAGATGCTACTCAGTGGTGTGTGGAGAGTGTCCACTTAATCAAGTAGGTAGTCTCTTATGCAGCCTTTACCTCAATAATAATTTTATTCAAAGAGATGCGGAGGACTATTATTTTGCAATTTTGCCGTATAATTTATTCATTTTGCAAGTCTTTAATTGTCACATTAGGGCCATTTATATGAGGAAAAATAAGACGCGTCTTACATAAGACGTGTCTTAAATAAGACGCGAACTTTCCGTATAAACGGCACATTTCATCTAAAATAAGACGCGGCTTAGCTAAGACGCGTCTTATTAGATAAGACATGCTCGTATAAATGGTACAGTTCGCGTCTCATTTAAGACGAGTCTTATGTAAGACTCGTCTTATTTTTCCTCATATAAATGGCCCTATTGTGTCATATTATTAAATATAGAATTTTAATTTTTCATGACCCTGTTGATATCACTTTTGCTGAAGGGGTAAATCCTGTATAGATATAATAAATAATAAGAAATAAAAATAATATATTTTTATTTAATAATTTAATAATAATTTGATAAGTATTCTGATAGCTGCAAACCCTTATAACAGCTGCATGGCTTCATGTAAGAGTGTTAACTTACCTTATCTTCAAAATTCTTGGATTCAATGCAAGTCCACTGTCCATTAGGGTCACTCATTTGAACCTTGACTTCATGATCTGATATTGCTAGAAATGCTGGGGGATCACTTGTTAGAGAAACACTTTTTACAGATCCTTCACAACGACAGTGACACAATGGTAATGAACTCAGGCTTGACTGCCATGTGTAAACATCACCTACAACCATCACAAATGAAAATAATGACTATCAACAGTCAGTTAGAACCCCAGTACGGATAGTGATAGTACAGTGCATAGTTAACAGAGTGTAATGGTTATGAAAACTGACAGACTCCTTTGTTATATATTTTTATAGACTTGACAGTGCACACCATTCAATAGTATTCCTAACATTTTGATCTTGTTGACCAATAAAAACATCCCATTAATTTATTCTGTCACAACTTTCAAACAGAAAACAAAAGATTGTGCACCGTCAGGTAGTCTCCTTCGCAGCCGTTATTAGGGTCGTCACTCGTCACGTAACGCTCCTCCCCACTAACTAATTAGTGGGGAGGAGCGTTGCGTGACGAGTGACGACCCTAATAACGGCTGCGAAGGAGACTAACCGTCAGGGAGCTTCCAACATAAACTGCAGTCACATGAAAGAGAGAAATGGTATTTGTATATTCTGCATTTGTATTACTTGTAATTTGGCCTGCTTAGCATCTTGAAATCTATTCTTACAGCTTGGCTATTACCATTGTTAAATCCAGCAGTGCACAAAGTGCTGTTAACAGCTGTAGATGTAACATGTGGCTTGATCCCTTGTGAATCAGGAGTCATAAGTTCCCTGTAGCTTACGTTATTGTCCCTGTCTCCTGTCTCCCATACAACAACAGCTCCACTAGAGTAACCTGAACATATCAAATCTTGATGAATAGACACTGCACATAAGCTTCCACCTTCAAAGTGAATAAGATATTATGTGTTTAAAAATGCTGAAATTCTCTCATAATTACCATGACTCTTGCTGAAACATTTCTCAGCCACAGATGAATATCTCATAGGAGTGAGGGGGGGGCGGCATGCATGTCCAATGTCTGCATTTTAAAATCAGTTGTTTAATCACATCCGAGTTGTTACTGTGTCACAATTTCAACCAATCTTGTCTCATTCTTGTGTTGCTGTTTTAAGGCCAAGTCCCTTGTGGGAATTTGATCCTAATAACAGGGCCTGAGAGCTGTACATGTACAAGTCCTAGTCCTAGGCTATGTTGTGGCTCAATATTATCCTTGGTTTAAAATTTATTTTCCTTTGTTTCAAACATTACCATACCCCAAAACATAGGAAAGTAAAATTTAAACCAAGGGTAAAGTTTAACCACAACAGCTATGCAGTTTGTTGAAGAATGTATTCAAAAGTATCTTTACCAAGAAAGTTAGGATCTATTTTTCCCTAAGTGAGATGTAAGTGTTAATGTTGGCTTAGGGGAGGGGTAGGTGGGCAGTTTCCAAGAAACCTAAATTGATCTGAAAGTTATGACCTAAGTATGGGGCTCACTTGATCTGATAGTTTACGATAGTCATTTGTGTTAAAGGGATAGCCTAATAAAAACAGCATTAAGGAGGAAGATATTTCTAAGTCAGCAATATTAAAAGCAGTTATTTCACCCTGGTTGAATGCAAAATGCAGTCCAACCACTCAAAATGCCAAGTGTTTGGTGTAGGCTTAAATCAGTATTGAGTCAGTCCTAAGCCATAATTTTTTCCAGCTCTGGAATAACTGAAGCCTTTTGAACTCAAGTGTGTTAGAAATCCCATCGCCTGGTCAAAGGATATAGCAAAACTAGCGCAACTCCTGTATTAAGCGCCCTGGGGTGCCTATTTGTTTCAAGTATGTCTGAGGTGTGGGGGAGCTTATTTAATTTAACACATGAAGTTGGAGATCACACAGCCAAAGATCAAACACAAATGGGAACTTTCAGCATTTGAATAAACCATACCAGATCAGTCCACATGCAGCATTACAGTAATGATTAATGAATGCAGTCTAGGGGGTTTAAAAGAGAGGGGGTTAATAACTTCCTTTTGCTGAAAATGGGGGAATTATAAAAAGAGGGGCTTATTTCAGAGGATGGGCTTAATAGTGACTTTCTGGTATTTAATTATGTCTGCCCCACTGTACCCTGCAAGCATAGGCCCTTCGATCTTCCTAGATAAGTCGGGAAGAGGAAGGGACTTATCTGGGAAGATTGAAGGGCCTTTGCTTGCAGGGTAGCCCCACTGGTACTGTGGCCCTTGACTTGGAGAGTTTCCAGCCATTTTGTGTGCTTGCTTACTTCCCTCCCCAATACTTGCTGGGGCTACTGTGCCTATCTTATATTTCTAATTCACTGTCATATCAACAAACCTAGGATGCATTTTACCTCGTTCAAATTCCAAACCAGATACTTTGCATATCCTCTCTTTCCAATTCCTTCTTAAGCTCCGCTCTTCCAACATGCTATGTTGAACACTGGCCTTCCAATTTTCTTGATCCACAACTGCACAGTTCCTTCTTCTAACATACCCTAACTGACACCCTACGTGATACCATAACAATTCATCTTCTGCTAAAATTTTCCAGGACTTGCTCACTTGAGCACAAGCACATAGGTCTTTAAAGTCGAGGTGAGAGAATATTTGTATCCCTACCTCTCTAGGTAAACTCAAATCAAAGAAGGGAATACTTGTTACTTCATCTATGTCTTCGATCAGCTGATCAACAAGGCTCTTTGTCCTGTTATTAATATAATTTGATTGTCCACTAGGGAGTTTACAGCCTGGAGAAAAAGTACTTTGTACATTTTCGTCTGAAGGCAACGCTAAGCTAAACAATATAGTATCATCACTCTCCTTGGCATTTGTGATTGATTTGCTCCCCGGAATCTGATGCGATGTCCCGAATTTTCCAGACTTTTGGTTTAAAAATTCCAGTGGATCGACCGAGTCGGCGTTCAGCTGTGTCACTTCCTCTTCAAAACAACGCAACTCCCAGAAAGTTCTTTTTTCAGGAGAGTGTTGATGTTTTCCCAGTTTGTCCCTGTCACCTAGACTACGTTTTTGTGCGTTAGTAGCGGTCTTTACCTTCAGTTCGTCCTTCCATTCTTGAAGAAACAGTTGAAGGTCTTCAGTGTCCATATCTGAGTTCAGTACAGTAGATTTTTCGCCTCTTAAAGGCCTATTCTAAAAAGAATGTTGAAATGTAACTTGGAACATGGAACGTATACATTACTACGAAACACCGCTGACAAAGCAATGTCATTACACGCATGCTCACTCTTGTTCGCTTGGTGTTCGACAGAAAAAAAACATAGAATTAGGGCCGAGAAAAGGGATTAACAAAACATGTCCCGCTCTCGGCCTTGTAAAAAACTTACATCACAACAAATACCAGTAATTTGTGCAACAGTTCTGCTGATTGGAACCACAGCGTTGTTCTTCGTTTTCGTGTGAGTCGGAGGGTTTTGTGTGTTTCGAACTCTGATTGTGCCCACGCCGAGAAAACTTGCAGGCTTTCACTTGTCTCTGTCTTACTGGGTTTTTTGCTTTCAGATGCCCTTCTTTGGCAGTGGAATATACAATTGCGATCCCTGTGTATGAAGGAATCCTAACTCTAATAGTCTTATCCAGCTTCGCGAATGCTACGTTCAGGGATCCCGGTATAATTCCAAGAGGTAGGGAAGCGAGATAACTTTTTGCTAATATACACATTCGGTAGTCTCACTCAGACTTCTAAAGAGGCAACCGCTGAAGATCATGTTTAACCGCAATTTATTTAGCGTTGGTTAAGAAAGCACCCCTCTAGAGCTTCTCAAGGGGTGAAGAACTGATCCTACGATTGGTTTATAGTTGGAGTGGAGTTGTATGGAATTTTAGTTGCTGTGGTTGTTATCAGACATCGCAGCTGTTTCCTCGACCGGTTTTACTTTGTGTATTTTTGCCTGTCTACCGTCTGTATTTCTGAATACAAATTGCTTAACGAGGGAATTGTTTAGCAAATCTTGTCACTGATCTGTAATGAAGCCGAATTAAAATCAGGGATTTTAAATTTTCCCAGAAAAGAGAAATATGTATATGTATAGCAAGAGGTCAATATTATCCAGAGGTATTCAAAAAACTTGTGTTTAAGCGCAGTCATTGTTGATCAATGCCGTGATTCTCCTAACTTTTGGCAGATAGCGTGATTAAGGAATTAATTTAGTTAAACTTGTCTTATGCCTATAAAATATATAATTTTGATAATGTGTTACTTCATTTACCAGTGAAAGCAACTCCAAAACATCAACAATTCATCTTAAAACACTATTTTTTTAAAGGCTGAAGTTTGCTGCTACAAGTGCTAATAATGAGTTTTAATTTATTTTTATTGTTGTATGGCCTAATCCGTGAGTAAGCAAGGTAAAGTGAATCCTGTGTTCCAATTGGCAATCCGAGTGGGCAAAATGGGTCCTTCTTGTCCCTCAGGATTTCCTGCATTGGGCACACAAGGAAAAAAAAAATTTTTTCTGATGATTTCAGAGATTTAAGCAACAATCACATTTTGATTCTGATCAAATTTAATGATGCAATGTTATTGTTGTGCAAATTATCTGCCACAAAGAGTACTGCATGTTCAGAGTTGTTTTGCTCTTTGCTTCTGTTGTCATGGTTTTTCTTGCTCAAGCTTGCTTGTAGTATTACCATGCAAAAAAATTCGTAATGTGCAACAATTTTTTTGATGAACCAACAATTTGATGGAAAACATGCAACAAAAACAATGTCCTCAGGTGCCAAAGGATTGGCTCACCTTTACTTTTGCAAAAGCTTCTCCATTTTCAAAATGCATGAACTTTTATAACATTTTAAATTTTTTAGATGAATAATCCATAATCTGCAACCATTAAGCTTTAAAAAATGCATGGTTTTTAAGGGTATCTACAATGTAGCATGATCTGCACAAAGATGGTCCTGAAGGGTGGATGATACCTGTTGTGAATGTTTATGCGGTTGTGGTGAATTGGTAATTATGTAGTAATGCATTGTCAAGGATGCCACATTGAACTCTTCTACATTGAAACATAGAGTTAAACCTCTCCACAACTGCCACCTTGGGGACAGAAGAAAGTGGCCATTGTAGAGAGGTGACCATTGTCAAGAGGTTTAAACAAGTCAGTCAATGTATACCCTGCGAGCAGCAGTTACATTTTCGCTGTGTGAGCTGTTGTGCAAAAAGTAGCCTCTGCCGACAGCCGTTCAAGTTTCTATCGTGCATGTGCAAAATTCATCATGTGATTCGCGACAGATTCACAAGCAACGTTAATCGTCAGGTCTGCCGTCAAATGGCACGAGTTTCGTGGGAATAAAAAAAATTGCGACAACTCTAATTCATGCAAGATTCGTGCAATGCTCTAAACCTGTCAAGAACAGGAAAAAACCCGGTTTTTTTAATCTATTCGTCCAGATTTCTGGACGGATTTGAACAGTTGTTGGGAAGGGCTACTTTTCGCACAACAGCTCACACAGCAAAAATGTAGCCTCTGCTCGCAGGGTAGTCAATGTATGGACTGTCCACCAAAAAAGTGGCCATTGTAGAGAGGTGGCCGTTAGTGGGGGTTCAGCAGTTACTCTACTTTGTAAATTTAAAACTGGAAAGTGTTATTTGTTTTCAAGTTAAATCATGGCCTTACAAAAATTGTTTTTAAAATTTACCTTAACAAAAGAAAAAACATATCTGCGGTACCCAAAAAATGGCCAGAGTTTTTAAACCATCAGTAGCACCAGCTTTTTTAAATGAGTTAATCTATTCATGAATGTAAGCTTCTCTAGGCCTCCTTGTCATTACCACTTTAATGTGTTATAAATTTCTGTGTATTGTTGTTGTACAGTTGGCTCCCGATAACTCGAACCTTTGAGGGAATCGAAAAAGGTTCGAGTTATTGGGAGCTAAAAAAAAACAGCCAGGAGTAAGGAAAAAACAGTTTTTACTGCATAGTGAACATTTTAATCACATTTAATCCGCCATACAGAAAAAGATGGTGGCTGAACATTTTACTACAATTCCTTTCGAACGTAACATGGCCAATTACACATAAAGTCATATTTTGGGGGGGCAAAATTCATCCCTGTAATAGCAACATTGGCTATCCTAGGTTTGAAGTTTATAAAACTTTTCTGTGTGTTTTTATGAGCAATTTTATGGTTTTTATCTGCTAAGAACTGTGGGTAAATGTACCAGTCACCATCTTTTTAGGTACGGTGGATTGTAGAAATGTCAAGTGAAAATTAAAAGATACTTCTAGATTAAATCAGAATGTAACATAACAAAACATTGCCTAAATAGAGCATGCATTTTACTGTTTTGAGAAGTAAAGCTGTTTCACGTTAGATTTGTGACAAACAACATCAGCCTCCAATAGTAAACTATATGCCTACAACACGTCAATGGGAAATTCAAAATTCAATGCTTGGGAAGCCAACAGACTGTTTTTTACCGACTTTTAATTAAATTAAAAAGGGCTCAAAACATGGTTCGAGTTATCGAATGTAAAATTATATAGAAATGATCTGAGGGGAAACAAAAACTACTTCGAGTTAGTGGGATGTTCAAGTTATCAAGGGTTTGAGTTATCGAGGATAAAATTACAGTAAATGTATGACAGAAATCCAGGGGAAATTGATTTTGGTTCGAGTTGGCGCAAGGTTTGAGTTGAAGAGGGTTCGAGTTATGACGAGTCAACTGTATTTGTATGTTATGGCAAAAATAAAATGAAATGAAAGGGATTGACATTGACTTATCCAAGTGAAGTTGAATTTTTATTCTTACGTATTGAATTCTGGGCTCAAAATTAACGTATTTATTTTGGTTAACAGTATAATACAATTTTTTATTATTATTTGTACATTTATTCTGCATCCTTCCTAGAACTGAGAATGTGTCTTATTTGTATTTTCGTTTGGCAAGTTTCAAAGTACATGGCAGAGCTTGCGTAAACTTATGTCATTTAACAGCTAAAAATATTGCAACCCACACGTTGCAACTGTAAACCCAATTTTAATGTCAGTAGGTCATATTATTAAAAATAATTCATAAGAATACATAATTTTATCATTTCAAGGGGTTGATATCCCATTTTGTAATGATCCTCTTATGTGAATCCTATTTTTCTTGTTTATTGGCAAAATATCTTAAAGTCTTTGACTGTTTTGAGAAAGGATGAATGGTATTAATGAATAAAGAAAAATTATTCTGGAGTACATGTATATCCCTTTAAGAAAACTGGACAACAATTCACTAATCATTGCAGGCAATTTTAACATGTTTAATGACTTACATTTCCTCTGTAGGCATTTGGTTATGTATTAAACACTGACAGAGTGTATGTATCTGAAATCAGTATTTTATAGTATTTTAAGAACACAAGTCAGCTGTGTCCTGGTTAGCTTAAATTTTTTTTGAATCATTGGCAATTGAAATGAACACCCTTGGGCTACCCATATCTATACTGTCTCTGATATATTTTGCTTTTGAAGTTAACACAGCATACATACGTACGCTCAAACATGTGTTGTGGTTTTATTTTGTCTTTGGTACAAATTTTATTTTCCTCTGTCTTTGAATATAGTTAAAATAAAGTCATAATATTTGACAATACATTTCAAACAAGGGAAAATAAAATTTGAATGAAGGATATGTTGAATTCAAACATATATTATAAAGGAAAGTGATGGAAATTTGTATCTGTGTTGATGACATTGATTTTATAGATTGGCTTCATGTAATTATGTAATAAAAGTTTTTCTATTCAAGACAAGGCAGATATTGGTAATCTTTGAAACAAATGTGAATCATGTGTGCAATTAATGGAAACCAAATTTCTTATTTTATTGCTGGAATGCTAATGAAATGCAAAATTTTTTTATCAGACTTACAATGTTAAATTACTTACAAACTCCTTTCAGAAAGCTGCACACAAAAATATGGATTGATTTGAATAGTACTTACAGTTTAAAAAGCCATCTTGCACATGTAATTTGATCCCATACATGTAGTCAGTTCTTAGTACCTTTTCTCCTTCTTAACCTGTCTATTCCTGTTTATTTTTTGTTGTTGCAAGTATGAGGAAATTCAGAAACTGAAAAATGATGATATGCTTTGGTGGGAATAAAAATAGAATGATATATTACTGTCTGCTATGTAAAATAAGTTTTAAGATCATGTTGGTTAACTTTCAGAGCAGTATTTAGCCATAATTTAGACCTTGCTGATCATTTACTAGAATACCATAAATGGTGTTTACTGCACCTGCAGTGGCAGACCTAGGGAAGGGACACAAGGCAACCCCCTCCCCCTGGTCAAGTTTCTGACTGAGATGATTTGTTTTGGTCAGAGAGCTGCCCCCACTCCCCCCACTTTACTTCAAGCTCTATATCAGCCTTTAATCTGTGAGAAATCTTCCTAGTGTTTAGAAGTGGTACCTTTATTATTTATTTTATTCATTTATTTTCTGGGTAAAGCAGGGAGGGGGTTGTACAAGAAAAAGATTCTTGGTTCCCCTGTGAGGTGCTCTCCCTGCCCATTTCCATAACCCTTGACAGCAGAGACACACTTTCTAGTAGATTAAGGCCTGGTTCTAAATCATTCATGATTCTTTCCAACAATCATAGTTAAAGCAGCCAAGAGGAGTAGTGGATGGCTAATTGAACCAAAATAGACAAACTAGGAGAAAGAAACTCAGTTTGTAATTGCCTAATAATGTGACTGTCACCATGCCCTCTGTTGTTTGAAAACTGGAACCAGTGATTCCCCTACTTGCTGCAGGTCTAGCCCCGGTTTGTGTGTAGCAAAACATCAACCGTAAAAAGTGTGGTTTCTAGAGTTTTATTCTTATGGATATAATTCCAGAATATAGTCAATCAAATACGCCTGAAGTAATTAACTCATATTGTGGATTTTACGACAGAATCATCAACAGTTGATCAAGAAGATGACTTTAGAGTCCCACTGTACAAGAATGTTGATATCAATGGCATTACAGTCCGTATGAAATGGTGTGACACTTGCAAGTTTTACAGACCACCACGCTGTTCACATTGTAGTATTTGTAACAACTGTATAGAGGTACTGATGTTTCTTTTTCACCCTGGCTTCCCTTTTAAAACAAACCATGAAATCTTAAATTTTATAGCTTGCATAACTGGCTGGATAAGTGTGGGATAGTGCTGTATTGTTTTGGCTGCAAAGCCGCAAGAAGAATGGGTACAAGTCAATTTTCCCTCGCGGCCCCCGATATCCACTTTCAAATAAGTCATTTCCGAGTTGCATAAACTCTTACTTTCAAAACAAAGCTAAGTACAAAACGTAGCTTTCTAATGAAAATGAGTTTTATTTGCATGAGAATAAAAATACCATTTTCAGATCAATGGCTTTGCACTTAGCCTCTCTTTGAAACAGAGGCTTGGGGCAGATTGGAAATGCCTTCTCTCCAGGCTTATCTCCATACAATTCCTTATCATTAGTTAAGAGAATTTATTTATTCTCCTTATGGTGCCCTCTCTTGAGGTAATGTATTGAAAATGTTAGAGGAAATTGTTGTTGATCATTGGAATGATATATGCTTATTTGTAATGATATACACATTATCGTAACATGTCTTCATTTTTTATGTTCTTCTTCTTTTTCAGAATTTTGATCATCATTGCCCTTGGGTAGACAACTGTGTTGGCAAAAGAAATTATAGATTCTTTTTTTTCTTTGTTTCTTCCCTCTCCCTTCACATTATCTCTGTCTTTGTATTCTGTTTGGTCTTTGTCCTGGAGCAATCAGCCGACATTAAGGAATCAGCAGTTCCGTATCCTTTTTGTCAAACAGTGCTCAAGATTATATTTCCCAGTTAGGAATGATATTATAGGTTTATAAGAGATGGGTCAATGGGCAGCATTCCAGTTAATTCTTCCAAGCGGGGGGTCATGAAGACCATCTGTGGGGTCACCAAGACCTTTTGTTATATTTAAATTAACTCTTATATGTCATCTGTTGGGTTAGGAAGCCTTCTTTGTCGGGACATTGACCCGAGACCCATCTCTTATCTGGAACACTGGGTTGTGGTGGTCTCTCGTTGTTGGTTTTCACTGGCAACAGAGTCAAGGTTATAGTCAGAAACACAGGGAATAATGCAGGCTCGAAAAAGGTCCCGGCCGTCCAGTTGTCCAGGTTAATAGTAGATTTTCTTGCCGGGTATAAGTAACTTTGTAATGCTCACTTGCCCATGTCCAAGGGTCAAGTCAAGCCTTATCCTAATTAAGACATTAACTAAGAGAAGCAGGCAATGTTCCCAACAGGGAAGCAAGATGTGAGAGCCACTTGCCAGAGTTTAAAAAAAAAATGAATTATTTTTTAAGGCTTGCCCAAGGGAGAAGCCTTAAAAAAATAATTCAAGGTTTTTTTTAGCTCTGTAATGAGTTAGTGAAAGCAGTGTTCTGATTCAGCTTATAACTCTGCTGATTATAACCTGGTGAAAACTACATTTTGAATTTGCAAGCAGTAGCACTGAGATAAACAGTATGGATCACAATGCTTGGGAACAAGTTTTTGTTTTCTCCTTTGTTGACATGGTCAGTGGGAAAGTTACAATGTAGACTGCTAGAAAGCATAACATCTTATTGAATAATTTCGTTCAAGCCGACAAGTGATATGGAAAGATATTGAGCTCAAGAGGGAAACATCTTTCCTTTCTAGGCTAGGATAATTCATGTAATTCTTTATGCAGATGGTTGGATTGAGGTCATATAAAAAGTCACCATGAGTTCAGCTAAAACTAGTTACTATAGCATTTTCAGATTTCTTTAGCACTTACTATAGTAGGTCTCCTTGACAATTGACACAGAATAGCAGTCATGGTAATATGTGGTTTGTCAGCCATTCCTGTGATTGGCCTAACAGTCTTTCACATAGGACTTGTTTCAATGGGGCGCACAACTAATGAACAGGTAAAAAGACAGGAAAATGAAATTCATACAACTGTGCATCAGTCAATTGCCACAGTATCTAAATTCTATATGTCCCCCTGGAATTCTCAGCGGTGAATAAAACTTTCAGATTTACTGAATCAGGATAACATACCCTTTGCCATATCATACCCCTGCTTCAATATTTTCTCTCTGTACATTATATTTGTGGCCTACAGAACTCATTGTAAACTCATTAGATTGACACCTAGTTTCTTAAAAAATGATTTTAATAATTTTCTGTTGTTTAGCCAGATGCTAGTGGGGCTGAGTAAATGCCTGAAACAAATAATTATTTAAATTTAACATACTGTACATGTAACAGGGTAAAAAAATCCAAACTGGCCAGAGTCAAGCCAGCTGGTTAATTACAACCATGAACAAGGATCTGAACTCAGAACTACTGAGAAAAAATCCAGCTGGCGGTCAGGGTGGGACTTAAACTCAGGGCCTCCAAATTGCAAGTCTAGCACTCTAACCGCTTTGCCACACTGCCTCCTACTTCTGTGTCCAGTAACTTAAGAGTGAGTACAGTCATGTATTTATTGCTCTGTGATATTTACTTTCTAGGTGACAGGAAAGTTTCGCAGTGGTCATAATCCTTTTGACCAAGGCTGTAAAAACAACTGCATGGTTACTCTTTGTTCTTCACGGTATGCAAAGTAAGAAGCATTTTTTTCTTTTAATTTCTGAGTCAATTTGAAATTCTTGGCACCAGTCGATTTTAAACTCGCAAGTTCTGTGGAGGTTGTTATTAGCAATCCAATACACCAAACTTTTCCCAGTCCAGGCCACATAGTTGGATCATCTTGTAAGTGAACAAGATGTTTAGGCGAGATGGTTTTTATAAATATTATGTTCCATCATTTTTAAATATCTTGTAAGCAACCACTTCTTGCATGGTTTGATCTCCTAGTTCGCTTTTTGACTACGCAAATCAGACTATAACTGTTAGTGACAGTCTAAAGCTAAACATACCTGGACCTCTAATTGGAAAAGAACTACTGTGGTTTGATTCTTGTAAGTAACTACTAAATCTTCACATTCTGGGTGGTTGATTACGAGAGGTTCAACTGTATTGAAAAGTTCTTAGTAGGATAGAGATCAGCATGAATTGATGTGGCCCAGTCAAGAGTTCAATAGGTTTTTAATCTGTTGATTAGTAGAACCAGTAATCAATCAATTTCTGGTACAAACAAAGCCTTTGTAATCTTTTTTTCTCTCATTTTTACATGGGAGTTTCTGCTTCATCCCAGTCACTCATCATGGGGATATTTCAATATTAAGTAAAGGGATGCTCTGCATTTTTACCTGTCATCTCCCGCTTGTGCTTTTGGCTAGTCCGTGATTGTTGCTTAGGTTTGGGGAAGCCTATAGATTAGGCAGTGGTAGTGTTATCTGCATACCTGTTTCTATCCAACTAAGCCTTTTAACATTCTACAATTCTATTCTAGTAAGTATAAAAGGGTTACATAGAGTCAAAACCCTTACAGGCTTGAATCCACATGGTTTTCCAGATTGTTATGGAAAACAGTCAATTTTTTTTACCATAAAAGGAGACAACACTTTCAGCAGCTTAAACATATCATTGTCAGGGAATGTCATCCTATCCCCCCACCCCAAGGAGGCAAGTGTCTTTGGCAGTCATATTATTGAAAAATAGTGACACATTTATTTCCTTGTTCCAATCCTCCCTTACTTCCAGAAATATTTCCTTTGATTGGCTGTTGATTCTAAAATGGTGGCATATTTAAATAATTTTGTTTACCTATTATTTTTAGGTACCTTGGTTACCTGGAAATGTTAAAGAAGAAAGAGATTAAGCGAGACAAGAAGAAGCAGAGAAATAAAGAGAAAGATAAAGATGCTAAGGCTAAAACCTCAGTGGATGGAACAGAATTATCAGAAGTTAAAGTTGACGTAACATCTAATAATAAAAGCCAAAAATTCCAGGTATAGCCTGCATGTGTTATGTTGATTTTGTAACTGAATCTTGGTGTGACCACTTCTCATAGCTGTCCATCGACCAATCCAAAACATAAAAAGTAGTTTTCTAGTGAAACCAGTGATACCTCTGATAGGCAACTTGCTGTCACATGCAACCTTCATCCTGGCACTGTGTATAAGCCTTCAACAAACAGTTATTACTTTACAGAATTTGTGGTTGCACCAAAGGTCACACTGCTATAAATGCCGATTAGTGACGATAAAATTTTTAATTTTTCCACACAGTTTTTCTTTCTTTTCATTCTTTTCCATTTGGTTTATTTTGTTTTTTTCCAAACACTTTCAAGAGTTCAGTTATTATACGTGGGCAAGCATTATACACAATGGTAACTCTTCTGAAACTCTGACCTTCTTTTCAGGATGGCATTGAAGATGGTAGAGTAAAAAATAACCACCAGGCAAGAGACAATGAAGGAAGCAGATCACTGCAACCTGACTCATTTGCAGCTGCAGTTAATACTCCCCCACGCGCATCTGCTATGTACGTTAAATCAAGCATAAATGGAAGGACAATAACCAGCATGAGTCGTGAAGTCACAGTGTAATATGTTATCAAACCAGTACAGGTGCTGCAGATTTACAGAGCAAGACTTGTTTGTCTTCATTTATGTGCTGCCACTCATGGCAATCAGCTGGCAAATTTGGGCTTGCGGTTATGCAATCATAGGGCATACTTTGTGCTGGATCAGCTAGGAGGTCGCAAGTCGCTGCTATCTTCCATGATAGAATCATATATGCTGTTCTCGTTGTTAACATGGAAAGATAAAGTGGATTGAAAACAGTGCGCTGCAAGAGATATCTGCTTATTGATAACCTTAGTCTGCTGAAAATATAGTAGAACATAATAATAATTATTATTGTTCTACCTCTGGTATCACTTATTTCCTGAAGTAAATTATGTATTTAAAAAAAGGATAAATACCTGCAAAGAGTTAAACTTTTAATCATTTTGGTATTTCTAAGAAGTTATTGACAAGAGGATGCCATAAAGGTGACATAAATGCATGTTAAAAGTTTTTAGTGATAATTAATTGACTACTGGTAATAAATTGTAAATAGTATTGCTATTGTACATAACTCATGATATTAAGATTGTGCATGTAAACATGGTGACTATAAAGTACAGTAGCTGCTTTTATGTTTTGGGGGCCTCACAAGTATGATATTGTCCAAGCATCAATTTTCATTTTTTCTTAGAAAGTGGATTGGGCTATTGCATTATTTTTAATATCTGCACTCCCCCTTTTGAGGAACCATGGAATTCTCCAGGGATAAGTTATAAAAATTGAGGATTTCTTTAGGGGTAGAGTAAAAAAATATGGAATTCTTTGGGGGTGAAGCTTTATTTTCACAAACTTCTTCAGGGGTAAAGCCATATTCTTCGGGGGTAAGCCCATATTTTTTGGAAGTCTTCAGGGGTGAATGCAATTTTAGCTGATCTTCAGGGGTAAGAAGAAAAGGTAAGTCCTCAACTGGAGGGCCGAGGGGGGAGGGGGGGTAGTGCGGATATTATTAACAATAATTGTTATTCCTCAAGCCCGAATGGGCTGTGAGTCAATATTGACTCCGAGGCCATGAGGGCGAGAGGAAAAATATTATTGTTTTAGTAAAATCCAACTAGTTGCTCAAAAATATCGAGAATAAAAGAGTTTTAGCTACTTAAAGCTAGACTTTAATCCTTTTTTGCTGCCAAAAAGCGCACTCTTTTCGCTACTAGTAGGCTATAACATGTAGCAGTAAGTAATAGCTCAACCAATCAGAACACAGCATTGATAATAGACCACTAGTTGGATTTTACTACAATGCAATAGCCCAAAGTGGATCAAAGTAGTGATTATTAGGAAGAAGTGGGAAAAATATGCATGGACCAGGCTTGACTCCTATGATAGAAAATCATAACTTGTTCTACAACTTGCTTTTATTTTTGTTTCATATTTGTGTCAAGTTTTTTGTTAGGGATTTTGGATAGAAACCTAGGGGGGTGTAAAAGTAGGGAAGGTCTTTCTCAAGTGTATTATACAGTATCTTGATGAGGTATTCTCTTATGTCTGTGACAGATAACACTCACAAATGCATGCATGAGTCCGTCTAAGTACTCAGTAGCTAAAATAATAGTTATGAATAACAGAAATTTGCTGTTTGAATTCAATCATCCTCAACTGATTACTAATTAATAATAAGCCAAAAATAACTTGAAAATTAGGTGCACATAATTTTTGAGGGCTGTTAAAATACAGATCCTGTGGCCATATACGTGCAGAGGGTATCCTGACAATATTTTGGCATGTTTTCTAGAAGGATGGTGCCTATAAGAAGGCATTTTTTAACCTGCAAGCAGGTTAAATACCGGAAGTAGCCCTCATTAGCTGTTACAGTTTAGTCTAGGTAGTTAACTTTAACTTACTGGCATGTACCTCTAACAAACTTCTGTCATGTTAACAGTTCTCTTTGAATAGACATAAATTGTTTCATTTTTTTCTTTTTTTTAGTAAAAGTTTCATTTGTTGAGTAAATTTTTTAAAATTAATATTGTAATGTTGCTGGGTGCTTCAACTGTTAAAACAAACCCCCCAAAAAATATTTTGATAACTCATGCTCAGTAAAGTGCTGTGTTTGCTATTCATTCAGTTTGAAAATTGAATTTACCTAGTTTTTGAAGTATTTACTAATTTCTATTGTATACTCTACCTTGTGAATACCTTTCCAAAGAGGGGTGAAATTTCCCATCCCTTCCCAGGGCTCACCAATAACTAATCCTCCCCCCTTGAAAACCCCTGCATATGTAAGAACGTTTGAAAATGGTTGAGTTTTGCCTGGTACGTAGTACAAAACAGTCAACTCAATGGGACCAGAACAATGTCTAAGAGAAGTGTCCCCTTTATTGATAGCCAATAGAAAAAAGCTGGAAAAAAGTGTATAAATTTTGTGTGAGATCAGGAAGTAATACATGATGTCTTGTTCTGCAAAGAAGGTCATGGGCGGGGTGTGAATGATCACCATACAGATTGGAGAATATGCACGTTGGTATAAGGGTTTGAGATGTCTCCTGCACGAAAGTGAGGGAGAAGCCAAAGGAGGTGGGGGGGTGAATGATCACCATACAATTACTGGAGAATATGCACGTTGGTACAGCAAACACCCACTAATAAGAAACTGTGGATTAGGAACTTCCTGGCAGACATTTGGCGGTTTAATATCCAAAAATATAAGAACCTGTTTAGCCAAACAAAATCAAGCAGGTTCTTATATGTGGGTTACATTATTAAATTATGATAATTAATTTAACAATTAAGGAGTGTAACTTTGAGTGGTAAATTTTAGTATAACAGGAACATACTGTACTAATCTGTGTACAAATTTGGTAATCAGTTTTGTTAGGGTTATAATAATAAAATTTTGACTAAATAAAAAGTTTATATATTTTTCTGGTAATCGGCAATCTATTATCCCCTTCATAAAAATTAAGAATACTAATTAAAAGAACCTACTTGGCCTAAACTGCCAATAAGTACCCCAAAATACAAGAACCTATTTTGCCAGACTCCAAAAAGAGTAGGTTTTTATTAGCGGGTGTTTGCTGTATTAGGGTTTGCTGTATTAGAAATGAATTGTTCTGCACAATAGGTTAGGAGGAAACAAGAAGGCAGGGGAGTGAAAGAAAAATGGAAGAGGGATCCCCTCCCTCTGCTATTCACTCACCCTTGCACCTGCCTTGCAAGCGATGATTTACAATTCAGACATGCCCTTACAAATGTGTATCTTCTACTTATAAACAACCAGTACTAATATTTTACAACAACTATTATTATATATTATATTTCCTGAGCTTGCTGAATCATCAGGGGTGGGGAATGAGGTGGTGGTTGGGTAGTTAACAAAAAATTCTTTCTGGTGTTTTGTACAATCAGAGCATTCATTCTTGGTGAACCTGTTTAAAAGTTATCTTGCTAGCTGGTAAAAGAAATTTTATTCCTCATAATCAATTTTAAAAAATCCTAGAACCAAGAGAAGCGCACACTGCCAGTTTAGACCTTTTTCATCGGAGTGGGGAAAGAAGAGAGAAATTGTAACTTGTCCCTACCCTATAAAATGCCACTCACACACTCTCAGACAGTCGTGTATGTTTACTACCGTGAGAATAAATTTTATGAATGCGAAAAAATCTGGAAAAATCATTGTCAGCATTGTTACAACATCGTGAGAGAATGACCCAAGTAAATAAGTGTGAGAGGCCTACCGTTCTTAGTTTCGGGATGCTTCCGGCCGGGGGGTAAGATTTAAAGGGGAAAATAACCTAAACTATTGTATAGTGTTGTATATTGCAGATATGTGCATTGTTTTTTTGGCTCAATTAAGGGAAAATTCAACCAATAATGAAATTGTAATATTTTAAACCTTATTTCCTTGTTTAAATTTACCATCACTTGTGTCTTCTTACCATCACTCAACCAGTATATTATTTATTATTAGTATTTTCAACGCCTCAGACTGTGTACGGTAGCGTGGCCGAGTGGTCTAAGGCGCTGGTTTTAGGCACCAGTCATTTCGATGGCGTGGGTTCGAATCCCACCGCTGCCACTACTATTTTTTTTTCTAAACTTAACAAACATTAATTGACATTGTTTTTTTTAAAACTTTTTTAGAAACACAGTCCCCTTTTAAAATTATTGCTTATTAGAAAGATAGTTTGCAGGCGGCAATTGTGGAGGAAATTATTATTGAAAAATACACGGGAATGAACGCGAAAATCATTCGACTCGTATCAGGTGCGTGGTAATCGCGCGGGTGTACTTTTAACAAGTGCAGATGGTAGCAAAAAATTGTCTTTCATTCGTACCAACTTTTTAAAAAGGAAATTCTAAGTACATTCTGACCGCTGAGGAGAAGTGACAATAGAACTTCCACAAAGGAATCGGCTAACTCGCGCGCGGCTCGCGTGGGCCTGCCTATGTATGTCCTGGAGTACTGGGTACAGTCTAACCTCTCCTTACAGACACCTCTATGATACGGACACCTCTCTATTACGGACAGTTCGTTTGGTCCCAGAAATGCAAAAATAATTCATTCCCTACCTCTATAATACGGACACCTCTGTAAAGCGGACGCTTAGTTCTGTCCCTTTGGTGTCTGTATTAAAGAGGTTTGACTGTAAAGGTTTTGAGTAAGGTAGTGGGGGAGAAGCGTTGCGTGACGACTCTAAAGACAGCTGTGTAGCAGACTAGAAGTAAGGGAGAAATAAACAAAATAAATAAAAGATCAAATTCTCCTTCCTACCCTCCTTCCTTCTTACCTTACTCTTACGATATTCTAGAACCGATCTTTGTGTTCAGTCCCCCGTCCCACACCCAACAGGGTTTCCTCCATGACTGAAATAATGCTCAAAATCACAGCAATGGTGATGATAATAATGATGATGATGATTATCACAACAATAATAGCAATGTGATATGATGTTTTCATACTACACATATGGTAATACATTTTGTTTTAAATTTTATCCTTGCAAGTTCCATTTGTATCTAATCCAAAGAAAATGTAGATTCTCTAAAGCTTTTGAAACTGGCATTTGTTACTCAAAAAATTTATGCTAGTGGTCCAACCAGTACTTTATGCATAACTCTATTTGAGTTTTACAAATAATGCTATATGGTTGGTATAAATAATTTAATAATTTCTGGTTATGGTTTGAGGAAAGTTCTAGATTTTTCTGGAGATCACATTTTCCAGTATGTTTGTGAGCTAACTAGGTGACAAGATGACTTATGCCCTTGGTGTCTTAATTTATGACAATTATTATCAATTAAGCCACCATTTAAAATAAGTCCACACTAGCCCTAGACAATGACAACAAGTTGAAAAAAAGGTAATGTTTACAATCTTTACATATGTTTAAAATCATACCCATATTGAAATTTATGTCAGTAATTAATACATCTGTTTGTACATTAATTTTATGATGACATTTCATCTTCATCATCATGTTTACTGTTCATTGTTTCTTCATGAATGTCAGGAAGCTTTGTTGCAATTACATTCAAAAGTTCCTCAATTTCTTGATCAGTCTTCAGACGCTCTTCGCTGTCTTCGATAATCTAACGAATAATAATCAAGCAACATTTTTAAAACACTCACAAATTATTTAAGTCCACTTTATGAAATATAAAAGAGAGGAAAGACAGCCTAGAAGCCAATAAAGTCTCAGTCACTTAAAAAAGTCATTAAGAAACATAAACATGCTAACAAATTACCAGCTGGATTTCCACCGGTGTAGTTGGCCTCAAGTTCAACAGCTGAAGCTTCTCAGCTCTGTTAAAAACAGAATAAAAGGGATTTCAAATAAACTTTTCAAAGCACAAGAAATTTGGTGTGTGACATTAAATACCATATTTTGTAGCCTGCAGACTAAAACAATTGAAAGACAATGACTGTAAATTGACTGAAAACAAAAATCTTACTAAAGGTGACATAATCAGCAATATTACCTCCTTCACACAATTCTAAAATATAAGAGAGTAGCCTCTCCCGCGCAAGATTACCAGGCACAGCTCCCACACACCCGTTTCCAACGTTTTGCAGAAATTGATCTGATTTTTCATAATTGATATATTTTTTAATAAAAAAAACTTGACATGTTTACATCTGGAAAATGGTTTAGACAAGGTTTCATCCAAGAAGAATGAAACTGGCCAATATCCTGTCTGAATGACTCAGAAACCCAGTAAAGGGGACTCTAGGGACCCCCCTGGACCCCCCTAGAAGCTTGCACCTTCGGCACTCATTTAGAGAATTGATCAGAATTTATCCTAGATCCACACCTGATTACATCATTCTCATTCCTAAGATGCTGTTGCCCATACTTCCCATCTTTTATCACCCATTGCAATGGCCTCTTTAAATAGATTGTTGTTGTCTAATAATGAAAAGTAGCCAGCTAATACCTGTCTATTAAGTAGTGGTCCTCAGGGAAGAAAGTTTTAGATGCAAGGGTATTGTACATTAGTATGCAGTGGACTGAACTATTTTGTCATGGGCCGAGTTGTTCAAAGCTGGGTTAAGATAACCCAGGGTAAGTGCGAAATTTGAATTCAAATTTGAAAGGTTAAAAGGAAATTCAGTTTAATTCTTTTTGTCTACAATATTATGATTGGATGATCATCTTAAAAGAACAGAGAAGATTATCCAAGAAATTGCTTTTAGTCCAGCTGCAACCTCATTCCCAGGGCGCTTTTCCCTGGCTTTGGCCTTCAAAGCCATTGAATAAAAGAAAAAGAAAGCCAGATTAAAATTTAACCTCAGGTTAACGCTAATCCGCCTTTGAACAACTGGACCCAGTTATTTACCTTTGTATGGAATATCAGGGGAAACAACTTTAACATATAAATGATAAATATGACACCTTTGGCAATATTTTATCAAACATCTTGGTGTTATTAAGGGATAATAAAACACACATCAGTGGATATTTTATAAAGATTTATACAAACTTTGTTAATTTAAATGGCTCCATGGCTTTCAAAAAGTCTTCAATTATCTCTGGACTCTGAGGAAGAAGCCAAGGAAAACCTTAATACAATATGTAATCCCGAAAAGTAGTCTTTATCTTGAAAGTTACAAAATATCCAGAAAGTATTCAAGCTTTTTTTCACACCTGACTCTTGCAAGGAGTCTTTTCTAAATGCTTTCGAGCCTGTGAAAGAAAGGAAACAGGACCATAGTCAGCAAACCTCACTAGCAAAAGTTGCAGATAAAGGAGGATGCAACAAAGATGTCTGGTTTGGTATAGCACTCATAGATTTAATTGGACCTGCATGGCTAAGGCCATTTTTCAGATCTTGCTGAAACCCACCACATCTTTGCTCATTTTTGACATTGTGACCACTGTGATGTGAAGCGAAGATGTAGCAAAGGCAGATTACTCTAACAACCACACAAAACCAACAGAATTTAAACACTTACTTTTGCAGAGCTGTCATTAAGAGCCATAACCCATAACACCTGTTACAGCTGAGCTTACTTGATTTTACGGGTGATCAAAGTGAGAAGCTAAAGGTGACACTATAAAGTTTTAGGGAGATGTTACGGGTGAATCTTCATTTGCTATGGCTGCTCTAAAAATTAATGACAGCCCTATTCAAAAATAAAATATTAATACACAAGCAACTACCAATGAGTCGAAAAAAATGTTTGGTGGTGGTACAGCTGTTTTAAAAACATGCCACAGACAGTATATCAATAATTTTGCCACTTGATAGTTATTTAGTTCACAGAAATAACTGTTATACAGAATCAACTCTCAGCCTCCCAGGCTAGCTGAGATACTAGGGTAGGAAACTAAAACATTTTAATACCAGATCTGTTCTACCATCCACACTCATATGCTTGACCAAAAGTAGGGTTTGGTCATGTCTCCAGAAATTTTAAATACCAAATCTAGTGTGAATACTTTGCATCTGAATGAATTTTCTTGGATTAATTTTTGTGTGTAAACAACTGCAAATCTGAATGATATAAATCAGGAAACATACTGCAACCAAAAAATCTCCTATAGAGTAAAATAAGCCTTAGAAGTTGGTGTTCTTCCAATTGTGCATTTGAAATTATGTACAAATACATGTAAAATGCAAATGATGTGTTTCTATATTTTATTAGCTTTGCAGGTAATAAGCTGGGTGACTGCAATACTGCATCATAGGTCAGGACCCATAAAGACGGGTACTTCCCTTCCATAGCCCTTATTTACACTTAAATATCATAATGCTTTATAGTGGCAAAAATCAGTGCCTACTTGGTTAGTATCGGCCGCCTATTCTGCCTGGCATTTCTTTATGGATGGCATTTTTTAAATAAAATATCCCTGGACTGGCCACTTACTTTGACAACTCAGCCGTCAATTTCAAACCTTTCTGATAGCCCTAACCTATACACAAGGGACCCCACCCTTCCCCTTCATTACTCATTACTAAGGATTATTTTTGGGGGTGTGGTTGGGGAGGGGTGATAACCAGTTTACCTTATAATCTCCGTTTTTTGGCTAAACTTTCCACTACCCTTCTCACTATCACTTTAGGAAGCACATCTTGGACTTCCCTGCTCAAACTAACCTCATAGCATATTGTCGACAAGTTGACGAGGTGTTTTGCCTGCCTCTTCTTTGGATTGCCCCCCTTAGTTTGATTTTCTGTTTCCTGTAACAGCTGGAACACCTCATAATTACTCAACATAGAAGCTTTCTCATTAAGTCTAAAAAAATGGATAACACAAAAAAATGCTTTTTGGTCTGGTATATATAGCACATGAAACGAAACGTTGGAAGCTTCATACAATCCTAGCAAAACTACTGATTTTTCTCTTACACTTCCATTTCTTTAACCTTTTCGAAGGATCATTAAAATAAACTTGACAAGCTCATTTCTTCTTGTCTGAACTGAAACTTCAAAAAAATGGTGAAGTTATCGTTGTCCAAGAAAGAAGAAAAGCATGCATGAAGGCCGCCATTTTAAAAGTGACCTGGTTACTAAGCTCTTACCAGTCTTTCTCCCCCAGGATCAGGATCAGGAAGTCAAGATGGACGACGGAGGACGTGACGATTATCTTGACCCAATTTTCCCAGGTCAAAGAGAAGGCTGTCTCCACGCCAGCAGAGGTTAAAATGTTTTTTTCTGTATTTTTAACGTAGGATGTCATATTTCTGGCGTTTCCTGTTCAAGGAAAGATGGCGAACGAAAAAAATGATCTCGATCCTAATGTTACACGATTCTTGCAAGGTCGAAGAGAAAGCTGCTTGCACGCAAGCAGAGGTTGTGTTTTGGTTGTGGTTTGGGTTTGAAGGTTTCCAAGAAACGTTCTGATGGCCTCATAAATTTCCCTTTTTCAGGGCCTTTTCGTTTTGTGCTGCTAATCTTTACATGTATGATGACGTTTGGTTCTTACTTTTGTTTTGATATGCCAAGGTAAAGTCATTTTTACATGTAACTCCCTCTTTGATTTTAATTTTTCAATTTATACAATTTATATTATCCATATATAACATATATGTGACGTCTGTTTGTGAGGATGGAAGACATGAATACTTTAGTTTGTATGTGTTGACAACTAGAAATTAAGAGTCAAGTTAACTAGAGATGAAGGCTCCACTTCCATTTTAGTTTTGCTTGACAATTTCAGTTTTGTATCTTGTTTTAGATTGGTAGTTTAGCCTACAGTCTTCATTTCTATATAAAATAATTTCTGTCATTCTGACCACAGGCCATATAAGCCCCCGGCTTTGGCTTTACTGAGTTTGTACTATATGAGCGATGGAATAATAAAGTTAAAGTGAAAGTTAAAGTTAAATACAAAGCAATTCTAACAGGCAAGCCGAAACAAACAGAAAGCTGTATTTTGTGCGGCCGCATAAGAGAGAATGCATGAAAGTTGCTAAAACTGAGCCTGATCTCAGGTTAGAAACAGGTGCAAATTACTGAAATTTACACTGATTGTGATTGTCGTTAACTGTGTGCATAATGCACATTACATTAATTTTATCTATGGTAATAGTACATTATCTTATTTTGCAGTGTCTTACAGGATACCTTCACTGCAGTAAGTGCTTTTGATAATTTTTTGGCAGAAACTGCAGCTTATGATAAAAAGTAGTCTATTCTCACCTGTCTCCCTCACGCCTATTGTTGAGTATGGGCAGCAACAGTCTCGATCTGTTGACTAATATAATCCTAATATAAAACTGAGGTGGGTAGGGTGGGAAAAAGCCACAGAAACGAGACCTGAGAAGGATAGGCGTAAAAGGAAACGAATGAGAACGGTCAACATGTTGAATATAAACTGCTTAGCAGCTTCGAGAGAGTGGCATAACTCCTTTGTCTACTCTGCCTTTTATACGCGCGAGGTAGGACCGCTAAGAATAGTAGTCTATTCTCANAGCTGAAAATTTTGCAAAGCGTTCATTTTTTGATAGTACTCCCATATTTTAGAAATCTGTTTATCAGTCGTTTGTTGCCATTAGTCTAGAAAGGCAACTGGAGATTAATTAAGAAGCTACCCATCATTAATAATTTCTCAACACCTTTCTGCTTGTTTGTAATAGCAACTACACCCTAACAAAACGATGCACAACTGTACCACCATCGATGGCAAGCCAACCTCGGGTTTGCACAGCAATGGCACCAACTGCACCAGTGGCTTGGGATTAACTGAAACACAGTACAATCTACTGTATTCCATCTATGCTTGGACGTAAGTAACTAAATTGAATGGTTCAAGAGGGAAGTAATCATAAGTAGGTTGAGTGTGATCGTCCGGGTGAACTTAGTCCTTAACCCTTTAAGCCCCAAGTATCCATATACAAATTCTCCAAACTGATCTCTATACATTTCCTTAAAGAATGAGTTGAGAGAATTTGATAATAGATCAAGTCATTTTCTCTTTGGTGATCATTTTATTAATTCTCATAACTTATCTCTTGAGAGTGTATGGATATTGTTTGGAGAAATTTGATCTTGGTCACTATTGGGACTTAAAGGGTTAATAGGACTGTTGTTGTTGAGTACAGTGACTGATGTTTCAACAATCTGTGCGGTAGTCATCTTCAGAGTCAAAGTTAGTTGTATCACATCAGTTGATGGTATTAAACTCTGGTGATTGACCTGATTGGTCAATTAAGTCATGATGTTATTGGCTGTCTGTTGGTTAAGCCACGATGTTATTGGCTATGAAGACTCGTAATGTCATGGGTGCATTTCGATCTGTCTATTATCACAGTCAAACATTTGTTTATTGTTAGTCAAATTGTCAGTTGTCCAGTTGTTCTCTCATGGTTAGTTTTGCTTGATTCCGTCAATAAGTTGTTTGTACGGTGCCGGTAACTGTTGATTACGATTCAGTGGTGTTTGTTCTAAGTTAGTAAACCAGCTTTCTAAAGTGAGTCGTTGATAGTAGTTTGTAGAATACGTAACACATGTCACAGAGTCCCAGGCGATTTGATGTTTTATCTGTAAATGGTGCTCAGTAATGTGATTGTTGATGTCACCATTTCTCATCGTTTTGTGTTTGGTCCATCACGTGCTAAGGTTTCTGCCGGTTTCACCAAATTAAGTAACCTGGCAGTCGCAGCATTTGATCTGGAAGTAACCATGTTAGTTATATGGCTGGCCCTGTGAGCAAGCAAGATGAAACAAATCTTATGTTCTGATTGGCTTTGAGCATGCAAGAAGGGTCTATCTTGCATATTTTGCCTGCTCAGGATTTCATACTTTGTTCTGCAAAAGAAGACTTTGTGAATTGATTATTCAGGCAACTTCTGGGTAACTGACCACCTACCCCTCGCCTAAGTCACAATTTTGCCCTAAGTGAGAAGTAGGTGTTAATGTTGACTTAGGGGAGGGGAAGGTAGTCATATACCCAGAAACCTCAATTGGTCCGTCTTGGATCAATTGAGGTTTCTTTCTGGCCTTATAATATTATTCCTGCTTATTGACCAAACCTGTACAGTCAAGATGGCTGATGAATATTTGCCTTTTATTTCATTCCCTTTTTTTTAATTTCAGGAACGCAATAGTTGTAATCCTTGCTGGTTTTCTGATTGATAAACTGGGAAATCCAAGTGAGTAGCTTCCCCTTTCAAATAAGTATATAGCGTGTTAGATTTGTTTGGTCAATCTTCTGGATCTTTCCTTGATTTATCATTATGTGGTCTTACATGGCATACAGCTGTAATATGGATGAAATCACAAGGGGGCAGGTTTAGTCTACTTCAAACTGCAGAATTCTTCAGTGGACGAAATAGATAAAACTATAATTTTCCCCACCTTTATATTATAAGCAGATTGCTTTAAGCCCTATGTGTGTGATCATCTTACGAGAAATTCTTGGGGCTATCATCAAGAACCCAGGGCTAGATTAATAATTTTAATTGGCGCTGTGTGTAGTGAAGTGGAAGGTAAAATATTTCTCACTCAATTGTGCATTTTCTGAATTGTTTTTTTTTATGTTAGTTGGTGCCTTACTGTTTTCATTTATGTGTTTGGCTGGTACATCTGTGTTTGCGGTTGGCCTGTACTTCAAAGGAGGGGCAGCAATGTTTCCTCTTTTTCTGCTGGGGAGAATTATGTTTGGGTAAGTTTGACTATTATACAAGTGCCTGTGTATTAAAATATTGCTTACTGATTACACACAGCTTCAAATACATGTTATTGTAGTATTGAGTAAAATCTATTTATTTCTGTTACTGTTAATGATTTTGAAATCTAAAACAACTTCTGCTTGCTTTCTTTTTTTTTTCTCCATAGATCTGGAAATGGTGCATTAACAAGTAAGTACAGTGCCAGACAAGTTTGCTCTCACTAACATTTTTATCACAAGAAACACAGTGAACTTTCATCCTTTTTCACTCTGTATTATTGGACCCATCCGCCTCCCTGTATCATTGATGATTGACATTACTGAACTTTTCAATTATCGCTCATTAATTTTGGTATTTAGGTCATATCCCAGCTTTGATAAAGGGGGATTAGGAACGTCAAAAAAAAAAACAAAAGTGATTGTTGAACTTTGTTAAACTAACGCACTAATGCTAATAATTTTTAACAACTTCTCCCCATAATTTGGTTTTGCCCACGAACTGTCTAGATTGGAAAGTAGCTATCAATGGCAGTTTGGAAATCATGTTTTTTTTTAATCCTCAGTTGTTCAAAATAGGATTTGTGCTATGTGGTTCAAAGGAAAGGAACTTGCCTTTGCTTTTGGATGCATTTTGGCATTTTCAAGACTTGTAAGTTGCCACATAGTCATATGGTGACTGAAATCTATGGAGAATACAAATTACCCATGGAGAGGGGTGTTGGAGCAGAAAAAGAAAGGAAGCTCCCCCAATTCCCAATAATATTACCTTTCTCCAACATCCCCACAGGCAATTTTTACTGTTCCACCTTTTGTCACCGTGTGAAATGCTACAATTATTACCTTTTAGTTAGTAACATTTTTTAAGGTAAATGTAAATTTTAACTTGGTAAAACTTTTTTTAACTAAATGATTCTGAAAAATTCAGAGAGAACTCTACTAGTAGGGAATTGAAAAAAGAACTTTGCCAACCATTTACCTACATTAGATAGTACCTCTAGATCTATGATACTGTAAGTGATTATCTAACAAAATTATTAAATCATCATAATCATAAAAATTATTATTATTATTATCATCAATATCATCATAATATTATTAATTTTTTGCAGGGTAGTGTGTTAAACTTTTTTCTGACAGAACGATTTGAAGAAAGGCATGGTCTTCAATTAACGTTATGGGCAGGTATTGAATTCATTCTTTTTATAGCGAATTTGTCCAACCAATTTTTTTGTAATTAGAAGGTTATTATATTCATATGTTTTTACCTTGAGATTTATCCTGAATGTTAATTATTAGAACATTTAATCCATGAGAGATTTTTGTCATTTTACAGGGGCTATTTTGTGTGGATTTGGAGTTTTTTGTGCAGTAGTGGCATCATTTCTGGATGTTACTGGATTGAAGCAACTGAATAGGGTATTCTCATAAATTATGATTCGTAGATCATTACTTTCTTTAGTCTCACTTTCATAAGCAGCGAGACTCGTAATCTGCAATAAGTTTTTTGTTGTATTTAGGATGCAAAAGGGGGGTCGCTGTGCCAGGCGTTCCTAACGGAGACCGTGGAAACTGGGACTAAGAATCGTTGCATGATCGAAGCTATGCATATTTTGCGAAGAAAGCTTAGGAAAGAGTAACTTTAGAGCTTTCCTGAAACGTGTCGGTCCATGAATTCTATCGCTTGGAAGCGTTGATTACTTTGGAACAAGTGAACACTACTGAGTGGTCGTAAGAAAATAAGAATCTTAATTAGCAAAACTGTGATGGTTGAGTGTTGTAAACTTTCATTGTATGCAAATTGATCTTGTGATGAGCATGCAGTTTATTTTCGGTGATGATAGAAATGACGTGCCACGTAAATCACTTTCTTGATCTCTGGAAATGATGTAATTTCTCTGGAATCAAGGTCCTTGAATTTTCGTGTATTTATACATGCGTATAGCCTACAACAACAGAGGTATTTCTGGTCGTCGCTAAAACACGCGTACAAAAAATCAATTCAGAAATAAATAAAAAGTATCGACGTCGATAAAGTAGGAAGTAAAAAACCTTCAGAGAGTAAATGCTGTTTTGTGTAGAAATAATCACCTGCTCAGTTCTCGATCTAATCTCCAAGCAAGGGAGACTGAATGCCGCTGTAAGAACGTGCTTGTTGTACAAATTTTTGATCTTGAGAAACATTATTGCATGCAATTTGCTTAAGGTCCCAAAAAAATTAAGTGATTCCCAGCAAGAGAAAACAGTTTTACTCACTGTAGAAATTATCACTTATCATTTAGACTAAATTGGTGCCACACAAGAGCCCGAAAATTATACTTATCTACTTTATCTTGCTTTTTCTTGTAGACAACAGAGATGAAAATTGATTCCAAAAAGGTGGTAAGTAACTTAGTATAGACATTAAAAAAGGCAGGTACAAAAGTCGGACCGGATCAACTCGGACCGCCAGTCCGGGTCGGATCAACTCGGATCGACTCGGACCAACTCGGATCAAATAAAAAAATAAAAATAAAATAAAATTTGACTCGGATCAACTGGGAGCAATCAAAAAAAATTAAATTAAATCAGCAAAACTGAAAGTTTAACCTATTTGGAGGGTAAAAAAGGCCAGATCATCCTTTTTTTCTCCGTGGCTTTCAGGCGCCATTTGTTTTACTGGTGCCAGTTCCTCTCGGATCATGTTATAAACTCATGGTTGTGGTTCGACAGTAAAGAAATGATAGTTTCAGTCGCCTGGAACGTATATATTTGCTTATTTATTAGACTACTGAATTATTTATGAGAAAAGCATCAAAAGTCTGGTCTGTTGATCGCATTTAAATAGTTACCGAAGAGTGTTTGTTTGTTTGTTCCTGTTTGTTTTTTTTTTCTGCAGGACTTCTGAAACTTAATTTTAATGATACACTAGTGAGCAGCACACATACATTTCCAGTGAACATTTTCAACTTGGAAGGAGGAGAAACCATGCTCGCCCTGGACAAAGGAAATTTCCATGCGCCAGGCAAGAATCGAACTCGCGACCCTCCGGTTCAGCGGTTGGAACGTCCGATAAACATATAGTATTCGGAGGGTCGTGAGTTCAATTCTCGCCTGGGGTACGGAAATTTTCGTTGTCCCGGGCGAGCATGATTTCTCCTCCTTCCAAGTTAAAAATGTTCACTGGAAGTGTATGTGTGCTGCTCACTAGTGTATCATTAAAATTAATAAAAATAAAAATAAAATTAATTTACGCAACCACGAGTTCGTGAGAAAAAAAAAATGGCAGGTGAAAGTTAAGTGATACCGACTGATATTATTTTTCTTTTTATAATCCGAGTTGTTTTTTTTTATGATCCGAGTTGATCCGAGTCCAATTTTATTTTATTTTTATTTTTTTTATCGATCCGAGTTGGTCCCAGTCGATCCGAGTTGATCCGACCTGGACTGGAGGTCCGAGTTGATCCGGTCCGACTTTTGTACCTGCCTCATTAAAAATATATTATATTATTTTATTTTATTTTATTAGATATTTTCAATTGTTATTAATTTTCAGAGAATTGCAGACATCAAGCACTTTTCCTCTACGTATTGGCTTCTGGCTTTTTGCCTTATGTTCTTTTATATTGGAGTCTTTCCATTTATTGCAGATGCAAGGTACAAACATGTTTCATTCTTTTAATTAAATTGTCTTTAAAATGGGTCTTTATTATTATCATTATCATTATAAATAAAGACATCATCATCATCATTTTTATTTTTATTATTTATTTTTTTAAGTTGCCTTAAGCAATATAATGCTTTGTTTTCTTGTAACATTAACTTTTTCTCTTTTTGCAGCAAATTCATATATGTGAATTACAGGGACACTTTTGACTTCACCAAGAAGGAATCTGCATACATTGCTGGCTCTGTGTATTTGATGTCCATGCTTTTTGGTCCTTTGATGGGTCTGTTTGTGGTAAGACGTGTGTAAAGTGTCAAACAAAGAAAAACATTCTTCCTTGGTGTACAGAGTGTGGGACCAGGCTCCGCAGTGGGGAAAGGGTGCACGGCAAAAAAAAATTTGGCAAGCAAAGTGAGCTGAGTGGTGGACTGGGAAGGGCGAAAGAGGGGCAAAGCCTGGAGACATGCCTTTGATGCCGCTGTTCCATGATACCATATTCTGGTATCATGCTCTGATTGGCCAAATGTCTCATTGTTTGCCGGATTTGTCATACTGTCGACAGATGAAATCACACACTCTTTCAATTTGGGAAAGCTTTGTGTTTTGAGACAGTAAACATGGATTATGAGCATATTAAATTAGGCAATAACAATTTCTTCGCGAGTTTTTTCGCATACCCCTTGGCCCCAAGAAAAGAAAAATGTACCTGTGGTCTGTTGAAAGAACAAAAAGAAGCATTTAAAATATCGAGCTTTTTTTGCTCCCCTGTTATAAACCAGGGTCACATTTACAAAGTGATTGAGTTACAAACCAACATTCAAGAGGCTCAGCTCTGCAATCATGTTCCTACCAAATGTGTCATAAACAGCAAAAACCAGTGGATATATTTAAAGTGGGCATGTTGCAGACAGCTAAACCTTGTGTTCTGTGATTGTGTAAACCAGAACTGTACGGAGATAACAGCGATTGTGGATGAGTATTAATTATTTAAAACAGTGTAAAATCCCTGAAAGAGTTCTCCTTGTTGTAGCAATGTGTAGATTTTCAATTGTTTTCTGCCAGTGATGATACATGGCCTGTCAGTCCTTGCAGTTTTTAGGTAGGCTAAAATACTTTTCACAAGGTCGGTCGATCACTTGTTTGCTGCAAAATTGAGAGACCTTCTTTAGGATCTATTTGGCTGTTCTTCGCCGGTCAAACATCATGTGCAGTTACCTCTGAAACGTCTTTATTTCACTCCACAGGAGCTGGTGTTACTCCAGTTGACGATTGAAGTAAAGTAGATCTCGTTGCACTCTATTTCATCCCGGCGCATTACAATATTTTTTCAAAAGCGACATATATAGGCTCGTGCTGCATTTCACAGCTATAAAAGTGAAGAAACATCTGTTGAGAACTTAATGTGTTGAAATATCATTGACAGTTTTGGTGGAGGGCATATCAGCAGCGTCAAAGGCATGTCTCCAGGCTCCACCACCCTTTCCCTTTCCCATGCTCTCGCTTGGTATACTTTGCTCGCTGATTTTTCTTTTTCGCTTTTTTCCCCACTGTGGAGCTATTTTGTAGTTAATGTGTGTCCAATTTTCATGCATTTGATTACCTTTTGCTCATAAGATTATGGTTTGTTGGTACTGTAAGCCCTGGAATTACAAACCTCTATCTAAACTTGAATTGAAAAAGAAACCAATATTTTATTTGTTGCTGACAAAGTACTGCTTTAGTTCTGTTGACAGTGAAATATTATGTTGCCATACTCACATAGGCATGATAAGACAGAATCCATTAGAAAATTGAGTAACCAATTTTCAGGGGACAATTTTCGATGGATTCCGTCTTAAACTACTTACAGCTTCTATTAAGGGTCGCTCTCAGGAAAGGGCCAAGTCAAACCCACTTAGAAGAGATTCTGCTTAATACAGTGATTTTCTGACAATTTGTATACAGGGATTCTTATTTAACTGGCCACTAAGTAGAGGGTGGCTGCTTAATAGAGGTTTGATGGTGTCTTTCATTTTTTACAGGATTATTTTGGACGTAGAGGAATCCTTATACTTCTCTGTGCATTGCTTACAATCCCTGTTTATGGGTTACTGGCTTTTGCACCTCATGTTCATCCCCTTATCTGCACCATTTGGCTTGGGTTTGCCTATTCCATGGCTGCAGTAAGTTCATTAAAATTTTGTTGGTCGATATTCTAATACTAAACTTTATTTCCACCAACAAAATAGAAAGACTGTAAGCACTGTTCAAAACCACAGGGATACCATGTAATTCTAGCAGCAGTTTTTCAGAGGGGATAGCTCTACTCACTGGATAAATTTCTATCCACTGGATAACACAAATTATTGGTTTTCCTTATACTATACCTGTACTGGAAAGTGACTTATCTGGTGGATAGCAATTGTAGTAAGATACAGTAAGCTCCATCCCTGATCAACATACCAGAGCCCAAATTTAATGGTATTTATTTCTATATTTATTTTAAAATTTATTTATTTACAGACAGTGAGCATCTTGTTTATTTTTTTGCATGAATACTCCAAAGAGTATTTTATTAATTAAATTAATTAAGTTATTTTGAAAAGTTGATGAAAGTACAAAATATCGATATAATATATTCTAGTGATTTTCCCCGTAGGGATTTTCAGAATTAAATGTACAGTTATTGTGTTATGACCTGTTACAATGGAGACCAGGAAAGCAACATACTTTCTGTAACCACCATCAGCATATGGTTATTGAATGCCGCTTATTAGTCTTTATTATAATTGCTAACATACTATTTCATTAAATAGCAAGAGTAATTTTCTTGCTTTCCTGTAGGCATCTCTTTGGCCATCTTTTCCTCTCATCGTGGACCAGGCAACTGTTGGTGAGTTTTTTAAAAAAAACTGATATAATATTGTTCTAGAAGCAATTAGCAATGCTAACAGCTACCTTTAAATTTCTCTCTTTTTAAAAGGAACTGCACTGGGCCTCACAACATCCATACAGATGATAGGCATGGGAATAGCAAATGTCATTGTAGGAAAAATGCTTGATCTCATAAAGTAAGTAAGGCCTTAATGGTCCTCTCTTTCATTGGTAAAGAGCATCTGTTCATTGTTCATCTTTATAATTGCAGGAAGTTTCCTATGTCATAGTAAATGATTTAGCTACAGGAAAATCCCTTTACAATACTGTAGATGGAGTTAGCAGTGCCAGCACATTAATAGCCTGCAGACAAGCTCACCATTTGGGGGATATCGTGAAAAGTACACTCCCAAGAGGCACACGAGAGGAGACGTTCTCACGCGGCTCACTTTGCTCGTCCAATAGGAGAGCTTGCTTGCAGGCAGAGGCTAGCACACTAATTTTTAGCAGTTTATTTAAAATCTCTGGCCGTTATCTTTGCTGTATCCAAGTCAACACTGTCTGCTACCTGTACCTATTTCACAGTTTTTAAATTGCCATGCAGTTGTTGATACAAAGATTTCTTATGGGTTTGAGGATGGGGGTTTGTGGAAAAATCTGGAATGTTCATTTCCTCACCCCTAACTATTTATTATTTATATCCTATGTGTGTCCCCACATACAATTAACAGTCAAGAGCCTGTTACCACTGCCTCTTAACTTATAATTAGTTTTTTTACATTGTTTTGACATGTTTTTCAAATTTTCGACAACTATATTGATTTCCTTAAAATACAGAACCAAACCCAAGTCTCAGGGTTTTCAATAAGAATTCTAGTAGCAGGAGAAAGGTGTAACATTACAGAAGAATATTTTGAAAGAGGCTCCACATCCGAATATAAAATAGTCATAGGCTACCGAATGTTTGACAGAGAATTATTCATAGTAAACAGAGAATTCCCTGATCTCCAATGGCTAATGAACACCCTGAAATCCAGGCTGATTTTGAGGTAGATTTTATTTTCAAACCATCTTCACTTTATATTTAATATGGTGTGGTACTCATTCAAGTTGTAAAAACATTTAATAACAATAAAAATATTTATTAATAGTAATAATCATTATTATTATTAAAATGTCAAAATTTCAGGGCAACATTGACATGTATTTTTCAAAAAATAAATAACCACAAAATTGTCATGAATATGGAGCAATCACATAATTATTGCATGAATGCAAATACCCATCTCCAACTTTTCACTGTTTTTTACTATATTTTTTATAGCTCTGAAGACAAATGGAAATATGTGATGATCTTTCTCCTAGCTAACACTCTTGCATGTGTTACCTTGGCAATTTTGCTCAACATCAATGACAAGAGAAGGGTATGAAATATAATCACACTTCATTACAAATCACTGAAGATCTAAGTAGGGTGAAAGACCATTTTTGTAACTACCCAATGCTAGTTTTGCAAGAAAACCTCAACACACCCATCACCATGTAGACAAAATTTTCTAAGTGTGGGGTTTAAAATGAATCATAAATGTCTACTTTGTAGATGCGAGTTTTGAATTTTGCTACCGCAGATGGGTTCACAGAATACTTCACAGCAGAAAAAATTGAAACTTCAAACTCTCTTTTAGTGTGTTCTTCCCACACTTTTATTTATTATGAAACATTTCAGAATTACAACTTAGTTCTTGTTCAGGTGTACTTTGATATTGTAAGTAAAAGTAACAGTTATGTCTTTCCTAAAGTAGGCCTGGCTAGGTGTTTGAATGGATTGCTTATGAAGAAACTGCATTTTAACCATAACAATGTGACCATTGCACAGAGGTTATTTAAAGAGCAATTTCAATTTTGAGACAATAAATAAATAATTTGTTAATACTGAAAATTGAAGTTAGTGCTAAGATTGTCAGGCATAGAAAGAATTAGTGACATTCTTTTTTTAATTTTTTTTTTTCCTACCCTCTTAGGGTGGCATTTTAAATCGTCCACCACAAAGAAGAGGAAACGCACTACTAAACAGCCCAGCCAACACCTATGGATCCATATCAACAGCAGGATACACCAATAAAGATGCTCTTCTTTACGACTCATCAACATCCATTAACTAACCATACTGCTCAGAAAGAAAGAGGTTTTAGTTTGAAAGGTCATACTACAGGCTGGATTTCACCCACAGACACAAAAAATGTTAGAACTGTGACTAAATAAAATAGTACCACTGAAGATGCTTTATCTGAATGGTCACACCAGGAGATTCTATTCAAAGATTCAAGAGTTAGCTTAAAACTATGATTTTTTTCTAGGAAGTTAATGTTTTGCTGATTAACTCTATATGAAGTTGACATTATTATTTGTCAGAGTATTTTTCTAAATTCCAATAAGGAAGACAATGAAAAGAAATTTACATTACTGTAGAATGTTAATATTTAAATTTATTTAGGTTTTAATAAAAATAGAACCGTCTCTTTTGGAGAGAAAAATTAGAAAATATTAATGAAATGTTTCAAAATAACAAAAGCTTTGATGTTGAGCAAAGGGCATAATATTCTAATTAAAATTCAGGACTAACAAGAAACAGCTTCAGTCAGCAGACTCGGGGCCTTGGGATTGGAACTCCAGAGTTTTGACTGTTCTCCCACACAGCCTTTGGAGATCATATCTATTCAATTAGTCATCTACAGATTATTTATCCATTTTTATTACAGTTGGTACACGACCACCCAAATGCAATGGTATGTTTAAAGAATAAATTACGGGAGTCTCTTTCAAGAAGAGGTCCCCAGGCATCTAATTTTTTGTACAAAAAAATATATTACATGCATTTTCTACGTCACTAACGTGTATATGTTTAGCTCTAAGCTGATGCTAAAAGTTCTTTGAATTCTCTTGGTAGCCCAGTACATACATGTACTGCTAACATAGAGATCAGATCATGGGTCAATTATTGATTGTCTACAGGATGTTTAAGACAATGGATTATAAAACCCTCACCCCAAAAAATTTTACGAAGGGTTCCAGATTTTCAGGGAAATTTTGGTGTTTGGGATAAATGGTTGCTTGTGAGAGGTGGTGGCACATAGAGGTTTGATAGTATTAATATCCTTTGTTTACCCTCGGCATTATTTATAGCATTGATGCTGGTGGGGCCAAGCAAATGCCAGAAACAAATAATCTAAATTTAACATAACAGGGTTAAGAATCCAAACTGGCCAGAGGCAAACCAGTTGGCTATTTACAAGCATGGTTGAGGATTTGAACTCAGGACTACTGAGAACAAATCCTGCTAACGGTCAGGGTGGGAATTGAACTTGGGGCCTCCGAAATGCAAGTCTAGGGCTCTAACTACTCAGCCACGCTGCTTCCATTATACAGTATTTGCATAAGATTTTATTTTAATTTCCTACACTCTTCATCTTTCTTTATTCTCCATGTACAAATGTCTGCAAATTCACATCGATGACATTTCCAAGCTTCTTCAATTTCCACTCCAATAGTTTCTCTTTCTCCTTTCCAGTATGGTAGCATTGTGACCAGCTTAGAATGTGCCCAACTCTCGTCCAGTTGCAAACAAGTTTTGTGTATTTCTTCATGGCTAAACTGAGAACAGTACTCAACTACTACAGAACTGATTTTAGGTATATTTGATGTCTTGAATCTACTTAACATCAGGTCAGCAATTTGGATGAGCTTAGCACATGGTATTCTCAATTCATTGGCAAATTTGACAACATCTTCTGAAAGAGCAGCAAGGCCATTTAAATTAAATTTTGATAGAAGTGTGGTAGTAGCTAACTTCCCTTCCAGCAAGTCGTTGAACATGATACTGTAGAGCATAGCTTGTAAGAAGTTTTTGTTCTGCTGTGCTTTAGACGGCAAGCTGTTGTTGGTAGCTCTGGTTTTCAGCTCTGAAATTTCAAGTTGTCCCATTTCATTGAAGTGTAATTCATCAATAATGCCATATACAAATACTCCCAATTGAAAGGGTTCTCCAAAGACTGGAAGCTCTCTAATTGTTTGCTGTGCATCTAAGAATGCCATTTTATTGAGGCAGTTGAGAAACCTGGTTGCCCACTTGTCTTCTTTGCTTTCTATCTTGATGTCCACAACATCATATAACTCCAGCTCTGTAAAATATGAAATTCAAAACTCAGTTACTTTGTAATAAATAATAAATTACTTTGTGAGAAAAATCTTCTGAGTGGTACCATGGTTAAAGGTGCCTCAAAGGGGTTAATTAATGAACTTGTGTCTAGTTTCGAAATGGGAAAAATGGGATTTGAATAACTGGGACTGAGATTTTGCCTGTCACTGGATGGAATTTTGAATGGGACTGTGAGTTATGTGAAATTTAACACTTTGAAAATGGGATCCCCACCATAGCAAAATAACATCATAATTGTCATTTTTCTAAACAACAATATTTCCTATTCCCACCAAATAATAATTATTGTTATTACCTGTAGCAAACACTGATGACTGTTACTATACAAGTTCCCAACCCTTAACCTTTCTGGTAATTATTTTGTTTACAACAAAGTGGGTTTTGACAATCGGGTAAAACAGTTTATGTTAGAGGAACATAACAGTAGCAGTTTAAACTGCTTAATTAATAATAACAATAATTATTATAATTAAAATTTATTGACTAGTTTACCTCTTGCCATGTGGATATCTTTGCCTAATTGCATTTGTACAGTCTCTGGTTTTGGTTCTGGAGCCAAGAAGTTGTACTCCATCTGTTGCTCACACCAGAACTGCGCTGTCAAATCACTGACACTTAGATATCCCAAACCACCTCTAAACTTATCCAGAGGGGTTAGAAGTCCTGGTCTAGTTTTTCTGGAAGTGGCTTCAACCTCTGATGATTCAAAATGATTGGTGGTTCAGTCAGTAGGGCATAGGTAATCTCGTACCCAGATCTTCTGTGGCCAAGGGAAATAAGCATAAGACAGAGTGAGATCTGGGTATGAGATTAGAGCATAGGTACAGTCAACTCTCTCAATGATGTAGTGATAGTCAAGGGTGGAGTGACTTGGGAACTGCAGGGACCCAGAGGGAGAGGGTACTCTTCAATAGAAGGTACATGAAAGGAAGCCTCTTCAGTCAAAAGTGATATGTAAGAGGGTAAGGGGCGGGGGCAGAGCCTCCCCATGTAAAGCTTCCCTGGAGGGGGGCAAATCATTACTACTGTACTTGTACATGAGGTAACTAGAAATTCTGATTGGATACTAATAAATATGTTAATGTCCACAATGTTCTGTTTGGGAACTGTCAGAAAATATTGGCCATAGATTTTCAACTGGATGTTTTGTGTAAATGTTAAGCACCCTAGATTTTTTTATTCATAAATTTATTGAACTAAACGATGCGGAATTTCTAAGTAATAAGCCATAAGTTTATATACTATATGAAACACGAAGCAAAACTTATCAACTAACCTTGCATGGCAGCTTCCTGTATTGCAGCATCTATCGCTTCAAACTCCTCCTCGCTAACAATTTCAACTTCAAACTGAATCTTGACTGCTACAATTGGTCTCATCAGCCTCCAAAAATTCGGCCATCCTACGAAAAGCTGTACCATTTTAGCGTAAAAACTTCACATATTTACAAAATCTTTTGATCCATTTTTCTTAGAATATAATTATTTTTGTAGTAACCGCTGGTCTGAGCCGCTTTCCCGCGTGTTTCGGTTTTGTTCACCGGGAAATACCCGGAAAGTTCACCAGGAAATTTGCTCTGTTTTTGTAAACATTTCCGTCCTGTTCGCCTTTCATCGAATTTCTGGGTTGATAAACTACTGTATTTAGCGAAAATACAGCGGATTTTATCATAACTGTGTTGCTATATTGAAAACATACGTGAATAGCTCAGTCTTCAGATATGATTTCCGCTGTAAATGGTGTTCAAGACATGGAAGAGTTGGAAGGGCGAAAACATGTCAGCAGAGTTTATAAAGTTGTCCTGACTGGAGGTTTGTTTGATTTTTATGTTAAAAATAGCTGTTATACTGTCTTAGAGCCATATGGTAAGACTTTTCGCACAGCCCTTATTCTGTGCTATTGCGAGCATACCGGTAAGATGTTTGTTTTCATTGCATTAATAAGGGATAGAAGAAGAATGCTTATATACACATTGTAGTGAGCTGATAAGTTTAGGAACTGTGCTGAAATCTTATTTTTTTTTATTTTTTTTTAAGAGAATAGGTGTTTTGAATGTAAAAATAAAAAATCAATATGCACGTGAGGACCACATGACTGAAGCTTACAGATTAATAATAATATTGAACATCAAGCCATGTATTCTGCTTCCGCTCTTCAAAAAAAAACAACAGAGTTTACAAAAATAGCAAAGATTTTTTTTCCCTGACATTGAACATCCAAGATTTACTTAAACGTTGTCAAAGAAAGTCCACAGCTGTTAACAGTATTTTAATTCAAGATTGGGTATCAGCCAACCTTTCTTAGAAAATCGTGGATTATACATTAATAAATAATCAATTCATCCATATCCCTCAGCCTGTAACTGAAAAATAAAAAAAGGCTGTCTGTTTTTTTTATTTTTAAATCACCCAGAGTGCACTCTGCTTGCCCCCAACCTCCCCAAAATAGTCAATTATTCTTTTTTGCAAAACTCGCAAGAACCCAAACTTGTCCTCTGTTCCCAGAGTTTTCTTCTACTTGCCTCCGGGGAATGGTGTAGGACCCTCTGGTAGGCCCTCTGACAGGAACCATGATTAATAATTCCCCAATTTCCCACTTGGGCATAATACTAAATGTCATATTATGTTCTCTTTGGACTTTGCAAATTCCGAACAGTGGGGTCAGCTGAAATATGAAGAATCCCTACAATACTTTGACTAGGCCAAACAATGTTTTTTTTTTTTTAAAAATACTTACAGTAAAGTAAAAGGTAAAGGTGCACACGACCCAAAGGCCCACACGGCCAGAGCTTATGGTTGTTTCCGTAGCATGAAGCATGCCTAGCTAGGAGTATTGCTACTTCCTCCTGGATGGGATGCTAGTCCATTGTACGGTTACCCCTCAGCAGTATGTCGCCGGTACCCATTTAGACACCTGGGTCAAGAGAGACAAAGTGGAGTAAAGTTCCTTGTCTAAGGAAACAATGGACGGCTTGAACCCCGGACCTCCAGATCCGGAGTTCGAGGTGTGAACTGCTTGGCCACACGCCTCCACAAACAATGTTTTTCTTGAAAAACGCTGACAGTAAAACTGGCTAATTTATTGCAATAAATCCCATGCAGTTGAATAAAATTATCTGTAAGGCATGTCAGGTGAACCACCACCAAGCCCCTGTGTGGGAGCAAATAATTTTTGAAGCATTCAAGCATTTTCAACTCTACTCCAATGGGAATTTATTGATGCAAACTTATTTCCATACAAGACTTCCCTACCTTCCTTCCATTTGACCAATATTTTGGTATAGGTGAGTCACTGAAGGTTTGAAACCCTGTCCTTGTTTAGGATCAAAAAAATTCTTAAAATACATACCCTGTTTAGGACAAAACCCTGTTACCCTGTTTGGCCCAAAGGACATGTACTCTGACAGACTTGCATGAAATTGTATACCCTGTTTAGAACAGAAAGGATGAAAACCATACCCTGTCTAGTGGCACGTCCCTGTATAGCAAATATAAGACCCTAACTCTAACCTACCCCCCCCCCCCCCCCGGTCAACCTTTTTCCTCTTTTTTCCCCTTTACTTTTCTCCTTTTCTTTTTTTTTTCATTCCTTTTTTTATTATTATGGTTTTTTCTTTTTTTGTTCAAAGGCCCTTGTCCAGGAAAAACAACAGTTAAAGAAATGTTGCCCACTTTTTTTAAAAATTTTGGGTGGAAGGTACACCTTCCTTGTTTTAGGACAAAAAAAATTTTAAAACACCCACCCTTTTTAGGACAAAACCCCGTTACCCCGTTTTGCCCAAAAGAAAAGGTCCCCTACCAACTTGCAAGAAATTTTAAACCCCGTTTAAAACAAAAAGGTAAAAAACCCATCCCCGTCTAGTGGGCCCTCCCTTTTAAGCAAAAAAAAACCCCCAACCCCAACCCCCCCCCCCCCCCCCCCCCTCCGGTCAACCTCTTTCCTCTCTTTGCCCCTTTACTTATCTGCTTATCTTTCTCTATTCATTCCTTTGTTTATGACTATGGTATTTTACTGTTTTGTTCAAAGGCCCTTGTGCAGGAAAGACAACAGTTCAAGCAATGATGTCCACTTTTTTTGAAAATCTTGGCTGGAAGGTACATGCTGATAATAATAAGGACTGATAATGCATGATTGTTGTTCCACAGTTTAATGTATAAATATATTTTTATCTTATTCTATTTTCGTATTTTGTAGGTTTACAGAGTTCCTGAAGCAGCTACCATACTACTTGGGTACTGTAATACTTTAAAGGTTGACTATGTTTCAATGAACTGGGTTTTTTTTATAAAAATGTTATTGTTGTACTCATTCAGGGCTGTAAGTGGTCCTGATTTTACTGGTTAGTTAGCTAAAAAAGAGAAAATGAAAAGGTTTGTACTGATGGTCTAGTTGAAACTCAATGATATCCACAATTCCCAAGAATTCCATGTCATTCTAACGTGTTATTTCATATTTTTTGTTTTGTTTTTGGTATAGAGGTGGTGTCAAGTTTCCTGATCTTGATGAAGAAGAAGGTATGGAGAGCAGCCTCAACCTTAAAAATGCAAATAAAATCCTCATTACACAGTCATACAGACACCCCTAAGCTATTGCATGTTTACTTCTATAGACAGTTTGTCTTATCCCCGAAATAACTTAGCCTTTGTGCAATCCCTACCTAAATGTTTGATATTGATCCCAATACTATATGCAGATCAGAGAGATGCCAAAAACCAGGGGACTGAAATTAGAAGAAAAGATTAGCCATACCATGCACCTGGCCCTAACATTCTTTGTTGTCCATTGTAATTAAAAAGACTTTATATTCAATGTTAAGTATTCTAAATTATTAACTTTCGTTCATTTTGCTTGTCTCTAGTGTACAGATTTCAGGAAAATCTTATGAAGACCTTGCTTCAGTTAGAGCAGACATTTTTTGACTTGGCAGCTAGCTGTAGGAGGAACACTTTAGTTATAAGTGACAGGGGAGCTATGGATCCTTCATCATGTAAGTTCCAAGAACAGTCCTACCTCAATTCTAATAGCAGCTTAATGCATCCACATATCAGATTCACATATTTAATGCGTCCACATATCAATCACCTATTTATACTTGGATCTGTTGTAGGGAAAAGAGAATGCTTGAAGTAGTATAGTCCCTTCGGTGGCCAATTAATTAAAGCTATGTGAAAGGAATCAAGTCAAAATAAGGATAATTTTGAGGTCACATCTAGGAATCGAGCTTGGAACCTCTCTCCTTGTGCTTAGTAATTGTGTATTTTATCATTCCTTACTCTTATTTGATTAACTTTCAGACATGAGTTCAGAGCAGTGGCAAAGACTTCTTAGTAATAATGACTTGAATAATGTAACACTAAGAGATGCACGCTATGATCAAGTTATTCACTTGGTAAGTTTATTTTTTTTTCTTGTTTGAGGTTATTTTCTCCGAAATTCTTTTCTCGACTTCTTTTAAAGCAATTTCATTTCCTTTGCATTCAAAGAATGCCGTAAGAATGAGTAAATAATTTTTCATTCTTTAGGTGTCAGCAGCAGAAGGTGCAGAAGAGTTCTATATTACATCAAACAATCACACACGAATGGAACCTGTGGAACAGGCCAGAAAATTGGACAGAATAACACAACAGGTCAGCTGTAATGAATACCAGTATTTTATAACCCATTGCACGCTACTGCTAATTAAAGTACCCAATGTTACTGTGGACTTTGTCGACTGACATGGTTACATAATTTAATTTCCGGAGGGTCTTATTTGCCATGAGCAAGTGTGTCTAAGAACTCGAGCCAGACCCTAACCATGACACCTTAAGTCGCACTTACTCATGAATATGCAAATTGAATCCAATATTCTATTTCATCCAACCACTGAAAAGTTTCCATAGTAAAAGTTTATGATTTATCGCTGGGATTTGAGTTTTAAGAAGGGGTTGAAAATGCTTTCCTCTTTAAAGCCTACACAGTTTTAATATAAAGGAACATCCAATTAACTGTTGTTATGCACACAATATACTTTTTTGTGACACTTGTTCTGTAACACTAACAACAGCTGTTACCAGACAAATTTCAGATGAATTGCAAATTGATTTAGAATTACTGGTAAGGTCAAATCCAAAAACGGATTTTTGATCCTTGATTTGCCTGATTTCATGGCTGAAAGGTTCTGAATCTGGATTTGCCAAAAGGAACACAAAATCTGTTTGAGATCGAAAATTTGAAAGAAACACACTGTAATAAATTTTTAAATATAAAAATGCTTAATGTTTTCTGATGTGAACTCAATGTCTGGTGAATGTCATTAAAATAATTACCAGTATTGATATTTTTGGTTTTAGGCATGGGTAGGGCACCCATATGTTGATGTCATTGACAACTCTACAAACTTCAACAACAAAGTCCGTCGTGCTATTGAAGTAAGATAATTTGCATGTTAACATTTTCATTATTTCTTTTAGCATTTTGCTACCCAGTTGTTGCTTTTTGGCATATATTTTTAAGCGTGGTATCTGTATGCGCTTCCTAATAGATGAGAACCTAGACTTTAATTTTGCGGGTTAGCGTAAGAAGGTGGTATTACGTGTGTGGCGTTTTGGCATGTGTAATCCAAGTGATGTTTTTCAATGTGGGAATGAATATTATCTTTGAGATACACTCATGCTGATATTTCTGAAATATCTAGGCAGTTTGCACCAAACTGGGACTAAATATCGGAGATCGCTTGTCACCAGAGAGCATAAAGAGAAAGTTTCTGGTTTCATCTCTTCCAGACAAAAAGGTAACCAGCAGCAAGTTTCAGTTTACTAATTTAAACAGTGCAATTGAAAATACCGTTGTATCCTCAGTATAAGACAACTTGAAATGGGCGAGGATGCTCGTTCGTCTCGCCTAGGGGTGTCAATTTCGAATTTTAGTCTCGCTTAGGGTGTTTTGGGCAAAGCGCCAAATTAGGCGTAAAGGTCTTTTTAAGAGTTGCACGCGAAGAAATATAAAAAAAAATTATATATTTTCAATTGGGGTTATTTACTCAATTCATGTGATCAAAGTTTAAATGGTCTCTTTTAGGTGTCACAAAAAGGGTTGGCCAGTCACGGATAGGTCTCCTTAATGGAGGTTTAATTCAAAATTTCAGACGAGCACCCCCGCTCATTTTCATGTGGAAGTCCTCTCCCCTCTAGGCTTTTCATAGCTTTTTCATAGAAATCATATTTAAGGGAACACTTGATCTCACAGGTTTAGAGTCATTTTTATACACCATGATCTTTATCCTGGATCATGACTCCTGGTACAGATAATTTATCCCATAGGAACACACCATAAATTTCAGCTTTGATGGCAAGTTATTAAGTCTTACCTTTAACTGTTTATTGCTGTTTTATAGGCATTTCCTGTTTTTGAGGACTTTGATGTCATTCATGACTACCTGTCTTCATCAGACCCCAAAAGTCAAGCTCGTCTTAGAAAAAGAGGCCAGAATGGTAACATAACATACACTGTTTACAGGTAGCCATTATGACATGTGAAGGAGGATCATGAGGTTATCCATATATTGAGATCTCTCCTTAGAGATAATTAACCCACCCAGCCCAGGGAAGGTTGGCCACGCCACTGAGGTCTATGTCCCCTCCCCTTTTCGAACAGTGGTGTGGATTCTTTTAAAATCCACAAGAAGCAGATAGGTGAAATTGCTGTGAGATGGGACTAATTGTTTTTTGTCCTTATCTGACAAGACTAGCAAGTCTAAGCCATTTGCCAATGTCATTACAAGGCCAGCACTTCTTCTCAGTTATTTTAAGAAACTAAGTGTTGGTCCAGCTGGGGTTTGAACCTACGACCTCCCTCTCAGCAGACCCGCGCTCTCCTAACTGAGCCAACCAGGCAGTCGATTATGTAAGTAAGTTGGGTTTTAATGAGACAAACCAGTAAAACGCTGCAGTTCTTTCAAATAAATAATGATAACAGTAATAAGTAATTTCTTTGTTTACCCTTGACAGTGTTTATAGTATGTTTGCTAGTGGGGCTGGTCAGTTCTTCTTGTTGAGATGCATGGCCAATGCAGTGTTGCATGCATTTCAGGTACCCTATAACTAGTTTCGTGTTTGTAATTTTTGCTGAATAGGTCACTACACCTACATGCATACGTCAAGGAAAGAGACCAAGATCAATGGACAGGTTGTGGAAGTCCGAACTAATTTATCATCAAAGGATTATGAGGTAATCATGATCAAGTTCATAATCAGTAGACATTAACCCCTCAAGTCCCAGGAGTGAGCAACATCAATTTTCTCCCAACAATATGAATACAAAATCAAAAGAATAAGTCATGAGAATTAATAAAATGATCACCGAGGAGAAATGTTTTTATCTTTTATTTAATTCTCAACCAGTTCTTTAAAGACATGTATAAAGATCAGTTTAGAGAAATTGTATGTGGATATTTGGGTTGAAAGGGTTAAGAATCTCTCTCTCACTGCTATTTCTTCTCCTTTTACTCAGAGGTTGTATACCCAGCTTGATCACTCTCGTCAGTCAGTGTACAAAACAAGAAGATGCTTCTTATGGAACAATGAATACTTTCAGTTGGATATTTATAGTGAACCGTGTCATCCAAGGTAAAATTGTACCTATTTTTCTACTTGTGTTTTTAAATACTGTATCATTACAGGGAGCCTGCACAATCTGTTTGTGTAGCTGATTGTTATTTTATAGTAAATGTTCTGGATTACCGTTTGCCTCACCTATAGCGATATGTCACTAACTATGTATATAAATCAATGATAAATAAACGTTGAATTACCTTACCTGTGGTATATAGTCGTCCTTTTACCCCAAAAATGTTTTTTGAGCGATTTTGAAGGAGTTTGAATTCGCCGTTGACTGTTCCTTATAATAGAAGGACAAGGGTGGAATCCATGTTTTGAAAGGGCTCCAGTGCCGGAGCGATTTTCCCCCCCAAAATCGCATCGCTCCGCTCTCAAACTCGCGAGCAAAAAGGTAGAAAGATTCACGTTTCTCCTCGTACCTTCCAATCGAAAAGCCATCCAAACAGCCCGGAGCTAGCCGTCGAAGAATATTAAAATCCCACAGTATTCAAGGGGCAGGAATGCGTAGCAAGATTCATACGTGCCAGCCAGAAACCGTCCCGCTGATTGCCTCTTTTTGATTGGATGTCATTAATCAAAAACGCTTACCAAGTCTTCTTCATCAGTTATTATTAAACCATTTGTTTAACGACATCCAATAGAAAAAAAAGGCAATCAGCGGGACGGTTTGTGGCTGGCACGTATGAATCTTGCTACGCATTCCTACGGCTCAAATACTGTGGGATTTTAATTTTCTTCAACGGCTAGCTCCGGACTGTTTGGATGGATTTTCGATCGGAAGGTACGAGGAGAAACGTGAATCTTTCTACCTTTTTGTTACGGAGTTTGAAAGCAGAGCGATCCAATTTTGGGCGAAAAAATCGCTCCAGCACTGGAGCCCTTTCAAAACATGGATTCCACCCTTGTCCTTCTATCATAAGGATCAGTCAACGGCAAAATCCAACTCCTTCAAAATCGCTCAAAAAACCGCTTTTGAGGTAAAACGACGACTATATACCACAGGTAAGGTAATTCAACGTTTATTTATCATTGATTTATATACATAGTTAGCGATATATCGCTATAGGTGAAGCAAACGGTAAATCCAGTACATTTACTATAAAATAACAATCGGCTACACAAACAGATGGTGTGGGCTCCCTGTGGTATAATTTCATTTTCTGTATTGTCATTCATAATTTATCGGTAATAAACTTGTTTATTGGTCAGTTGTCATCCATTGAAGGAAAGAGTGCCAAGACTTTATTTTTGTATAGTCAAACCCTGTTAATATGGACACTGAGGGGGCTACAGAAAGTGTCCCTATTAACAGTCCGGAATATCCCTAAATTTAAGGACAGGGCCAACTGGTCATGGGACACTTTTCAACCAATGAGAAGGCGCGCTTGTGTTTATCAACAAACAAATCAAAACATCGCCCCAGTGATCAAAAATTTTCAAAACAACGGACGGAGTTAGACAGAATTAAAGATGAGCTTTCAGTACTCGTCTAGGTTTCACATTAAATATTTCAAAGAAAAAATTTCATGTAGTAGAATAAGAGCATTAATCATTGCAAGGAATAATTGGGGTGTTCGAATTGATTCCGGACCGATCGCAGAGGTCGTGGTTTCACTGGCATGGCTTGCAAGATTTTTGATAGAAGCCAACTGGTCCCGTGTAAAAATAGCCTTAAACATGTTAAAGAGAGTGTGAAAATTTGTTGAGATCATACAAAACAGGATTGTACTGCCCATTAACTTCTACAGGACAAGAATCAAAGAACCANATTAATGGGGTGTCTGTATTTAGCAGGTTGAATTGAGAGAAAATGTTTGGGCTTTCTTTCCCCAGGGACAAAGCAAACGGTACTAACTAATGAGCTGTCCGTATTAAGCGAGTGTCCCAAAAGCAGGGTCTGGCTGTATTATGTTATAATAACATTTCTTTTCACTTAAGATTGTACCTTAGTTAATTAACTCACTTCCAGGCACATATTCATGTTAAGTCTCAAGGTATGTGATGGTAAGCTTTTCCTGAGAAGACGATAGAGAAGGCTGCCTGTCCATTGGTTGGGGATTTAGCTTAATGCCCCAATTACTCATATTTGTCTAGGGCATAAACATTTGCCCCATAGGGATTGAAAGTTGGCATGCATTTGGTTGTTGCCTAAGGATTGGGATTCTGAAATTATGTGGCTATCCTGATCATTTCTTACAAATGTATTTTTTTCCTTTCGTAAAGTTTTGGCTAGTACAGTGATGAAGTAGTTGACAAAGTACAGTCACCAGCATAATTTAAGCCCAAGAAACTAACTATGTTGTCTGATATTTTGATAGGTGTAAAGGGCTGTTAATCCTTGAAACATACACCACAGAAAGGGGAGACGGCTTGAAGAGGCCAGATTTCTTGGATATTGTAAAGGAAGTTACTGGAGACCCATTTTACTCCATGTTTCACTTAGCACTAAAGGACTAAAATGCACTAACTTGTGTTAGCTGATTCTAACAGTCCAAAGTGACTTGCTTAATCTCTCCTGAGAAATGAGAGAGGTCCAAGAAACCTCGGACTGTCTGAGAATCAATTTTGAAGATGTAAAGTCAACCATATTAACTTGTTCTTTCACCTTCAGGCTCCCACTCTTACACCTATATTTTCCTTGAATGATTTCTTTAAATTGAAGGGTTGCCCCAATTAACTCCTGATAAATTGCTGGATTCTCCTTCCAATTCACCTTGTATGTGTTTTGAATCAAGGGAAGAAATTGCCGTTAGTTCAGGTGACCCTTGGAGCAATATTCCACAAGCTCCAGTGTGTCAATGCACATGCAAACAAACATTACACCCCTTAGAAACTGAGGTGTTGGTGATCAAAAGTGGAAAACAACTTTTGGTTTGGGTGGGGGTGTGACCCCTCTCTCACACAACCCTTCCCACCCACTTTGAATCACCTTGGTCCAACTCCTGAAGGGTTTTTTTTTTTACATAGTTCAACATACCAGTTACCCAAGTAAAAAATTAAGAGTACTTCATGCACCCAAATTTCATTTAAGTTTTACATACTTACACAGGACATAGAATGTGACTTGGCTATAAAGGGATATTTAATTCCAAAACACAATAACAATTATTAGAAAATGTATAGGCAGTTAACCACATTCATAGGCAGTAGCCTTGATTTCGTGATTAGGAAGATTGAGTTTTGTGGTGGTTTGTACGGGTGTTTGTAATGGTACTGGTAAAGCATGAAAATTCTGTAATTGTAACATCCTAGCTTTTGGATTTTGAAGCTCATTTAAACCTGTTTAAAAGTACCAAATACTACTTAACCATACAATAGTCATGCTCCAAGTTCTAGATCATAATGACTTTGCTCCACAAAATTACTGTAGCTTTAGAGTAGATTTAATATTGCTGAGTGATTTTATTTATTGTAGCTTGTTTTCCAGTTTGTTGTCAAATGTAGGCACCCATCCTTTATTACAAGTCAACGAACCCCGAGTTCTTGAGCTGTATTGCACTGGAATAATGTCCTAAATTGCATGTTTCTTGAGAGTGGATTTTAGTATTGCTGAGTGATTTTATCTATTATAGCTTGTTTTCCAATTTTTGGTGTCAAATGTAGGCACCCATCGTTTATAACAAGTCAAATGAACCCCAAGATCTAGCAGATATTTTTGCTGGTTGGCTTTTGTGTTGTGGTTTGGGTTTTGATGAGTGTCTTCACTCTTTTGTATTACATCAGCCACACCACCAAGAAAATACCCCCAAATCTGATGTGTTGGGAGCAGCACATGCTCCCTCCTCCCTGCACTTCATACTATTTAATGGCAACAGGGTAGTTCAAATAGGACACCCCAGTTATTGTCAATTCAGGCACTGGTAATTAGAAAGAATATAAAATGAATTTATTAGTGTTTATAAATAATTGGTTCAACTGTACATAGTACATACTTTCAGAATCTTAATTTATTATTCTTTTGAGTCAATGCTATTAGCAGGTAAACATTTTAGTGATTTTCTGGTAGCTATTGGATGCAAGTGATTTTTCCCCTTCTCCCTTTCTCAAGCCAAAGATGATTTAAATTTTCCTTAGTTAAGTTATTTTAGTTGAAGCTAGAAGTAAAAGGAGACTCTGAAAGGGAAGTCAAATGCGCACTGGAAATGAGCTAATGAAATCCTGTTTTGTAGACCTATCCTGAAGGGCCTCACTTATTACTGATGAACCACTGTATGTGAATGTGAGAAAATACCCATCATATTTAGAAGAAAGAGTAGGGAATGGGCACTTCAGAAATAAACAGTTGGATTAATTTAAGTATTAGCCAGATATAGTTGAGAGTGTTTGCACTGTAAATGATATTGCCTTTCATTTGGTAATAAAGGAGAAATGCAATTGATGTTGCCGTCTCTCGTTTCACAAATGCACCAAAGCCCTTTAAATAATAAACTATGTAACATTTTGTTTTCAACTTTCAATTTTGAAGCTGCATTTTGACCAATATTATGCTAAACTTCTGTACTGGGGGCACCCGCTTACATCTACCTGTTGTATGAGCCCTCCCACAGGAAAAGACCCCAAGGGAGACCATAAGTCCTTATAAAAACAAGTCCAGGAATGGATCAACCCAATAAGCATTTCTCAGAGGATGACATCGTGTGCACGGCTCAAAGAATGAGCCAGTTGGAGATGCCTTACAGCTGACTGCTCTTCAGTCGGCCAATGAAGATGACTGGGCAAAGATAGAGTTCAGTCATTCATCACCATTGTTTGACTGATGAGTAGGCAGGTGTCATTAATTTAATTACAAGGTAAAATTAGCTTTGCCACAAAAAATTGTTAACAAAGAGGTATTGTTTTCAGGATTCTATGCCAGTGAATTTTGGGAGAAACACATAATAGTCCAGTAACCTGCTACACAGATCTTCTTTTGACCTGTCACATGTTACTCCATTCCCTGACAAACCAAAAGGACCCACAAACCACAAAAAAAAATACTAATGAAGTTCTGTAAAACTGTCTTTATTGTTTTAAACTCAAAAATTCACATTTTACACAGGTTTTGTTCTCAAGTCAGCCATGATGTACGAACATAAATGACCTGGAAAAAAAAAAAACAGCAAACAAGAACAGGAAGTCAGCTAATAATCTTCGTACACAGGGCATGAAAAAAAGGCTGGTTCCAACAAAATAGCTCATGACTTAGGACCAGCTAAAAAGGACAGAATTACAGTTGACTCAAACCCTATATGCCTTGTATTCCTTTGTGTAGCATTCGTCCTTTTTTAAGAATTATTAGAAAAGCAGCAACATTGATAGTCTGAAAAAAGTGAGCTGTCTCCACCCTCTAACCAGTGGGGGGGGAGGGGTATGCCTCCCACAGGTTAGGACGTGGAGACAGCTGCATTTAAGACTACATCATTTACACAACAGGTCTAGATGATGCCAATGATTTCGATAAATGAATTACTGATAAGGGATCAACTTGAGGAGTCTGTTTAGAGGGGATGATTATTTAGATGTAGAACCACCTTGTATTTCCATCAAGTGTAAGTTTCTTTCACATTAACTTACTTTTTTTACAGCATTACTGTCCAGGTGCAGAGAGGCTCTTGTCCATAAACTTCCTCTTCACAAAACACATCCACCACTGAAAACAAGAACAATTATTGCAAACACCTAAATAACACAATGTAAAATGAAAACAAAGACTTGTGTTTTACCAAGCCCTCAGCTCCACCTAGGTGGGCAAGAACTGAAAAATCACTTCCAAGCGATCTTAATATTTTACCTTAGATGGTTTATCTGTCTGAGGATCAAACACAGCTTCAATAATTCTCTGACCAAGTTCTTGTCTCAGCTGAGTTAAGTATCCCCTCATGGAGTCTGGCCACAAAGAAAAAAAAGTATGAAACATTTAGACAATTTTACTGAGAGTTGTATAATAGGCAAATCTTGGCTTACTTCATTGTTTATATTTTGCTTCATTACCATGGGGGTTTCATAGAAAAAGACAAAATGCTGTAGAAAAAGTGAAAGTGCTTGTATTTATAGACTGCATTTTTGTCACCTGATTAGAATCAAGAAGCGTGCATCAATGAGGAAAATACAGTAAATGAAGATTTGCCTATATGTTGGTGGTTTCCCTTGTTTTAATGTCATTATCAGACATTACCATACCTAAAAAGCTAAGGGAAATAAAATTTAAACGATGGAAAAATTTTAACCATAACATGTATTTATACATGTTATAACACACATCTAATAAAGACAATACCTGCTTCAGCCTTACTGGCTGGCTTCTGGTACATTGCATTTAATGGAAAGCCATTATCTCCTGGAAGAGTGAAGTTGGCAATTGCTAATGAATGCATCTCTTTTTTCCCATCCACTTTAGATTGACACTAAAACAAAATTAAGTGAATATATTGAGCATACCAGCCTGAGTAAGCCAAGTTACTGGTGATAAGAGAGGCTTGAGGGTATGCTCACAATCGGTGCCTGGGCACTAAACTCTGTACTATACAATACCATTAATTACCTTATTGACACTTCCTGAGTGAGGATTTTCAATGACAACAAAAGGCACATGATAGAATCGAATTTTTAGAACTTGGGGTTACATACCCGGTGACCCTCACCATGACTGTAGCAGTGAAGTGTGGGTAGTACACCACTGGAATGGGACTACCATGCCTTCTAACTAAGTTAGTGTACAAACAAAGGTCTCAACTTTCTCTACTCAGGCATATAAATAGCTACTGTGTCCCAATTCTGGTAAGAGAATGTTGTGGTTCAGTCTTAGCCCTGGTTCAATTTCTCCTTTCCTTTTTTTCACTAATTAACATACAAATCACAAAGCAAATACAAAGGAAGATAAAACATCAACCAAGGATAAAACTGAACCACAACAGGGGGATAAGGGTGTGTCAACTACAGTACCCTGACAAAACTGTAGTCAGGTACCAAGTGTTAACATAGTAACATATTCTCACTACCTACAATACACATAAATATACAATGAGATATGGAAGCCATAAAAAGGGTCGCTGTCCACAGGTGTGGACAGCAGTACATTTACATGCATTGACAGCAGTGCACCGCATCATGCCTGGGGGTAGGGAGGGTGGGTCATTGACTGCCCTCGGAGATTCTTTTAGACAAATGCACACAAGAGGAAGAATGATGGTAAAATATAAAAGCTAGGAATTGTGTGGGATATCTTTGGTTATGAAAATATTCTTCTGTTATTTCCAGTACTGAGAATAGTCTGAGATTAAAAACTAAATTAACGTACTCTTTGAAGTTTCTTCAGGCATTCTGAGATGTAAAGTGTCAGATAAATTAAAACACGGTCCGCTGGAGACTGAAACCAAAAAAATACAATCAACATAAAATATTATAGTAACTTTGTAAATGTATTTACTGCTTTGTTTGAGACAGAACCTCATACATGGGGAGGAAGTGATCTGATGATCGTATCCTGTAAACAGGTTGTTTGAAGCTTAGTTTGGTCTGAGGTTTGGGGTGTGAAATCCCAGTAAACAAACAGTCTAGGAAATGAGTTGTGGCCAAAAATAATATAGATTTCTGCTTATGCTCTGTTGAACAACTCAGCCTTGGGGTAGAGGAGATGGCAGTGAAAATAAGCAACCTCAAGGAGGAGGAGGAGGCAGCATGGCCGAGTGGTCCGCGCATCAGACTTGCAATTCTGCAGTTCTGGGTTCGAGTTCCGCACTGGCCCCTTGCTGGATTTGTTCTCGTAGACCAAAAGTTTGTTTTTAGTGGTGAGAGTCCATGAAAGCAAGAGTTTTTGCCCAGATTTACTGACTGTCCATTTTATTGCGGTGTCCATAAATGTCAGCAAGACAAGGGTTGACTGCAACAAGAGATGCTGGCAGGGGGGAGGTAGGAGGTCTTAGGAGGAAGTATGAATGTCCTTGAGTCAAAACTTCAAAACCTGTCAATTCATGTGTTGAGGAGGAAGCTATGTAGCTGTCTGTATTTTACTATTGTATAATTTGCAATTATGTCTGTCTAGGTCGCATTTATGTCTATGTATGATATCTCACGACTTCACCTGTGTTATGTCGCTGTTTCAAAGTTATGTCACTTGTTGGAGTTTTTCCCTATTGCCCCTTCAGGGGGAGGGTGGTTCAAAGTAGTGTTTTACAACAAACATTGGAGCTAATCAGTGCAGTTAAATATCACGATGCTACAGTTATAACTGTAAGTACCTTGATTTCATAACTTTTAAAAAACACGTTGGCCTTGAAGAAGTAGATTGCTTCGTCGATGATGTCATTATTTCCATCTAAAAACCATAAAAGAGACAGTAAAAACAGTTATCACGATGCCTAATTCATTACAGCTTCATCTGTTCAAAGAACTTAAGCCATTTGGCGACTTAACAATAAATAATTACTTCTTAAACAAATAACGAAAAAAGCTGTTTGAGCTGTACCTCCAGGCGGAGCTGGCCCTTTGAACTTCGTGTTGATAGGAAGAAGCGCCATGTTGCCTATGGAATTAGGCGCTTGTAATGACGAATGATACGCCTAGTAATCAAACAAATAAACTATTAAATGAAGCGAAAAGCTTTCTTGAAGTATGATCAAGCATTCTCGCTCAACAAAAGGTACTTACCGGCATTTTAAATGCTAGAAATAAACAGAAACAGCTCAGTTTAGGAATCCAACATCGGGAGGAAGTAAACCCTCCTCAATCGTCATCCATATATGGAAGTAAGATTGATAGTACCCAGTTCACCCGTACCAGAAATGGACGTTGTTGAGGTGGACTGGACGGACTCAGGTGCAATGGCAAAGAGAAGTTTCTGTTTTTTCTTCTCTTAAGATAAAAAATAAGTCTGTTGAAATAAAATTTTGTTCTATTTAACAACCCTGTAGTACTTAACTCAAGGTAAAAGGCTGGCCAAGCTGTTTTGATTTTGAAATGACGCTTTTGTTCAGAATGTGATTCAATTTAAATGAAAAAAAACGCCTGACCGGCAAGACACACAAAAGAATGTATTGGGTGACAATGAAATTGTCCCAGACAGCAAAAAAGCTTTTTAAAACTTTTTAGAAGCCTCCAATGCTCCAATGGTCAAGTGACCGTAAAGGACTCTGGGATCTAGCATGGATGGATCTAGTTAGGAATCATGTGACCTGGATCCCAGCCTGCTCACCCAGATTTCCCGCCAAAATTTGAAAGCGCGCGCCGCACCAGGCGGCCGCCCCACACGCGCAAGACGGAAAAGATATGAGCTTTGAAACTCCTTCAGTCCATCAACATGATATTTTCGAAGAAATTCCGAGACTTTAAGCTCGTAAAACGAAGTCTTTTTACTACGCGTTTTCTTGCGAAGGGCAGGAAAATGTAAAATTTCATAAAAAATGTATAAAAACAGAATTTTCGGTACTCCTCCAGAACCTGTGTTCAACATGAAGTCGGCGTGTTTGCCACCTGAGTTGTTGGAAGAAGCGTTGTATGTTTTAGCCGATGAAAATGAAAAAAATATGGACAATGCAAGTGGTATACAGGGATTTTTCAAAGGAGGAAAAACGGCAGGTAAAAAGGTTCATTTACACGTTATCTAATTTTTAATCTTCGTCGAAAAAGCCGAGTTATTAAAAAAAAAACTCAGAGCCTCGGGTCATTGACTAGCTGGACTTCACATGTTTGCCTTTTACCTGTAATTTCAGAATATGTTTTTCTTCTCTGCGGAGAAATGGGATTACCAATGGAAACGCGCTTCTTAGCCATAGAAATCTTTGACAAGTGAGTGAAATTTTTTTAAGCTTCCTTATAAAAATAGTATTTTTCTTTGGAAATGAAAAGTAAGCTTATATTCATCCGGTCAACGAACTTTTTTTCAGATTTATGGCAAAACATGTGTGCAGTTTGTATGACCTTATACGTTCAAATTCAGATACAAACCAGCAAAAGAACTGGAAAGAGGTGGAAAACCGAGTAAAAACACAGGTTCCTCTCAGAATTATGTCGTGTGTGCAACTAGCAAGCAAGTTGACATCGCATTATAAGGTAAGGGGCCGACCGTTTGACTTTTGAGCGGGGCGGGGGAGGGGGTATGGATGATTTCAGAAAAAAATATCCTGCAGACCGTTCCAGCGAAAAAAAAATCTTGCAAGGAAATAACTGCCATACAATGGCTTTGTATGTCGGGGAAAAAATCCTATCACCAGAGATTTGAAGAAAAAAAATTTCTTACACAAACCAAATCACTCACACCCCCTTCAAAAGTCAAACAGTCGGCCCGTAAATGAACTATAAGTTTTAAATGGCAACAGCTCCCCTTAATCCATATCTCTGCTTCCTCAGAGGGAATTTGTACAATCTTGAAAGATTGAATGGAGGCGATGAGATACTGGTGGGAGGGTAATAAAGCATAGCATTTTTCATTGTCCATATGGAGGTGACACTTGTAGGTTAACACTTCAAAATGGGAAGTTCTGGAAGTTGAAAAATGTGGCTCATTATTTACGTTCATTCCCTCATAGTTAGTAACACCAACCAAAGGTCAGAGATTCCTCAATTCCATTGGTCATTGTTACACGCTGGGGAGCATGGTGAAATCAGAGCTACGAATCCTTAAAACCTTGGACTATCATATCTTGATCACAACACCGCTGACATTTTTAGAAACAATTCTTGAGATACTTGGTAAGTAAAAAAGGGAATCAGAAAGAAATACGGATTTCAAAATAAATAGTAACAAAATTCCTAGAGAATGACTGACTGCAATGGTCCTTTGAGTCATTTCAGGGTCACAACTTAACCCTGTGTGGGCAATAAATGGGAGGCAATATACCCATCTCGCACACTAGCAGTGAACCCTGTAATAAATAGAAGTACTGTAAAGAAACAAAAACGAAAGAAAAATACATAAGGGCAGCTGAGTTCTAGAGCCACACCCACTCATTCTGGCAAAGCATGACGGTTTGCAGTGACAGATCCAGACCTTGAGATAAGGGTGGGGGCCGGTCATCCAGACCCTTAGAAAAGGGGGGGGAGGTTCCAAAAAAAATTTTTTTCGGCCTTTCAGGCCTCAGTTTGATCTAAAATTAAGGGCCCCTCCCCTGGATCTGCCACTGGTTTGTGTCCCTAGTAAAGCCAGCTTGTCAAGACAATAGATGACAGTAACCAGCTTTTCACACACTTATGGAGAAACAGAGGAGAGCCAAAAAAATTGAACTGAAAATATTTTTAAAAAGAATAGTGGACTTATATACTGTACTACCAACAGACCCCTGAATTCTGGTTGGTTAATTTTTTTTATTGCCCAAAAAAGAAAAACACTGTCACTGATTACTTGAATTGGCTAGAATTCTAGGAAGTTACTTAAGTATTAACAGCATTTTGATTTATCCTTCCTTTTCTTATTTAGGACATAACGACTCTCGCTCTCAAGTCAAGCTTCTTCACGATGCCAGTGTAAAGCTACTGGACATTGTCTACCTAAAGTACGAAGAAATCTACAGCAAGTTGTGCATGGCAGCAACAGGAGAAACTTGCATAAATGACAGGCAAAAGCTATCTGTTTTAGCTAATGATCTAATGTTGCTTGCAGTGTCAGTCATTGGAGCAGCATCCTTTATTGTAAATCAGGGAACCAGTGACATGGTTAGTAACTGTTGTTCAATCCATTGCTAAATAACAGTAGAACTTACAAATTTTATCTGGAGCTAGGGTTACAGGGAAGGAGAGTGGTTAAGTGATTTCACTGTTTGGTTATTCAAATGATTTAGTGTTAACAAGGTACAAAATAGATACCAGTTCATGAATAGTGGGCAAGAAGCATGGCAGTTACAGATCACAAAGGGACAGTGCTTTGAACGTCTAGCTGGTTAACAAATTATTACTTGTTTTCAATTGGCTGTTTATTAGTATCATTGTTATAGTCTGTGTAGCTGGCATTTTTCTTATGTGTTTTTTCATTTGTGATTCACAAAGTAAGAGATACAGCCACGTAAAAGCTGAACCAAGGACAAAAAAGAAAATCAGACACACACTAAGCAGAAAAACACACCAAAAAGGCGCCAGCTACACAGGCTATCATTATTATTATTATTATTATTATTATTTTTATTATCATCATCATCTCTCGCAGGCAGTCCAGTGTTTAAGTCACGACAAAAGAAAATTATCCGTCTCTGATATTAAAAAAGAAACAAGTTAAAAAGAATAAAATCTTGTATTGCTAATTCTTAATTCTTAAAAAAGCTCCTAAAAAATTATCATCATCATTATCATTATTATTATCATTGTCTGCCTGTCTGTAATCTCTAGTCACTGTGCACTATATTTACCAAGAAAAAATCACTCATTTCCAAAAAAATGCTGATATCGTAGGGTTATGTCAATTCTGTTGGTCCATAGGTGGTGGAACAGCTTGGACGGATCACTCAAATTCCAGTGGATGATGTTTTGGATTTTGCTACCATTATTATTGAGCACACACTATAATCAAATTATTTGCCCAGGCAAAAGGGAGTGCTTATTATGTCAATTTTATCATAAGAAATAACCCAAATTTGTGAAATACGTAATCTGTTAGAATGATTTGAGAACGATTTTTGGAAAACATTTTACAATAACGACTTTCCCAAGAATGACAAAAAAATATCACAATAAAGATACATATAGTAAACAAGTTTATTCAATTTCCTTAGAAACAAGACTTTACAAAGGCAATATTACCAGTCCCTAATCAGAACAAATAATACAGAGAACAATATAAACAAAAATTAAACTAAGGGATAAAGTTAACAGTTATTCAAGCAACATCTGAGCATTGCACAATAAATGTTCAACGCTTCAGATATTGCTGGAATAACTGCAATTCTTTCAAGCCAAGGCAAACACTGTCTTGATAATCCCAAGTTTACATTAGAGAGGATGGCAAGCTTATATTGACAACCAATTTTCCATAAGCCACCCAAGTTTTGTCATGCTTTAGCTCAGCTACGTTGAAGCAATGGAGTGTGAAACAAAAGCTTGGTAGTATATTGACCTCTAAAAACTAACAGATTCTATCAGAATAAAACCTCCATGTTGACTCCAATGAGTGCCACAAGAAACTCAGAAGGGGTTGATTAAACTCCTTTTGGGTTTCTGGTGCTACGCAGCCTTAACAAGCATATAATACTGCTGTGTTGTGATTGACATAAGAAACAACATAATGATGATAATAATGATAAAGATAATATTTATTATAATATATTTTCATTTTTCTCTGTCTATGATCTTGGATGGGGATGTTTTTTTTAAGTGAATTGATAATGATAGTGATAACAGGGTTTGCAAGTACTTGAAAGTCCTTGAAAATTGCAGCCAGTGCTGGAAAGTCCTTGAATTTCGATGCTAACGTTATAATAAGAACTCCAAAGGACAAGGAGCAAACACAGAAAGACCTTCAGGATAAAATTACTCATGTTGTGGAAGAACTAACGAAGACAAACTCAAGTCTCTCTGCACCGAATGAAGTCCTAGGAAAATGGGAAATGTGTCCTTGAAAGTCTTTAAAAGTCCTTTATTTTTTGTTCAAAAAAGGGTACAAACACTGTGATAATCATAATAATAATTACAAAGGGCAATAACATTGCCTATTGTCACTGACCATGTCATAACACTGGCAAAAATTGGTGAACAAGGCATAATATAACAGTCCAAAAAACAGTACCAGCAAATACTACTAGTAATGTTTCTTTCATGACCATGACAACTTGTGCATTCATTTAAATGCAACTTCCTTTGCCATCATTATCATTGTATACCATACAAAACATCTCTTGTGAAAAATGGCTAAATGTCTGTAAGATATGGATACCATTCAAATGCACTGTTAAAACTAAAGATAAGACTTCAAAATTCCTTACTGCGAAAGAAAAAAGCCTCACATTTATGAGAATCATGGGTTCGTTAGACATTAATATTACTTATGAAACAACTGACAAATACTTCCAGAACTGAAACCAGAACAAAAATTTTGTACAACAATTTAATGTATCTGCAAAGAAATATTTAAGCACATAACAAAATATATAAAAGACTATATTACATATAATACAGTTTACTTTTAAACAAACTATTTTTCTGTCAGGAAAAGCTGTTTTACCAATAAGGTTTTAACCTTTTTGAGATTTGGCTTACTCTTAATTATAAAGTGACTATGTTCTAATCACTTTTTGGATGTGACACAACTTGTTGTGAATGTTTCAAACAAGACAAAAAAAAGCACAATAACCTATAGTGATCAAGCACAATATAGATTACAGGATTGTGCAAAATTTAAATGATTCAAAGAAGCTTTCCCTGTGACTTAGAAGAGTTTGTACTGTACAACAAAACGTTCTTGGTGATAAAAATAAACCCATTACAATGATGATAGAAGTAGCGGTGGCAAGGAATATATTAACCTGAGGAAACGAACCAAAGTGACATAAATAGAAATCTATTTGTTGAAATTATAATTAAGTATACAATCCTCATAAATATCATTTCAATAAATTTCTACTTGTAGGAGAAAATATTATAATTACGTAATAATATACATGCTGCTCTACTGTTCTTGGGGATCAGTGGGAGAATCTGTCCGAAGTCTTTTGACAGGTGGAGATTCGTTTTCCTAAAGCAAAAGTAATTTTGACACACGTTTTAATACTCTAGTTGTCTAGGATCTAAAAAAAGCCTCATAATGTTTTTGCACTATAATATTTTTGAAGACTTCAGGCCCCAATTGTTCGAAAGGTGGAAAACACTAGCCACTGGATAAATCTCTATCCAGTGGATAACGCAATATTGGTTTCCCTCATACTTATCAGCTGGATAGTAATTTATCTGTTGGATAGCACAATCCAACATTTGAACAACCAGGGCCAGGTCTGTGCTATAGCAGAGCCTGGTGGCCCCTGGCACCTACATATGTAACTTTTGCTCTTGGGCGAATAGAAAATCTTACTTTTGTCATATACATCATATGCTAGGCACCCTATATTTTACAGGTTCAGAGCACTGGGCTCCCTTCAATTTTCCTTAGACAACAGCCTTGACTTGAGTACAAAGTCAAGTTCATGAGTAATAATCTCGTGAAGCATAACTGATTCCTACTATGTAAGGTTTCAGTTTGACTACTTTCATCTGTCAGTCAAGTAAGATCTTAATTGGTGCAACATCAATTTCGACATAACGTACAGCCTATTTATTATGAACTCTCAAAATTTAAAGATGCTATGTAATGCCACCTTTAACACTGTATAGAGTCACTGCTATTAGAGATATTTGGAGTCATTGAATGGTGGTTCAAAATAACTTGATTTGAAACATTTCAAAAAAATTCTTTTTGTTGTCACATAAAGGAACACAAATTTGAAACTAAAGAAAATTTTTCAGATCAGATTATGATAAATATGAACCACAAAACTTTCCCCAAAATTCAGTTTACCTCCTGAATGCTATCCTGCTCTAACACACTTGATATATCAGTGGTTATCTGAGTGGGAGGATCACTGGAAGGTACATCTTCTCCAGCCAGACCTGTCCCTGGTTGCAAGGAAGTATCATTCCCATCATCAAAGCCTGGCCTAGAGTCCTCATCATCAGGCACCATTCCCATTCCAAGTCTGTATGAAATTGTGGCACTCTCCTCGCTACACAAACGCAAGGTTTAAATTAACAAACGGGAAGCTAATTCACAGACCCTTACCTAATTTAGTATTCACTACAAATGGTCAAACTAGCTTTACCTCAGTGTAATTACAGTGTACATGTACAAAAAGATATCCATGTACCTCGATGGTGACACTGGAAATGGAAATTGCCATTGACACTAACATTAGAGGGAGACTATCACATGTCCAGTACTTTAATTTACATTATGTTCAAAAGTAGATCTAAGAAAAAATCATTCCTCAATCTGAAATAAAATGTAGATTAAAATTACCTTGCAAGTGATGGAGCAAGGTTACTTTCATCTCCTTCAAATCCATTTTGTGCATCTTCTTCACCACCATCATCTTCATTATTTTCTTCATCATTTTCATCATCATCAATTTCATTATCCTCATTTTCATCATCTTCATTGCTGATGTAGCTATTATCAGCTTCATTGTCATCATTATTACCATCATTTATACTTGTTAAATTACTGTCTTCATTTAGATCAAATCCGCTGCAAGAATTTTCATCCATCCCAATACTTCCTTTGTCACTGCCTTCAAAGTTCACTGAAAAAAATGAAGAGGATCCACTGGTTGGAACTTGGAAGAAGTAACAGCACTTGTTGATAGTTCATTGACCTGCTGCTGTGAGGAGCTTGGAGATGATGCAGCACTGTCATTAGTTTCACCAACACTTGAACTAACTGATTGGTTGTCTTTGTCACCATCATCTGCTGCTAGAAGAAAACAGTTCCCAAATTAATACCTTTGCATGCAGCAATTTACAATGTATTGCATACAAACAATACCTTCATATGGAACATGTTGCGTTCTATGCAATTTCTGCAGTACAGGGTCAAAATCTTAAAGAGTGTAAAACTTGTGTCCTTACAACATTTCCATGGGTTAGTTGATAAAATATTAGCCCCTTACTTGGTGGTTTTATATTTCAAAGCGTATAATACTTCATTTGCAGTATAATTAAAAGGATTGTCTTTTCTTTCATTGTTTTCTTTCTTTGTTTCAAGTTATTCCTTAATGATATTTGGCCAGCTAACAAAGCACATGGACAAGTTACTAAAGATGGGTTTGACTGGATAACATCTTCAGTACCTACATGTCCAGCAAGTTATCTGACACCATGAGTTCTGTTAACTCACCTGCTCCACTGTCTGTAGTTACACGTTTCTTTCCCTTGGTCTTTTCCTATAAGCCATTTTACATAAACAAAAAAACATTGAGAAAGCTAATTAAATGAATGCTGATTGAGCCAATGACAATATTTTAATATAATAAATAATTATATTCATTTAGCACTATCAGTTAACAGCAATACCATAATGAGATAAATAATAGCTGCTCATAGCTGTCAATAATAATTATTTACTGCAATGATACATACAATATAAAAGCTTTGAATCAAAATCCCTGCAAGACTTACCTCTTTGTTTTGATCTTGACTCACTGTGAGAAAGAAATTTCTCCGGAGATTAGTATTTATTTTTAACTAATATATTGTCTATCAACGTAAACCCTGTGTAGGGGGAAGGAGAGTGCGGGCAAAGGTTGGGGATTTGATCAAAAAGTAAAAATTTTGGACAATTCCCAAGGGTGGGGAAGGATATCTTCATCAAATGGAGCTAAAAATCCCCACCAAGAGACCTTTTAATTCATGATGGATGTCATGTACATACATAAAAAAAGTGCACTTTATTAGAGTGCCAATGCTTTAAGCACGAAAGCACTAACTGGGGACACTATTTTTACGTCTCCTACTGGAGACAGTACCACCATTTTACGTGGTCATCTGAGGAACACAAAGGTCTAGCTATTTGCAGGGCAAATTAACGCAGTACCTTCATTTGTCAGTTATTTGAAGACTGTGAGTGTTGGTCTGACCTTAGGAATCGAACTTGCGACCTCAAGCTCAGCAGTCAAGAGCTCTACCGACTGAGCTAATCCTGCTATGGTCAAACAAAAACTTTATTTCTCTTTGAATTTAAGAGTAGCCTTAAGGAGCTCATCTTTCCAAGAGAAACAAAAAAAAAGATAAACAACAAATCTTATGGAAAGTTAATTGAACATAAGACTATATGAAGTATTTTACAAAAACTATTTACACATTCCATTGTTTAGCAGCATGAAGAGAAAAAGAGTGAAGGCCATAAGTAAGTCACAAACCTGACTTAACCTATCCTCATTATGAGGCAACATGATGCATGACCTATTTTTTGTCTCCATAAAAAGCAATGCTGTAAATAATTATTGTCCCTTCAAAATACACTTTCTTTGATCTTCAAAAATGAGTGAGACACCTTTCATAAGACCTGTCTTTAGATATATATTTTGTTTCATTGATATATAAAAGACCTTTCCACTTCTATTAAATATTTCATTATTGTTTACCACAAAGAGTCACTTCTACCTCAGGGGTTTACTTGTAAAAGTAGCAAAGCCACAAGGTGGTCCCCAAACTAGGAAATAGACATGAAGAAAAATGCACCTTATCAAACAACATGCCTTTTGGTTAGCCTGCGAGCAAGCTCTCCTATTTGGGCGAGTGAAGCAAGTCTCGCGAGAACGCGCGAGCGGGCAGCGAAGCCGCGAGGGGCCGGCGAAAGGCCCCAAAATAGGAGAGCTTGCTCACAGGCTACCTTTTGGTGTACTTACACTACATACATGGTCCCAGTCTCTCTGCTGAAACAATCAAATGCCCAATACCCTGAGAAAGTGTACTTGATCAAATCTCTCTCCAAGGGGATGGGATTGCCCACATCCCCCCCCCACCCCCCACAGGGGTTTACATTGGTAGATGCATATAAACAACTGAGGTTGTTAGGAAAATCCAAGGTGCCAAGACCTTGTCTAAAACATTGGACTCCCACAATAATTATCAAATGTTAAAAATACAAATTTAAAAACTTTGAGACTTGCTGGTAACCTTATAAAAATATTAAATTTCAATATTTTTGTGTCTACTGCGCTTGCGCAGAAGACACTAAGCCATGAACATCATGAAAACTGTAGAAAAAGTTTGTTAAAATCGATAATCCGTAGGTAGTCAATAAATTATCGCACTTCCAATCTCAACCAATCACAAGTGAAACAGAGCGATTAAATATGTCCGAACATAAATCCCTATAAACTGAAGTCATGGAACGAGATAACTCAGTGCAGTCATTGTATGCTGTTTGGGCGTGCGGTGAAGACTTCAGAGTAGTGGGAATATACGGAGCGTGTTTTGCTGAGGGTAAGTTTTAGTTTTGTAATTTGTTTTTGTAATTAACTTTTCACGTAAAAAGTTGGAGAAACAATTTAATGTTTTGGAGCATTATTTACTTCGATTCATTGTCATCATTATTACCATCATTTATACTTGTTAAATTACTGTCTTCATTTAGATCAAATCCGCTGCAAGAATTTTCATCCATCCCAATACTTCCTTTGTCACTGCCTTCAAAGTTCACTGAAAAAAGAAATACATGTACAATAAATGTAACATCTTAGTTTTTGAGACAGATATGTATGGGGATAATCCATTCTGTACTGTCAGGGGTGGATTTTGTTTTCATTTTTTGACCACTATTAAAAGGTGTAAAGTTGTTTGCTGAAGGTTCTCAAGATTATAATAATCTGGTAACCACTCCACACCTTACCACAACTTAAAACAGAAATAAATGGGAAGGTAAATATAACCACTAAAACAAGTAAACAGAAAGAAATAATGTCATTCATCACGAACCTAATGATATAAATGGTGTCTTATTTTATATTAATTTAACAAACACATGGTTCGCATGGGCCTGGAATAATCCTTGAGAGACTGCTAGGTCCTTGAAAACTCCTTGAAAATGATTTGAAGAAGTGGTGCTTGAATTTTGTTAAAAACTCTTTGAAAACTGGAGACTACACAGCGTGCAAAGAAAGTTGTGTCCGATAGCCCGGAGCTAGTGGATTTTGTTATCGGGCTAGTGAATTCTGTTTTTAACTTGCCCGACGGGCAAGTGATGTTTTTTGAGGAATTTGAATAACAGAAGAACTGTGAAATCAATTCTGCTCCGTAAAAAGCTTTTGGGGATAGTTAAAATGACGTCTGGGCTAGTAAATGCTAACTTTACCCTGCCCAAATGGCAAGCAGTACAAATGATTTTCTTTGCACCCTGCTACAACAAAGTAAGTTAATTTTGACAGCAATAGATTGACAGAACTCCTGAGAAACACCTTTACAGTCTCAAACAACGAAGAGCTTTCTATTCCAGGACAATTAAGTATTTCTTATTCAAAGTATATTTGCAACCACACCTTAAATGGGGTCTCCGAAGTGTATTCTACAGCACCCCTCTAAGCAAACAAAACCACGAGGGAAATACAGCTTGAAGGAGTGTGAAATTTATTTGACTCCGAAAAAGCTGTTATCCTTTGGTTTTAGGATGTTATTTGAACTTACAGGTATTGGTTTGTTGGCACAACTGTGCAAAATATGTAACATTTGTGACAAAATAATGCGAGTGCCTGAGAAAATTAACCCCTTGAATTTTGTTATTAAGTCCTGGAAAAGTCCTGGAATAAAAGCTAATGAATCCTTTATGAACCATGACACAGAAAACAATAAATTTTCCATGGTCTATTCTTAAAGACCATAGAAATGACAACAAAACTTTACTAGTGAAGTCTGTTGAAACATTGCACCATCACATCCTTTCTACGGTCTATAATATTCTCACAGACCAAAGCTCTTGAACAATTAGTATGTAAGAAAAATATTGATACAGTAACTCAGCTACAGTAAAAACAGTGGAACTAATAAAATCTCTTTTCAGGGGTGAAACTTGTTGAACTTTCAACTTCCAAAATGACCACTTCCTCTAGTTTACTGAATAACCTCTTATGTATGTAATTACAGGTACACCATACCTCCTGCATCTTGAGCTTTCAACAGCTCTTCAGCCTGGCTTGCCCTCCGTTTTATAGGACTGGTATTTGTAGGATGACCACTGTTATCGCCAGCTGAGGGTGCTCCAGCATTACTCAGTTGAAGAGGATCCACTGGTTGGAACTTGGAAGAAGTAACAGCACTTGTTGATAGTTCATTGACCTGCTGCTGTGAGGAGCTTGGAGATGATGCAGCACTGTCATTAGTTTCACCAACACTTGAACTAACTGACTGGTTGTCTTTGTCACCATCATCTGCTGCTAGAAGAAAACAGTTCCCAAATTAATACCTTTGCNTTATGAACCATGACACAGAAAACAATAAATTTTCCATGGTCTATTCTTAAAGACCATAGAAATGACAACAAAACTTTACTAGTGAAGTCTGTTGAAACATTGCACCATCACATCCTTTCTACGGTCTATAATATTCTCACAGACCAAAGCTCTTGAACAATTAGTATGTAAGAAAAATATTGATACAGTAACTCAGCTACAGTAAAAACAGTGGAACTAATAAAATCTCTTTTCAGGGGTGAAACTTGTTGAACTTTCAACTTCCAAAATGACCACTTCCTCTAGTTTACTGAATAACCTCTTATGTATGTAATTACAGGTACACCATACCTCCTGCATCTTGAGCTTTCAACAGCTCTTCAGCCTGGCTTGCCCTCCGTTTTATAGGACTGGTATTTGTAGGATGACCACTGTTATCGCCAGCTGAGGGTGCTCCAGCATTACTCAGTTGAAGAGGATCCACTGGTTGGAACTTGGAAGAAGTAACAGCACTTGTTGATAGTTCATTGACCTGCTGCTGTGAGGAGCTTGGAGATGATGCAGCACTGTCATTAGTTTCACCAACACTTGAACTAACTGACTGGTTGTCTTTGTCACCATCATCTGCTGCTAGAAGAAAACAGTTCCCAAATTAATACCTTTGCGTGCAGCAATTTACAATGTCTTGCATACAAACAATACCTTCATATGAAACATGTTGCGTTCTACGCAATTTCTGCAGTACGGGGTCAGGATCTTAAAGAGTGTAAAACTTGTGTCCTTACAACATTTCCATGGGGTAGTTAATACAATATTAGCCCCTTACTTGGCGGTTTTATATTTCAAAGCGTATAATACTTCATTTGCAGTATAATTAAAAGGATTGTCTTTTCTTTCATTGTTTTCTTTCTTTGTTTTAAGTTATTCCTTAATGATATTTGGCCAGCTAACAAAGCACGTGGACAAGTTACTAAAGATGGGTTTGACTGGATAACATCTTCAGTACCTACATGTCCAGCAAGTTATCTCAAACCATGAGTTCTGTTAACTCACCTGCTCCACTGTCTGTAGTTACACGTTTCTTTCCCTTGTTCTTTTCCTATAAGCCATTTTACATAAACAAAAAAACATTGAGAAAGCTAATTAAATGAATGCTGATTGAGCCAATGACAATATTTTAATATAATAAATAATAATATTCATTTAGCACTATCAGTTAACAGCAATACGATAATGAGATAAATAATAGCTGCTCATAGTTGTCAATAATAATTATTTACTGCAATGATACATACAGGGCTCCTATTGATAATAGATATACTTTTAAGTATTCTGAAGGGATTACCCTAGTTAAATAAAGGTTTACTACTACTACTACAATATAAAAGCTTTGAATCAAAATCCCTGCAAGACTTACCTCTTTGTTCTGATCTTGACTCACTGTAAGAAAGAAATTTCTCCGGAGATTAGTATTTGTTTTTAACTAATACATTGTCTATCAACGTAAACCCTGTGTCAGGGGAAGGAGAGTGTGGGCAAAGGTTGGGGATCTGATCAAAAAGTAAAAATTTTGGACAATTCCTGAGGGTGGGGAAGGATATCTTCATCAAATAGAGCTAAAAATCCCCACCAAGAGAGAGACCTTTTCAATTCATGATGGATGTCATATAGATACATAAAAAAGTGCACTTTATTAGAGTGCCAATGCTTTAAGCCCGAAAGCACTAATTGGGGACACTATTTTTACGTCTCCTACTGAAGACAGGACCACCATTTTACGTCTGGCCATTTGCAGGGCAAATTAAGGCAGTACCTTCATTTGTCAGTTATTTGAAGACTGTGAGTGTTGGTCTGACCTCAGGAATCAAACTTGCGACCTCAGGCTCTGCAGTCAAGAGCTCTACCGCCTGAGCTAATCCTGCCTTGGTCAAACAAAAACTTTATTTCTCTTTGAATTTAAGAGTAGCCTTAAGGAGCTCATCTTTCCAAGGGAAACAAAAAAAAAAAGATAAACAACAAACCTTATGGAAAGTTAATTGAACATAAGACTATATGAAGTATTTTACAAAAACTATTTACACACTGCTTTAAATTATTTTCTATCTGGCAGTTAATTCCATTGTTTAGCAGCATGAAGAGAAAAAGAGTGAAGGCCATAAGTAAGTCACAAACCTGACTTAACCTATCCTCATTATGAGGCAACATGATGTATGACCTATATTTTGTCTCCATAAAAAGCAATGCTGTATATAATTTTCCCTTCAAAATGCACTTTCTTTGATCTTCAAAGATGAGTGAAACACCTTTCATAAGACCTCTCTTTAGATATATATTTTGTTTCACTGATATATAAAAGACCTTTCCTCTTCTATTAAATATTTCATTATTGTTTAGCACAAAGAGTCACTTCTACCTCAGGGGTTTACTTGTAAAAGTAGCAAAGCCACAAGGTGGTCTCCAAACTAGGAAATAGACATGAAGAAAAATGCACCTTATCAAACAACATGCCTTTTGGTTAGCCTGCGAGCAAGCTCTCCTATTTGGGCGAGTGAAGCAAGTCTCGCGAGAATGCGCGGGCGGGCAGCGAAGCCGCGAGGGGCCGGCGAAAGGCCCCAAAATAGGAGAGCTTGCTCACAGGCTACCTTTTGGTGTACTCACACTACATACATGGTCCCAGTCTCTCTGCTGAAACAATCAAATGCCCAATACCCTGAGAAAGTGTACTTGTTCAAATCTCTCTCCAAGGGGATGGGATTGCCCACATCCCCCCCCCCCACCCCCCCCAGGGGCTTCCCTTGGAAGGAGCCTCTAAACAAAGGCGGTTTTAAGGCAAATAAAAGTTCAAAAAAACTTATCTAAAACATAAAACTCCCACAAAAACAACAAAAAATTAAAAAAAAAAAATAAAANTAAAATCGATAATCCGTAGGTAGTCAATAAATTATCGCACTTCCAATCTCAACCAATCACAAGTGAAACAGAGCGATTAAATATGTCCGAACATAAATCCCTATAAACTGAAGTCATGGAACGAGATAACTCAGTGCAGTCATTGTATGCTGTTTGGGCGTGCGGTGAAGACTTCAGAGTAGTGGGAATATACGGAGCGTGTTTTGCTGAGGGTAAGTTTTAGTTTTGTAATTTGTTTTTGTAATTAACTTTTCACGTAAAAAGTTGGAGAAACAATTTAATGTTTTGGAGCATTATTTACTTCGCAGCAGTTTAATCGGCCAATGAATGAGACATGCATCGTAACTGCTTTCTTCTAGCACCCGATGAAACAACGCTGTCTGTTGTTCACAGAACCTTGAAGATGTTTAGAAATTCACAAAGCGACCCACTTTGGTCAAAAATAGACCCACTTCGGGCACAAATCGACCCACTTTGGTCTCAAACTCGAGGCACACTAGCACGGTTACAAAAGCAGAATACAAATAAAATGTCCTACTCATTAGAGAAAAGCAAAAAAGCAGGAAGCTTACTAAGAGTTGTGAGCTCTCCAGAACAGTATGTTTGTTTCTTTAACTTCAATTTTGGGCTATTTTCATATTTATTGTCTTTTAGTTACCGTTTTTACCTTCCATATTTTCTCGATCTCGCCAATTGTGTAAGTGATCAGGCAGAGTTTTGTAGTCGGGAAGGAATGCGGGCAATTGTAAAAAAATATCTTTATCCTGTCCACAAGAATAAATTGGATTTAAGAGATCTTTTTACCTATATTCCTTTCCCTAACCTTCTACTTTCTTCTCTATACCTTGGGTTGTTTTCAAATCTACTGTCTTTTAGTTACCGTTTTTACCTTCCATATGTTCTCGATCTTTCTAAATGTGTAAAAGTAACAGAGTTTTGCAGTCAGGAAGGAATGCGAGCAATTGCAGTTTTGCGCAACAGCAATACAAAATATGACAACTTGATTTGCCACAAATTAGTTTGCACATTTCACAAGAATAAATTGGCTTCAAGAAAACTGTTTTTATATATTCCTGTCCTAAATCTTCAATTTTCTTTAAACTTTACAGAAAGTGTTAAATACAAGTATCGTATGAAATTTATCGATGTTCTCGAGACTCTGTGTGACAAAAGTCAACATATGGTGAGCTTGCACTTGACAAAAGGCGATGGAGGTCGTGATGTATATGTTACATACTTGCATCAAGTAGATCTACATGAGAATAATTGGAGGAAAACAGTAAGACAAAGAGAAAGAGGTTATAAAGCGTATAAAAGTAGGAGCCGTGAACCATCTAGGATAAATTTGAAAAAGATTTTAAAGTCAATGAAGAAACGAGTGCTTCGAAGAACTCGAAAATTAACACTCAGGAATTTGTCTCCCCCTTCATCTAGACTAAGAAGCATAGCAGCTAACTATAAAACTTACTATATGATGCATAAATATAGAAACGATTGTTTCTTCAGCAAGTTTTATTGTAAGCGTCGTAATATTAAGGTAGTCTGCTTGAGTACCTCAGCGAAAAACAAAGAAATCAAAAACAGTTCATTTGATAAGATTAGCTCCTCAGGACGAAAGATTTTAAAGAGATATCCAATTATTTCTTACTCAAATTCCTTTCTTTTTCAAAGAGAGAGTAAATTACATGTCTCATTAAGGTCATCACTACTTCAAGATATATTTCGTGTAGCAAGAAGGAAACTGTTAATTTCCGGTGATATTGAACTGAATCCAGGACCCACACAATTGCCATTTGCTTTATTAACACAAAGATTAAGAACGATCGGCTTAAGGCCACTAGATGTTGGTGGTGATGGAGATTGTTTTTTTAAAGCTGTTTCACATCAGTTGTGTGGCACTCCAGATTGTCATTTTGCAATTCGAGATGCTGGTATTCAGTATCTTAAGGAACACCCAGAAGAATTTATTGAGAGCAATGTTGCAAATTCATGGTTAGGCTATTTAAATACTATGTCCATGCAAGGAACATGGTGTGATGGTCTCATAGTGCAGGCTGTAGCAAATGCACTAGGTATAACACTACATATCATAGAATCTCATCAAAATTTTACAGAGAGGACAATAATTGAACCTGCCGTGACCTTACAAGGAGAACAAAGGACTATTTACTTAGGCCACATAAATGAGGTTCATTATGTCTCTACAGTTCCAGATGTTCCAGAATTATTTAGAACACAAATAACAAACAGTTGCAGCACTAGCATACATGAATCAAAGAGTTCTTCCGCCATTGAATATCACAAAAATGATTATTTCAGGACATATATGAGAAAAAGAAGGGCCAACGAAAACGATGAGTGTAGAGAAACACGGCTATCCAAACAACGTAAATACAAACAGCAACGGCGAAGTGTACAAAAAAAATCCACAGCCGAGGAACTTGCACAATCCAAAAACACACAAAAAAGAAACGCCAATCAAAATAGTGACTGTGGAGAAAAAAGGCTATCCAAACAATGTAAATACACAAAGCAACGGCAAACTGAACAAAGAAAAACTACAGCAGAGGGACTCGCACAACCCAAAAACACACAACGGTTTATTGCTGCACAAAACAAACATACATCAGGTGCACTTCCACAATCTAAAAATTTACAGCAACCAATATTTGCAGAAAAGAATGATACAGAAGAAAGACTTCATGAAAATAAACAGTATGAAAGGTCTATTGATAATCTAATTTCCAATTTTCATACTATTGTCTCCAAAGGTCCACTTTACATCTGTACTTGTTGTGATCAATTATGGTACAAACATAGTGTTTCCCTTGCGGACAATTTTAAATTAAGTAATCCAAATGTTTCCGAATGTCTGTTGAATAAAACAAGTGTGGACAACAAAGAGTGGTTATGTAACACATGCAAAATGCATTTAAAAAAAAATAAAGTTCCACCATTTGCTGCTGTTAATGGGATGCAATTTCAAACTAAACCACCATTTTTGGACTTAAATGAGTTAGAATGGAGATTACTTGCCCCACGATTAGCATTTGTAAAACTAATGCAGGCTCCAAGAGGAAATCAATTGAAAATAAATGGAAATATTGTTAATGTACCAGCAGATGTCAGTAGCACAGTCAACCTACTACCTAGGTTAGAAAATGAAACTGGAACAATTAAAGTACAGTTGAAAAGAAAATTGCAATATAAGAGTTTTGCATTATCGTTGAATGTAAGACCGCATAAAGTGGTGCAAGCAGCCGATTGGCTTATCACTAATAGTGATCTTTACAAAGAAGAGGGAATAACTGTTAACTGTGACTGGCAATCAAATTTTGTTGAGAATATTTCGAGAACTCAAGATAAGCCACACAACAAGTCTTTAGAAAATAGTGAAAATGTGATCACATGCAATTCTGAAAATAAAACTGCAGATAATCAGTTATCATGTATAAATGAGAATAATTGGAGTGAGGATGAAGATGAAATACCAGCAGGAGTTACAGACACCATGTTAACAGCTACTGACTTTCTAGACGAAAACGAACGCGAGAATATTCTTAATGTTGCACCAGCTGAAGGCTCTACTCCTCTTAGTATTTTTAGAGACAAATTTTCTGAGGAATTAGCATACCCTGGTATATTTTTAGGTCAAAAACGAACTGAAAATGACAAACGACTTGTACCAGTTCATTATAGTGATATATGTAAATCTGAATTGCGACGTTCCGATCGAAGAGCAGCAATGTGCGTTGAAAATATTTTTTTTAAAGCCAAAAAGTTACAAATGAAAATTCTCTTAGGTAAATCGCAGATTGCAATGCGAAAATGCAAAGGTCTCAACAGTTCTCTTACTGCTGGGCATTTAAAAAAGCAAGGAGCTTTAGAAAAATTAGTTCATCTTGATGAAGGGTTTAAATTTTTAAGAGCATTACGAGGTTCCCCGCCTTATTTTGAAACTGCTAAAAAAGATCTCTTTGCAATGATAAGACAGCTAGGCCCAGCAACTCTATTTTGTAGTTTTTCTTCTGCAGAGACACAGTGGATACACCTATTAAAAATTCTTGGTAAATTGGTGGATGGTAAAGAATATTCTGATAATGAACTTGTGAACTTAAATTGGGAACAGAAATGTAGATTAATCCAAAGCGATCCAGTAACATGTGCAAGACATTTTGATTACCAATTCAATCAGTTTTTGAGCACTTTTCTCATGAGTAATGTTTCACCGTTAGGATCAATTTCTGATTGGTTTTATAGAGTTGAATATCAGCAAAGAGGTTCACCTCATATCCACATGTTGCTATGGATAAAAAATGCACCAATATTTGGAATCGACGATGATAATGAAGTCATCTCGTTCATTGATAGCATTATTACCTGCCAAAAGCCATCTGGCAATTTAAACCTAATCACCTTAGTGAACAGGCAAATTCATCGACATTCACATTCGTGTAGGAAAAGAAAGAAAAATGAATGTAGATTCAACTATCCACAGCCTCCTATGGAAACAACTCAGATCTTGCATCCTCTTGATAAGGACATTGAACCACACTTGCTTAAAAATTATAAAGAAATGTGGACACGTATTAAGAAAGAATTAAATGACCTAAAAGAAGGTCAAAGTATTACTTTTAATGAGCTTCTGTCTCATCTAAATGTAACGGAAGAAGATTATCTACTAGCATTGCGTTCATCACTTAATTCTCCAACTGTATTCCTAAAAAGGAAGCCAAATGAGTTAAGAATTAACAACTACAATGCACCGTGTCTCAGCGCGTGGAGAGCTAACATGGACATACAATTTATCCTTGATGTTTATGCTTGTGCAGTGTACATTGTATCCTATATATCAAAAGCACAGAAAGGTATGAGTGAATTACTTCGAAAGGCGTGTGATGAGGCTAAGAATGGAAATGCTAGCATAAAACAGCAAGTAAGAGATATAGGCAATAAATTTCTGAACAGTGTAGAAATATCAGCCCAAGAAGCAGTTTATTTAGTGCTTCAAATTCCAATGAAAAAATCATCACGACAAGTAATATTTATACCTACTGCGCCTCCCGATGAAAGAGTTGACCTATTGAAGTCTATGAATGAAATTGAAATGATGGAAGATGATTGTGAAGACATACACACCGGAGGTCTTCTCAAAAGATATACTGAAAGGCCTCATAACTTTACTAACGTGACTTTGGCAGATTGGGCAGCATGGTATGATTCATATCGAAAACCTTATAGGAAGAAAACACGAAAATTTGATGCTGATAGTCTACTACAGGAACACTGTATCGATGAAAAAAATAGTGATGATGACTCTGAGAATAATAATGAAGACGCTGATAAAAGTAAGAAACGGTCAAAAGCAAGGATTATAAGAAGTGTTTGGTTTAACAAAGAGACTAACCCCGAAAAACATTACCGTGAATTAATTATGCTTTTTTCTCCATGGAGAAATGAAAAGACAGACCTCATACGGAATTGCTCTACATTTGAAGAACGCTTCTGCCTCTTAAAAGAAGAAATCTCAAAACAGATGACCCAGTATGCATTTTTCAGTCAACAACTAGATGAAATTCAAAAACATTTGAAAGATGTAGACGACAATTCCTTTGATACAATTGCACCAAACACACAGCATACAGAGCTCCAAGATCAAACTGAAGGTCTAAATGACTTGCATCCTGACTTCAATGAAACGTATGATTTATCAGAAGACATTGGCATTACTCCAAATACAGCTAATGATGATGTTCTTATATTAAATGAACTGCCTGATCAAGAATACCGACAAATGGTCCAAAAGTTAAACAAACAGCAGAAAGAGTTCTTTTATCATATTTTACATCTCATTAAAACGTCTGACAAGCCATTTTACAGCTTTCTAAGTGGAGGAGCTGGCGTTGGTAAATCTTGGCTCGTTAAAGCGCTATATCAAGCAGCTCTAAAATATTATAACCATAATGCAGGAGAAGATTTCCACGACATAAAAGTGTTATTACTAGCACCAACGGGGAAGGCAAGTTACAACATAAAAGGAAACACTATACATAGTGCTTTGGCGATACCAGCAAATCAATCACTAAAAAATTACAAGCCCCTCGATTCTAGTAGACTTAATACCCTTAGGTGTAAACTCGGAAAACTTAAACTAATATTTGTGGATGAAATTTCTATGGTTGGTAACTGCATGTTTAATATTCAGATAAACTGCAGATTAAAAGATATAAAGGGCAGTAAAGATGATTTTGGAGGAGTTAGTATCATTGCAATAGGGGATTTATTTCAGCTAAAGCCAGTTATGGATGGTTATATTTTTAACGATATTGAAGATTTGCAATATGGGGTACTTCTACCAAACTTATGGAAAGAGCATTTTAAAATGTTTGAGCTTCATGAAATCATGAGGCAAAGAGAGAGTAAAGCATTTGCAGAAATTTTGAACAGACTTAGAGAAGGAAATCACACAAACGATGATCTCTTAAAAGTAAAAGATAGACTTATTACACCAAATAGCTCAACATACCCCTCAGATGCACCTCACTTATTTATACAGAACAAAAAAGTTAATGAGTTCAACGAAAAAGTTCACAATGCGTCTTTAAACAAAAAGTTTAATGTCAAAGCACAGGACAGTGTAGTTGGAGCAAATTCTTTAGAACTAAGGAGGAAGATAATGAACCAAATACCTAACGATCCAAGAAAAACTAAACAGCTAAGATCAAATCTTAAACTGAGTGAAGGTGAAAGAGTAGAAACAGCCATAAATGTACGGACAGAAGATGGCATTACAAATGGTGCAGCTGGAGTGGTTAAATTCATTCAGCTACATCAAATACAAAAACCAACTGGAATAATTTGGGTATTATTTGACCACAGCAATGTAGGGCAAAGAACAAGACACGAAAATAGGCATCTATATACGCAATCAATTCAACACACTTGGACTCCAATAAAACCTGTGACTGTGCAGTTTGCTGTTGGCAAAACCAAAAGTGCTCGAGTTGTTCGAAAGCAATTTCCTTTACGGCCAGCTGCTGCTAAAACTGTACATCGATCTCAGGGGGATACTGAAACAAGAATAGTTGTAAATTTGGAAACAAAAAGGAAAATACCTCATGTACATTATGTTGCGTTAAGTCGAGTAACAGCTATTGAAGGATTGTACATTACGGACCTATGTGAGAGCAAAATTCACGTTCATTCGGATGTTAAAACTGAAATGGTCAGATTACGAACAAAGGCCTCCCTTAACCTTTGTGTTCCTCGCCTTTATGAACTTAGTTCATCTTTTTTCAAATTATGTTTTCTAAATGCAAGATCACTTCATAAACATATTGACGATTTACGCAACGAACACAATTTCAACAGTGCCGATTTAATTATCTGCTCAGAGTCTAGGTTCAGTCCACTTGATGATGATAACATGTACATCATACAAGGATATCATTTGTTTCGAAATGATAACCAGGTTTTTAACACAAGACCCTATGGTGGTACTGCAATTTATAGTCGACACTCTTTTGCACCTGGCTTCCCCTACAATTCCAATACAAATGGCATTGAGATAACAGTTGTAAAAGTATCTACCCTGCCAAATGTAACAATAACAGCAATCTACCGTTCACCAAAAATTTCTCTCACACTTTTATGCCAGTCACTTATTCAAGTATTGGACAACATTTCCTTCCAATACAATATTATCATTGGAGATTTTAATGTTAACTGGATGAATGAAATTGAAAGAAGACCTCTCTATAACCTTCTTGTGACAGAAAGAAATTATAAACAACTGATTTCACATTATACAACTGATAACAGAACAACAATTGACCACATATACACAAATTTCCTACCACATTCACATGCTGATACCACTTCAGGAACATTAGAAACATATTTCACTGATCATAAAGCCATCTGGTTAGCCTTCCCATATAATATTTGTTAATGAAAACCATTCCTTAAACACACGCTAACAAGAGCCAATTATTTACTGTAAAAATAACAATATACGTTTCCCTTTCAATTATTTGGCTAAAACTTTCACCTACAACAAAAACTAACTGAAAAAAATCTTTCAGAAATCGCATGTTGTAACTTGCCCAAATTATTCCATGTGTTATTTCCAAGTGGTGGTATAATAAGATCTCACATTTTTTTATTGAAGCATTTTTTTTAAACCCTTCCCTTCCTTTTTTTTCATCAGCTGAGAAGAATGGCTGAGAGTTCAAAGCGAAAAGGTAAGCGGCCAAGTAGAGTATTTATCACTTTGTAAATTCACGAAGCGTTTCGTTAAATAAGATACATATAAAAGTACCTAATATATAGAAACATTAGTCTTAGATATTTACTATTGGTCAATATCATCACAACTTACCTAAATTACATTCAATACAACTCAATACATTTTCATGCACCGAAGGTCTTCTTTTACTAAAAAATTCAAAATCTGCTACTTTTTTATTACTGCAACTAACGTAATATATTAAACTATTTTAATTTAATAACAATTATAGGATTTATTTGCGAAAAGACTGATAAAGAAAAATTCCGTAAATTTTGCTGTTTACAGATCAATAATAACCAACAGCTCCATGCTGCATAATGCTACTTCCACTCTCATTACATTATCTTTATATCCTCTTCTCCACTTCTAATATGTGTTTCTCACATTATTATTGCTCTATTGCAGATAGTGACGTTGGTTACGTTCACTCATTATCGCCCATTAAAAAAGCAAGGTCTGGAAAATTGTACTACAATTTTGACCTTCAAACATCACCAACTAAATTCACAAGAGTGGTTGGATTTGACAAGAATTCACATGCTCAAGCATTGCATTTCCAAGTTACAAAAAGTCCAGCTAAAATTGTCAATATTAATGAAAAAGAAGATACAATCTTTGTCAACCAAACAAGCTCAATTGTCCAAGCTAGCAGCAGTGATGTCAACTTTCTGTCCACAGCTCCATCGACAAAGCAAGGGGAGGCCAAGGAAACAATCTCCAGTGCGACAGATATAACACTGAATGAAATCCAAACTCTGACAAGAAATCAAAAGGTTAATGTACAAGGCCACCTAACACTTGGTCAAAATCCTAACAAAGAAGTAATTAAACGCAATGGCGAAAAGGGATACGTAAAAGAAGACTGTGTGATTGAAGATCGCACCGGTTCTGCCACTATACACATCTGGGATAACTTGCTAACCCAACTAGAGAGTGGAAACACTTACAGCTTCCAAAATCTTAGCGTGAAGAATTATTCAGGAATGACATTACTGGGTACCACACCAACAACAACATTCCAAAAAGCAGACCTCCAACTAACTGAAGTGAAAGGCCCACAGCTTCTTTCAAATACTGAGAAGGAAATTGTTATCCAAGAATTTAAATTTGTTGACAAAGTAAATGTCTTCATGACATGCCAAATAAAGTCTTGCAAGAAAAAAATGCCGCATGCAGTGGGTTCAACTGTTCTCAAATGCACTTCATGTGGAACAAGTCAAAAAGTTAAAGCCGCACAAAACGGAATGTCTGCACGCCTTTGCGCCGAAATAGACGGAAAAGATTGCTGGCTTACTGCTCTGACAGATGTCATGGAAGGCTTATTGTCCAAAATAAGCCTTACCAGAGATTCCAACACAGATCAAATAGCAGAAAGATTACTTCAAATTGAAAATATTAAAATAAAAATTAATACACGGTCCAATCACATAATCGAACTTCTATAGAATACTAAATAGTCAGACAAAACTTTTTCGCTTTTTCTATACCATCAGACTTCAGTGGTAGGCAGTGCAAATCTTGAAAGCTTACAAAATTGATTATAATAACACTTTTATGATAGTTTTCAAAATTATAGAATGGAGTAATCGGAATTAGAAATGTCAAGTAAGGATTATATTAATAGTCTTTCAAAGGTTACAAACAAAATACGATAGCTGAAGCTTACATTTACTTTGTACAACTGTGTAATATATTATAATAATCAAGTGTATTTTCAACTATTGGTTTTCTCGTATCTTTAATTATTGTAACTGAAAAATTAATACAATAGTGCGTTAGGCGAACAGCAGAAAACAGATTGCACTACATAAAGTGTATTTGTATGCAAAAGAAACGAGGAACCATGTATTGTACTTGTTTAAATTCTATCCAAACATTTCTCAAGTAAAATCGTTCAAAGTACATAAATGTCCGGTCACCTCGAGAACCATGCACTACATCTAATGTACATAACATATTGGCTAATAAACATTTCTTAACCCAAATCACCCGAATTGTCTAAAAAAAGTGCCTTCTGGCAAGCTGTATGCGGAATTTAAGATACCGCTAAAAAGGTACACTAACGACAAAAAATGTTTGTTTAAATAGCACAGGAACCCCCTTCCCCTATTAATTGCGTTTGAAGTAAATATCGTATTTCATTNTTCAAATTGAAAATATTAAAATAAAAATTAATACACGGTCCAATCACATAATCGAACTTCTATAGAATACTAAATAGTCAGACAAAACTTTTTCGCTTTTTCTATACCATCAGACTTCAGTGGTAGGCAGTGCAAATCTTGAAAGCTTACAAAATTGATTATAATAACACTTTTATGATAGTTTTCAAAATTATAGAATGGAGTAATCGGAATTAGAAATGTCAAGTAAGGATTATATTAATAGTCTTTCAAAGGTTACAAACAAAATACGATAGCTGAAGCTTACATTTACTTTGTACAACTGTGTAATATATTATAATAATCAAGTGTATTTTCAACTATTGGTTTTCTCGTATCTTTAATTATTGTAACTGAAAAATTAATACAATAGTGCGTTAGGCGAACAGCAGAAAACAGATTGCACTACATAAAGTGTATTTGTATGCAAAAGAAACGAGGAACCATGTATTGTACTTGTTTAAATTCTATCCAAACATTTCTCAAGTAAAATCGTTCAAAGTACATAAATGTCCGGTCACCTCGAGAACCATGCACTACATCTAATGTACATAACATATTGGCTAATAAACATTTCTTAACCCAAATCACCCGAATTGTCTAAAAAAAGTGCCTTCTGGCAAGCTGTATGCGGAATTTAAGATACCGCTAAAAAGGTACACTAACGACAAAAAATGTTTGTTTAAATAGCACAGGAACCCCCTTCCCCTATTAATTGCGTTTGAAGTAAATATCGTATTTCATTTAAACACTCTTGCCAAGATACCCGAGAATCTATATTACAATAGCAAAACAAACGCTACCTTTATAAAACAAAAACAATCACACGGTACACACTATCACATTGAAATAGGTCTCAAACAATACGAAAAAATAGTAGAAATACCCTCTCCAATTTTTGATAAAAGGAAACCTAAATTTCCACACTTATTTTGCTCTATTACCTGAACTTTAGCAGTAGACACCTGTACGCATTGCGTACCTATTTTTTAATAAGGTTACAAGAAACTCTCACAATGGAATTTTGCTACCTACAAGGAAGCTATGTACATTTCTTGCCCATATTTTCATAACAACTAAAATAAGAAAATTATTTAAGCTTATCAAAGTTTGCAAAACGATATTTTCGCAAGATTGGCATGATCACTACGCAACTATTCGCTTTCGCCCAACTAATCATCTTGATTATGAAACACTTATATTCTGCTTATGATGAAAATGTATTTTTGAAATTGACAACATGCATGTATCAACGTAAATGTTACCGGTCAATTACGTAATACACGCACAATGAAAAACGACAGTCACGGTGCACATAAAATCAGATCGCAGCCGATGATTTTACTATTTTCGTCGCGCGTCGGCCACGTGCGCTCATAAACAAGTCTGCGGTAAGTCCTTAATTTTTTTTTTTCACTTACCAGGGACCCATTTGAATACTTTCAGCGTACAACTGCTAGGACCCACGTTAACCCATTTCTTTTCCCTGCGAAAGGAAAAAAAGGTTTCGATATCGTCGGGAAAAGGTAAGAATCTGAGACAGACTACAGGAACACTTCCGTTATCGCGCGATCAGGTCTTTTGTGTGAAAAATGAATGAAGGCTGAAATGGGAAAAATTCAAAAACTTCCGACCGATTGCAGAGATCTACGCTCACGTGTACATGGTTTTGATAATTACCATTTCCTTACGCGCTCCACTGAAAGCATAACCCGTTTGACATCATCTTTAGCTCGGCTTCGAGTTTCGAGGCGCATTATGCCGCTCCTGTTCATCATGGCGGCGGTGATGTTAGTCAAAAAATTCCCGGATGTGTATACCCAAATATGGGAAATACCGGGACGAGTGCGGGATTCCACTCGATAAAATTCTCGAGAGTAGGAAGATGTTTGGGTCTGCTACCCAATTTGCAGACGTCTCTGATTTTTCAATTTCATGTGTAAAAGAATCACTGGGAATATCTGAATCACAGCTGGCTATCTGAAGAGTTAACTTTTTAAAGGTCAAGTGGTGTTAATTTCCTTTAAAAGCTGTACATCTAAGGTCAATGACCATGGTACTCCTTAAAGGATGTTTACAGATAGTTACTAACGTAGAGTAAAAACTGGGTTAAAGAATATCCATGGGAATCGAGCCCAGCTAGGGTCTCCTTTCGAAAGGACCATGCAATGACAAAAAAAGCCAGACTCCTTCTCCAGACATTTTTTATTGGTTATGATATCTGTCTCAAATTATATGCATGTCTCACGTTAGGTAGACACCTCCGATCGTAATAGTCTAGTTACGAATTAAAAATTACCGCTGAATACAAACATTAACGACACATTAATACAGGGTTAGCCTCGACGTGAAGTAACATATTCTGAAATTCTGGCAAGTAAGTGTTTGAAATTTGAATATACACAATAGACAGAGTAATAAACAGGTCTTTTTCTCGTTGGAATTTGTGAATATATTACTTCAGATGGAGGCTAAGGCTGTAAAAAATGCGTCTTCACTTCTTTAACTCAGCGGTCATAGCGAACTCAAAAATGGACTATTCCGTTGCATAGGTATGTTGCGTGGCAGACGCAAAAAAGGGGACGGAATGGGGATAAAAGGCCCACCCCCTGCCACGCCTGCCATGAAGGATTTCTCTATTGCATGGGTGTTGAATCGTTGACGTTTGCCAGGAGACGAGCACGCAGGCTTTACGTCAGGGTCCGTCTGGCTGAAGTTCGTGTATGGTCTCCTGATGCACCTCACGTGCAAATCAACGGTCGGTGGGATCCTGATGGTCATTGTGAGAGTGATAAATCTCCCAAAAACAATGGTTACTGAAATGAAAACTAGCTCTATTTAAACAGGATGCACATTATACAGCAAAGCATAGTTGTACTTTTACCCAGCTTATCGCTTTCAAAAGTGTGGCCTATTTCTGTTTCATTGTCATACCGGTCAAACC